CATGTTGCCTCCGTTGATCATGAACGAGTACTTCTTAGGTCAGGTTTTCGGAGTATGCCTGTACATGTCGAGTCTTACTATGCCCCTAATCAATCTCTCCTTCACCACAAACATGTACAATACTCGCATAAATATTGATGAATAGATGCAGACTACCTAACCGATTAGCTGATCATCCCCAGTGCCTGGCCGGTCATAAATGGGAACAGTGTAGGTCTAACGTATACACTGCTAGTTACGTACCGATGCATATGGGCGCGCGGATGGTCGCATGCGAATAAATACATATATATACATGTATCTGATATCATTGATAAGTAGATCTATACATGTAGATAGTATACCTCCAGGCCTTATATTGATCCATGGTGGTATCATGTCAATTATCAATGATGTACCTATAGAGTAGGTGTATGTGTATAAAGTACCGGATTATTTAGTTGCATACGCAAGTGCATGTAGTATATTATAGATTCATATCTGCGACGATAGGGAAGAAGCATGGGTATAGTTATATATTAAGGCGTGTATACATAGAGTGAACAAGGTGTATTTCTGCTAGAACCCAACGTAAATGTAGCAGATATATATATTCCCAATTGAAAAGGTACAACGTAAGCTTGATTATGAATAAAACGAGCAATCTAAGTGAGATGCCGTTATAAGTGTTACAATCGAGGCACATACGTAGCTTCACAAGGTTTAAACAAATCACCGAATAGAGATTTACTATACTCAAAATAAGCCTTCGAGTCGTATCTGTATATAATAGCTATATATGTGATAGGAAAATCTAGGAAGATGAAACACCACTTATTGACCGCCGGGATAAGAGTAACTGCACTCCGGTAGTTGAATTCTCCAATCATGCCTCATTCAGAACCGGGGAGGGGGTTTTTCCGGAATAAGGTTTGATATCGTTCTTTAACATCTATAAGATCATTGATGGTGTGTATTATTCCTGTGAGTAAATATATGTATATATATCAAAAGTTCGGCTTAGAACATCAATATTCAATATATCTTTTATCGAACCTTTCGGTGTTTATTACTTATAAACAAACATACATGTATTTAATGACCCGGACAATATTTGTAGGTTCGCTGGAATTAAACCTAATTAATTATTTCAAAATACGATTCCATATGTACCGATAAAAGGTGTATTCACATGAAACGCCATCATAACGCCATCTAGATACACTGCCTTGCATATGATCACATGTGTAATAACCCCCCTGGCGAGGTGTCGGAACGCCATTGGACGTGTATGAACCAGGCTGCCAGAAAATCTCAGCCTCGCGCCTAAGACAACAGATGGCATGCGCTGTTGCAGTCCCCCATCTTAATGACGTTTTATCTCCGTAACATCATAGTGGAGAGGTGCTCCTTGCTGTCTCTTGTGCATGTTTCCTTTTCCGGCATATTAATCATTTCCGGCGCTGCGGCCGCGTTGCCCACCAATATGGGGAGATCGAAGCACGATGAATGTTCTAAAAGAGACCAAAATTCTTCGCCGTTACTTCCAGGCTGGGCTCTGTGCACATGTGGTCCCACTCCCTACTCGTTGGGTATGCATCTTGCTAGGGATGAACCGCTTGCGCCATATAAATGCCTGCAGAACTCCGCCGCACGGAGAAATTCCTCTGGGTTGGACGGAGACAAGCCGTATCACTGCATAGTATTTTGTTCTCGTGGGGTCCAATTCGTCGCATCTGTGCCTTTAAGTAAATGTATGACACAAACGTACAATTAAATTTCATGACTGTTTGTGTTGTACATTGTGCCTGCGTAAACGGGGGTTAGGACGTTGATTCTAACGTTTATTTGAAGGCTATAATGACGTACGCGTACCTTAACTTCTGTTTGCCTAGTTCGATCTCTAGGTAGAGTTTCGGGCCATTTTTCAGGCTAGGCCGAATGTCGGCCGTCTCTTCATTCCTATGTAAGATATTCAAAGGTACATGTAGACAGGCTCTGGCCGGAGCACTCGATCGTGATAATGCAAGTGTCACAACTCCGACGTTTCGAAGTTCCGTTATAATCTAGCTTGCCCCGAACGAGCTCTGACTACAAGTACTAAAGCAGATACAAATTAGCGTTAGCAACGGAAACCCAGACTGAGAGACTTGGATAACCTTGCAATTAGTATCAGAAAGATGCACTCACTAGTATTAAATTTCTTCTTCGAATATCCTAGAAAGTATATCAGCAAGTGATATGGTAACGTGTATGCGTACATGTGCGGGTCAGGAATTGGTCGTTTGATCATCAATCACAATACTTTATCAAATCGGTATCGTAGTATAGATCGGTGTTGATTCATCTAGTAGTATTAAGAGAGAGGCTCGAAGAACCCTCTATAGATCTAGGGATTAGAACTCTCACATCTTGCCATCGTCTATGATCTCTTCTGTACCCCCAAAACATTCATTGGATAATTAGTGACTGAGAAGATAATTTTCCAGACCATAATAGTATAACACTCCTTATCCTATATTACTAATCTATCTCTCTTCTCCATGAATGTAAGGTAAGGGACTTGGTACCTTTTTTTTTCCGGGTTGCAAAACCACCCTGCTCGATATGGCTCGTCTCGTCATCTAAAAGCATCAGAGCTTGAGATCGCGTTGGATAGTATCAATACAGCCCGACTCAGCGTGTCTCGGCATCCTTTTTTCCCGAGGATAAGCTTGAGATATCTAGTGTGGCGAAGGTCCTGTGAGTACTTCCATCTCTGCAATATATTAGGGCATATACTAGTCTAGTCAGCTACTCGTCTGCATATGGGCAAAAATTGTGCATAACCATATTGTGGTGGTATGTAGACCCAGTCCAGTCCGGAAACGCCAAAAAATAACGAGTAATCAGGTACAATATATCGTCCTGATCTATATTGATAATAAAATTCATAGGTAGAATTATGAAACCGCTATCCTGAGATGTGCGATGACAAAATAACATAGCTTCCATATTCGAATCTATCTCCAAAGTTAAATAGACTCTTGTCGACAACATTGCGGCCTCTATTGTTGCGGTTGCGGTGAGTGATTGTGTTGCATTCATCATTGACTCTCGAATCTCAGGCCTTGGACTACCCAGGTAATGTGTGGCCCCCTTCCTTTAGCTTTACCGATAAGTAATACAGCAGCTTTGAACCCCACCTCACTAGTCCTAAGCCGAAACCAAGTCATCACACACTCATCTGATTCTGTCCAAATCCCATAGCTAGCATCGATGACTCTAGCGCTCTTATCACCACTAGTACTGCAGTGCCCACACAGAATTCTTCAGAATCAAAAATCTTGTCGCAGGTGATATGTACCTTTCTCATAATCCCCATCTGCACTCTTCTCTATCTCGTGTGACAGTCGACATCCCATCATGCGTATGTACTGGTACTCAAATGGAACACTCAAGCTGAGGGGTAGTAGAGTAGAACTGCAAATTCATAGCGGTGTCGTTTAAAATGATGTGGAGAGGTATAGTGGTGGGATAGATTAGAGTCAAAGGAACAGAGAAGAGAAAACAGAGCTCGTATCTCATCTGCACTGTACCGCGCATTGGCCAACACGACTCATTCGACTCTCACCTGAGAGGAAACGCCCAACCGAAAATTCGAAAAAAAGTTCAAATTAAAAAGTGATCCTCACGGCACTCATCACACTAAAGTACCTCCTCTCTCTCTCATATTCCTCATCAATATTGGTACCCCTCCAGCGGAAAGTTGGCTTTCACTAATATATGACGTACCCCCGCATATCGGATTTTCACGAATATCACCCACCCTGAGAGCTTTGACTTCACAAACCGGTTCTGCCATAAGATCCCACGAGCTCGATTAAATCGGTGGATGTGTGAAATGTTCATCTGCCGCAGAGATCTACAGGTTACGCTGGATGCGCTGTTCTGTTTCTAACCCCTTTGCTTTTGGTAATGGAGCAGGAAGGGTAAAGACGCTCAGGCACGGACTGAAAGAACGGACAGAGGATATCCTGGACTATCGGTCATGAGTTCCTACTACCGACTCTAAGGATTTGACTCAGATAAATGGACCCCGTGGTCTTTTATTAACCATATTCACTTAACTAAGCGGGGCTGCATTCCAAATAAATCCACAGTGAGGCGGCCTGGGAACTTCATGATGATTCTCTAACTTCCAAAACAATAGACACAAGAAGCAGGTTCTAATTTTCTATATAACTATGATATCAGTGAGAGAGAGAGAGGTCAAAATGATTCGCTTGCCAGCTTTAAGATTTAAGAAGAGGTAGATTTATGAGTAGAGTATCTCCATGATACCGAGATCTACTGTTTCCGTAGCGATAAACATCATATCACTGTCACTGTCAAACGGGATCTAAGAATTCAAACAAGGCTGGGTAAGAACGTCAGTAAACATCTGCTACGTGTCAAAAAAAAAAATGATAATAAGCTTTTAGGTAGAGATGTTCCTTGTCTGGCTTGTGGATTTACAGGGGTGCGTGGGAGCGGTATATATTTCGTCACAGTAAAATTCCTAGTGGGAAGACTTGGCGGCGGTAAAGTAGAAACTCAAATGAATTAAGACCGTGAAGAGAAAATTCTTGGAAACAGCTTCAGAGCTATGATACATCTAGCAGCTGCTCTACTCGAGTCTAGAGTATTCTGTCAATTTTGTTTTGGGTTAGGTTCATCCAGGGATCAAGGGCCGGTCCCGGGAGGGGAAAGAAAACAGATTTGGCGGGGATTCTGCTATCCTTCCATCGTGACGACATAAATGATGTTACGTTCTTCCACCTTGTCCAGACTAGTTCGAAGAACCAAGGCGGGTAGACACAAGTGGTTACGCGTTCTTATTGGAGTATTTGATAGCGCGCTAGTCCTCTTCCAAGGAAAATAACAAAACAACAACTCAAATAAACCACAAACCCATGCAAAATTGCATCAGTTCTACTGCAACCCTACTTTACGACCTACCCCACCACCACCTAAGAAAAGAATTATTATTACTTCCCTCCATGCAGGTTTCAGCTATCAAGGAAATAATCCGCCGACATCATCATCATCATGCTCCAAGAAATTCAAAGAACACAGAGAAAAAAATACCACGGAACAGACATATAAGTGCCCTGCCCTTTGATGTTGATGGGCTTTTACTTTTCTCTATCATCCATCACACAGTAACGCTTTTGTCTACTTTGTCTCTTTTGAGAATTTCAATAATTATCCTCTCCGCTGCCAACACCTGCCGCTCTACCACACTAATAGAAATCCCCTTGATGTGAGTAAACACCTTATCCGCCTGGATGAAGCTTGGGTTTCTACTGCCTATTAGCTGTCCCACTTATTATTCATACTACTTATTATTCCCATCACATTACATGCCCACACACACACATACATAATCCGCACCTATCTATTCCCTGCCTGCTTCTACATGCTTTAAATCCGTACTGCTACTTATACCCCACTGTCCACCGCCCACTCATAAACCCATAACCCCTCAACAGTCTATTTCCAAACCCCCCCCAAAAAATCCCACCTCTCACCCCATAAAAGAAAGTTTTGAAACTAATCAACAAGACCAGAACATCTCCTGCTCCACTGCGTGATATATCATTCGTCAGTACAGTAATACTCATAGTGCCGACAAGACCATAAAACCCCTATCTCTTCCACTCGTATTTTCGAATAAACACAGAACTTAAACGACAACAATGGCAAGGTACACTTCTCCTCTTACTTCCACCTATAGTTCTCCTCCTCCCCTTTATTACAACGACCGAGAAAGAGACCGAGTTCGCGAGAAGAAATACAATAGTAGTGGAGGCTATGACAATCAATTACAGAGATACTCATATGATGATAATAATAGTTTAACTTCGATCGCACCTGGATATGGGTTTGGAAGCCCTCATTCCCAGCAAGGAGCTATGATTCGTGGAGGTCAATCAGTGATTGAGGAGCCAGTGGTGGAGCATGAACACCACCATGTGCACCATCATATCGACCATGGTAGGCCTTTTGTTGTTTTTCTGGTCTTAGATTGCCGAGCTAACAGGGCGGTAAACTATCAGGCAATGTGAATGTTGCCGCCCAGGTAGCGGTGCGCCCCCGAGCTGTCCAACGTGAATACTCCTACGACGACCTATACGACCGTGACCGTCGTTATGGGTCTGGTGCCTCTCTTGGTTCTCTTGGTCGTGTTGGGCATGAACAACACCGTCACGGACACCATCACGGCCACCGATCTAACGGATCCCGGAGCAGTATCAACTCACGTTTTGCCCGCAGTGACATTGACCTCAACCTCGACTCATCCTTCCGAACAGGCCGCAGAGGAAGTGTCTACGATGAACGTGAATCTGAATACGCCATTATCGATGTCCCGGCCGGGACCAGAAGAGTAACCGTAGACATGGCGAGGGAAAGGGAACAGGAAGCCCCCAGCTGGAGACGCGATAATGGAGTGAGACGTTCAAGAGGACTCGGAAACGAGCTGTGGACTGAGATCACGAAAGATTTGGTGACGAGGGAGGCAATCGAGGATTGCGGGTACCAGTATGAGGAGACAGAGTTCTTCTACTACATCTTCGAGTACTTGCACCGTGATCAGATCGCGGAACTGACAGATCTCACTACCGATATCAGACGACGTAAGTTATTCACTACAGGGAGCAAGAAGCCGATTTTCGTATTTCATCGTCCTAAGAATGATATGGCTGATTCGACGTCTGCACGTATAGAGAGGGTTAGGGATATCGAATATGAATCGATCGCCGGCCGGGAACGCGACAGGGAACGGGAGAGGAGGACTCTCGACTGGGATCGTGAGGACTCCCGCACTGAAATTATTATCGAGAGTGGTAGGAGCAATGCCAATGCGGGTGGGCGCCGCCGCCGGTACTACTATTAATCGACCCATAGAGGATGGGGAGGTATTGTAACGATGTGACGACTACTTAGACTTTTTCGGAGTTGAATCCGAGGGTTTTTCTTTCTTTCCTTTTTCACTATCTCCAATCCCTTGTTCGATTCTCTCATGAGGTTGAATTTTTATGTTGAGCGATATATTTTCTTGTGATGGAAAATTTTCGGTGGGGTGTGGGTGCATCATCAGCATGTTTTCAGATGTTTCTTATTGACTGCTATTATTACGAGTTTTCTTTTTCACCTGTATCTTTTTTTTCTTTCTTTGGGAGCGTATGCGCGACTAATATCAAACAAACTACTGTACTAAACTAAATTCCGAATATTTGAACTCATTCATTCATGTACCTACATACAACGAAAGATTGGGCGTTGGAGGGAGATAAACTGTGTGTATTCGATATATGGCCGGACGAGCAAATTGTTTATTTACATCAGGACTAGAAGGGGGGGGGTGGGTTGTAGAGGATTTCATATGACAGCAAGTTTGATTCAAAACATGAACCTTCGTTGTCTTTCGTGGATCAGGTGTGTGTGTCTGAGCCGACAGTCAGCACCCTAGAGTAGAGTATGCGGAGGTGGGTGGTGGTGGTGAGTGAGCTGTCCCTATCGATAAGTAAACCCTGTTCGCATCGTATCGGGACGCACACCAGCGTCATGATCGGCACGGACCTTGTCGGTTTCTTTTCTTTTCTGGGAAGTTGCATTTTGTATGTAGGATCCCTAAAGCCAAGACGTTAGGGTTGCATCAAGATCATTGGCTCCTAACCATGTGTGTGTAACTGTGTAACCCAGCAACAACGTGTTGAGCTCCTAATTGGACAGGGCAACCTAACATTTGCGTCATGATGCAAACAAACACCAAGGCTCACATCTTCAGCTTCACCAACCCTCACTCACCCCCCCCCCCCCCCTCGACACTACATGTACCTGTAGCTAACATCTGGGTATCCTCAAATCTACACACACTTCTGTACCCACCATCATGCCTATCTCGCTGTACCTTACCACCTACAACTGCGCCCGACTCCCTCACCCTCCTTCATCTCTGTCCCCCCACTTCCTCTCCGCACTAAGTCCCCTCTCCTCCGAGCCTCCCTCTCTAATAGTCATCTCTCTCCAGGAGATCGCCCCTCTCGCTGCCTCATTTCTCGGAGGATCACAGTTGACATCCTACTACGCAACATTTACCACAGCTGTCCGCACTGCCACCAGGTCAGCATTCAATGAGGACTATGCCCTTACCGCCTATAACAACGTCGGCCTAACCGCCATAATGGTATTCGCACGTAAACCCGCTCTCATAAAGTCGGTAACCTATGCAGCCGTCGGCCTCGGTTTCCTGTCCATGGGTAATAAAGGCGCCGTTGGTGTTCGCCTAATCCATAGTCTCCCATCGGACCCCAGTAGCACCGTGACACTCACGTTCGTCTCCGCTCATCTAGCACCCCATGAGCACAATATTATCGCGCGGAATGCAAACTGGGAATCCCTCGTTAAGAATCTAGTTTTTGCCGACCCGGCAGGCGACGAACAGAGTGTCTATTCCCCATCATCCCACCTCTTTATCTGCGGTGACCTCAACTATCGTACCTCTTCATCCCGACCGGGAGAGCTTGACTATCTCGTGTATCCGCAGCCCCAGGACAGGATCAATGACAACACGCACTATCTACAGTTGTTCCTACAGGATCAGTTGAGCATCGAGCGAGAGGCTGGGAGGGCTTTCCAAGGGCTTGAGGAGGAGAAGGTTGATTTCCCACCCACGTACAAGTACGTAATTTCGCGGCAGGACAATGAAGGAGAGTACTGGGGATGGAGTAGGAACCGCTGGCCTAGTTGGACGGACCGGATCTTATATCTACCAGCCGACGGAGTGGTAGTGCGGAATTATACGTCGATTCCGCAAATTCTAGGGTCGGATCATCAGGTCGTCGCCATGCATGTAGAGGTTCCTGAAGCACCGGTTGAGGTGGAACTGGCGGCCCCGTGGGGCATTCAGGAGGGGTGGAGGGGTAGAAGGGCTATAGCTAGGAAATTGGAAGTGTTTGTAGGAGTATTGGCATGGCTATTGGGAGGAACTGGACGGGGTATATTATTTGCCTTGTTGGTGGGTGCAGCTGGTGGATGGTGGGCAGTGAGGGTGTGGATCCAAGGATATAGGAGGTTAGAGTAGATACATGTAATAAGTCTGTTTAGATTTGGTTATTAATGATACGAGAAGCCATGCCGTCTTCTTAATCCACATCATGTACTCTGTTGGCATATATTAACGTCTCGCACTTGACACGATCAACTGGTCACGGCACTGACAGAGCCAATGATTTCTTGGTAGGATTTTGCCCCCGTACCTCGGGAAGCCAAGAACCCCGGAGTAAGAAGTTCTGAGAAATAATGTACTTTAATAATTCGAAGGAAACTTTTATGAAGGAGATGTATGAAGCTAGTAATACCCACGCTCTAAGGGCGGCATGTTCAGCTACAACATACTCTGTGTATGTAGCTGGAAGGTCGGGGGTAATGGGTTAGGGCTATTGGCTACCAAGGCGACCATATATGGTAAGGAAGCCAAGACAGGGCTCTAAGCACTCATGAAAACGGCAGAGCGTTAGGGAGCTTACTGGTCATGTCCTTACATGTAGTTGGCGGGCTTTGGGTGTGTTTGATTGGCTCCGATATGGAAAGACTAAGTAGGGATTCTGTAGAGTAAACAATACAAGCTAGTATCCAGCTTAAGATATCCGTTCCTATGTATGATATTGTCTCGTTCCTCGAAAATCTCCTCATCGATGAGGTGGCGTCTTTCAACACGCGTATCACACATGATTTCCTCTGCTACTCACCCCACTATAAATTATATGCCGAAAAATTGAATCGAAGTACAGCGATGGGTAATAAGTCATCAGACGGAACGCCACCAAAATACGCGTTTGCAGGCAAAATTGTGGCTAGGTCGTCCGATGACTTATTACCCACCGCTGTAGAATAGAGATGTTCCCCTTGTTTGGATTGGTCAAATTGGCGTTGAGCCTCAATCCTTCATATCTAAACTCAGGGCATAAATTTCAAGCACCTTTCTACCAGTGGGAGTTACGTACAGCTCTCCAGTCAGATCAATTCGATATTTCCGAAATTATAACGGTATAGGGAGGTGCGGTCACGAAATCCGGCTCTCCTTTACCGCCTCAAACGTTCTACAGCTATCCACCACATTACTTAGACTATGTTAGCGGAACTTCGGGTTAGAATAAATGCTGGAATGAATGAGCCTAAGGTTTTAAACTGACCCTAGGGCCCTGCCTATCTGCCACATGGCGATGTGCTGCTGTACTGTAATTACTTTATGCACTTACCTAAGTATCAAGTGAAGTACCGCAAAATCTCAGGAATAACGAATCGAACTGGACTGGAATATTTTGCTTCGGATTGGTCAAATGCTTGTTGAGCCTCAATCCGACAAACCCAAAGCGTAACTTTTGGTCGTCTTGACCAATGGGTAAGTGGTATTCCAGCCCAGTTCGATTCGTTATTCCTGAGATTCTGCGGTATTGGTTTCACAGAAAATCCGATCAAGGGATGTTACACGATACGTATTTCTTTAACTTACTTGTAATTATGAAGATATGGCTCTGTTTATCTCCCGGCTCCATATTGTGACTTTCGGTGCGACATACCAACGTGCAACCGCGTGCATACTACACGGTGATTGGCTTACAGACGACCCAACATGTGATGTTGATTTCGATATGGTTGGTAGTTGAGTTCTGGGTGGTACCACCCAAACCGATATTCATCCCCAGCTTAATTAGTTTACCAGACATATCAAATTGAACTATTGAACTGGCAATGAACTGGAAAGCTGTACTCTCACTGGTCAAGGCAGTTGAGAGTTCAATTCGGGCCGGTGTAATTGAGCCTCATTTCAACACGCATTTGACCAATTGTAAGTAGAATATATATCTTCAATCCAGATATTGCGTTCGTTATTCTGAATTTTGTGCAACATATGAGTCTAATATGACCAGTAAAGTCGTCGATTGTAATGGCGTGTTAACTCGACAAGTTGTAAATCCATCTATAAATTGGGTAAGGAACAAGCCAGGTGGAGCACAGCCAGCACAAATTTCAATCTATTGTGGCCAGGCCCAACCGAAATCGGCGCAAAAACCTCTTCCAATGTCCCTTCCACCAATATATGTATACGACCTTATTTCTCGATCTTCTCGTCAACTAGGTATATACGTATAGGTAAACGTTATGTCTGGGCCAAAGAAATTTGGTAGTATACGTCGTATCAGTGTCAAACGTATCCGTATTAAATTAATTCTATTACCAGCGAGAGTTCTTCACACGCCAGCCTTTCAAACCTCAATCCACTGAAAACAGTTATCCTCTTGTTGCAATGTACCTACGTACTCTCATTCCACCTGGCTCCACACTCATGTAGTCCTACACCCAAGGTCAATGTCAACTATCCTAGACAGTCGGGTTCGCCAGACGAATCGTTTTTTTTTTTTTTGAGTGTTTTCACGTGAGAGTTAATAACCACGTGTAATCAAACCACATCTTACTGGCTTCTGCTTAAATGGCACGTGGCACAGTTGGCAATCAGTCAGGGCTAGGGCTTGTTACTAGATGATTTCAGATAGTTATGCAGAGATGACTTCAGATAACTTAGACTTTATGATAGTCTTTCATCGCTTCCCGAACGTCGAGCTATCAATTCGACTGGTTAAAACTCGCGAGAAAACCAAATGCGACTTTCCGTAGTGAAACGATAGCTACCTTGATGCATATACATGCGCGATGCCTCCCGGATGCTTCCATTACCATCACTTTTCGTTAGTGACTGACGAATTGGATCGCTCCCTCGGAAAATAAAATGGCCGCATATAACCTTCTTTCGGGATTCGGGATGATCTGCTGTGTCCATTGTTTCCGAGTTAATTGTCACCGCCAGTTCTGTGGCATGTGAGTATGTATGGTAATTGGTCTGCATAAGCCATTGAAGTTAAGGATCGAGGTTGCGGGGGAAAATGCGGGGAAGGTCTTGCATGGATGAAAGACCTGGGAGCCCTTTTGTCTTGAATAAAGGTTTAGGTCGAGCTGACTGCGATCATACAGTACTGTTTCTTACCAACGAGATGTTGCTGCCACTTATCTACTAGCGCCACTGTTGTTTCTAATTCGCGATGATGTTACAGGGATGCTGGTATCAGATTCATCATATCTGAGCGCCATCCAGAAAGACGTCACGAGAACTCTAATATCGTGGGACAAGTCTTACTCCAAGTTTAACCTTATTGCTCTTTTCAGCTTGCCAATTGTTTATCAATCCCTTTACGCCATATCAATCACAGTTACAAAGTAGGATCAATACTTAGTAATTAATAGATTATACTTATACAGCCAATTCCCGGTAGTATTTATGATCATGATTAATTGGCCAGCGCTGCAGCTTGGTGAATAAAACAGAACCCTCTCCGGATGAGAGCTATGTATACGAAAGGCGTAAGTGATACTTGTACTCCCGTCATATTCGTCCGATCGTGGCTTGTGGAGAGCAGTTACGCAGTCTTACATACATTCATCCCTTCGATATTCTCAGCCTTGTTTTTAGCTCAGGATAGCTAGATAAGTTTCCCCCGTTCCATCCTAGATCCTGCCACTCTCTCTCTGGCTTCCTAGATTAATATTTTGAAGGCATCCCCAAGCAATAAATAGCTACATTCTATACGTTCTCTCAGGTCTACCAGCTAGACTATATTAGAAACAACGTCACTCTACTCCTATCTCCTATCCTTCTGTCAATTTTACATATAAATATTTCAATTTATCTCATTTTTTTCTTCTCATTTTGCAACAACAACATGGCCAGTAACTACGGCTTCTACGAGTCTCGTGGCGAATATGGTCGAGATAACCATATCCACAGATACGGAAACCCTGGAAATCCACCGGATGATCAGGAAAGAAACAGAAACGGAGGGCATCCATATTCTGGGCCACCGCCGGTTAACTCCTCCTCCGACAACTATCCTTTTTTTTTAGCAGGTGATGGAATTGCCCGTGAAGTAATACAGACGGATATCCCTCGATACCTTGGGAATAATGCAGTATGCAAGCCAGGAAATAGACAAGTATGTCCTGAATCCTTTTCCTGGTTGATAACCCCATCGGTAGCTAATCAATTATGCACATCTAGGGACAATCTGGGTTCTTGTATAAGGGCTATCGGCCATTGACTGATGTATTAAACCTTTAAATTTTAATGATCAGGTCTTGGTAAATACATAAGTATGCTTGCTAATAATTCTCCAGGCTCAAATCCAGTCTTTAAAAGAAGACTCTGTAAAGTACACGAAAGAAAAGCAACAGCATTCTCTTAGATATGGACGCGACGGTCCCGGTATGGAAATAATTCTTTCTACGATTCCAATTAGGTAAAATGCATGCTAATATAACCTTTGAATTATAGATTACTTGGATTCGTTGACGTTTAACCATAGCCACCAAAACAACCCAGATGGCTATAATCCACTTGGTACGACCTCTCTGAGACCTGCTGAAGGATATGTTCATCCGATCTCCATACCAGCATCTTTACAAGCGCTAGAGCCACATAGGGATCCACGTTATCGCTATTTGGCTGATGGAAGACCATGGTACGACAATTTGGAAAGAAAATATGTTAAACCTTTCCGGGATCCTGGTACCATCTCTCCGGAACCTATCCCTCCCGTGCACATTCCACCGATGGTCCCTCCACCAACGGCCCAAAGCAACTATGGAAATCCGAACCATGGAGAAGCTGGCAATATTCTGCCGTCGGAGAATTCGGGTCGCCCGCCCACACCGCGCGATAGTTCCGGCGCACCTCTACCTGGTCGTTTCGTACGACAAAACGATGGCAGATGGTATTACGAATTCCACCAGGACATACCAAGGACACCACACCGATAAGGTCTCCCCGATGCTTATTTCTTTTTTTTCTACTTTTTCTCCCCTGGAACCCGGATTAATATTTTGCCGGACTTTATATTCCATGGTTTCCCTTTACAGATCGTTTCCCTTATTTCCATGGATAGGATCCATTGGAGGCTAGGACCCACTTCTGGCTACTACTGCTCTAAGTCCTTGATGTCTATTTTACCAATTTTCCACACACACCCAAAGTACATCCAAGAGTTCCATACTCTACTTCAGGTTTCCAGGTTTGAAACACGTTTCACGTTATCCACACAATTACGGGCCGCTTGCAGGTACCAAAATTCAGGAGAAACATTTCCACACTAGTACTCCTTACAGTCGCTGGATTCATACCACATAAATAATCACCAGATCTAGCCCACAGGACCACATTAGTTATCAAGATGTTTACACCTTTAAGTCCCTCTACTTTGTATTGACACTTTTCTTTGTGGCCAGGGATGATTTATGAGTTCAGGACCTTGATAATGCCAGGAAAGGGTTTCCAGCGGGAATAAATAACTGCCATTTGTTTTTTTCAAGGCTCCCAGGGTTTTCAAATTTTCTGTCTTCTCTCTGTTACAACAATCTCAGCTCAATATTTTTCCTGTTTTGGGGCCTTTCTTCAACCCTCACGATATACAATAAGGGACAGGGCTCTCTCATTTAATCATTCACTTCGAACCATCACATACTAAATTTACTAGAGGATTATGGAGGTATTGTTGTATAACGTAGTATGGGCGATTTGTAAAGCTTGTTTCAATGCCTGGTGAAGCTTCTTCAAGTGACAATAAGGTCCTTACTCTAGTTTTCTTTTCTTTGTTCCTTCCTTTTTGTCGTTTTTAGTATCATCTGTTTCTTGCGAGTGATTTGTTCATGCCAAATTTATAGTTGCACTTAGGTTGTTTATATTACATGTAGTTACCAGCACGAAGATTATTTCGTTTCTTCCCATGTTTCTTCTCACATTGGTTTTATATGCGTATACAGATAAGCCGGTTTCCTAAGGATTCTTTACGGGCACGGCGCATAGTTGTTCTGTCCCTCTGACCCTATGGAAAACGTTCACACGCAATAGGCACCTAGCCATTCCCGCTTTCTAAACAACCAAGAGCCATAATTCCATATTAGAGCTCCGAAGAGATGAAGGAAGCCCATCCACGTGAACGGAATTCTATTTAATATGCGTAGATTCTACACTACTCGTAGAGTGACTCTATCTGTGTTTCCACGAGACGTGGCTTGGAGACTTACTACTTATCTTACAAGATCGTAGACACGGCTACCGCAGTAAACCCCCGCGCTCTGGGATGAAAGATAAACTGCAAGAGTTGGTTTTTCACGTTCTGTGGCCTGAGCCCTCTACTAGTTGGAACATAAATTCCAAGTAGTAGGCAGCAGGTTTCGCCATGAATTAGGACTATAAACAGCAAATAAGTTATAATTAGCCCGTCAGTCAAAACCAAAAGATCCCAAAATGTTGATAACGAGCTCTCCTAACATAATTCCCGCAAGCTTAGGCATACCCTCTATCATATCACCACGACCCCATATGCGTCACGTCACACCAGCGTCCTCTTGCTATCATGAACGTCCCGCTAATCACAAGCAAATCCTCCGCTAGCACTCAAACCAAGCACCGGGTGCAGCCTCATTCGCCGTGTACATTTATTAGACAGTGTACCGGGTGTTGAGGGTAAGTGATCAGAATCTGATAAGTGAATGTTGCGGTGAATACGTTTATTTTTCTTATCAGATTCTGATCACTTTTCGCTATACCCTAGTACACTCTCTGGATCCAGGTCGCAAACACTTACCCAGTCGGGCAATATTTACTCATACTGAGGGCGTACCAGACGTACGCCGCGGGAAAAAAGGCTGTGGAGAAAGGAAACGAAAGGCTGCATGCACGTGTATACTGGGCCATATGTGCAATTTGTGTACCCGGGCTAATGCCTAGGACTGCATGCGCAGCTTACTATTGGTTGCAATCGTGCTGGGGACGCGCACTCATGTGTTTAGTCCAGGGTATCAAGTCGATCTTATGTACACTTTGGAAGTCTCTTTTTCTTCGACATATGGCGCGAGAAGGCATGGGGGTGGGTGTGTCAACTTCAGAGGAACTTTTTTTGTATGGGAATTAGAGAAAATTCCACCGTCAGGCTAGGCGCTAGTACCATTATGGGGGTAGATCTCCCAATTCCTATAGATTGATTGGCTGCAAACGCCGAAGTTTACACACCTACCCACCATAGCTTCTCGAGCCATAGAAGGTAGATACATACATGTATCTGCCTGAGCTAGCTGCCGCTAATTATTGGTGCTGGATCGCCGTGTCAGTTGCGAATTGCGGTTGGCGTCCCTGCTCAGCGTACCTGCCGGTATCGATAGTCACGCAGTGATGTGCCCAGTCGGCCGCATTCCTGCTGGGGCGTGCTACCTGACGGCCAGGCTGAGCGGGACACTGGGGTATAATGTCTGTGCGGTATGCCGAGTGTGAGTCGATTGTGGGTTGGGGCGTGCTAGGGAGCTGTGCGTGCAGCCCTGGACTTTCGAGTCATGTTGGGATCATATGCGGAGGGTGATGACTCGGGATGGTGGTGCCTAGGGCTGGGTGGGGACGCCGTGGGCTGTGTTTCTTTAGTTTTTGTTTAAGGCTTGAAGAGGAAGCGGGCCGTGATAGTTGGGGGAGTGGAGAAATTCGAGTGATTTTTTATGATTGTAATTTTGGGTGTTGGGGTGTTGCTGTGTGCGCAGATGTAGTAGTTTAGTGGTGGCTTTATGTTGGTTTCTGTTTCGTTTTGTTTGTCTTTCGATGGCTTTTAGGTGCGCAGTACTTGGGGGGTACTGCTAGGTTGGTGGATTTTAGAGTGTAGAGCTTAATTTCTTCATGCGCAATTGCGCAATTGAGCTTAGAGAACGACATATATATTTACCACCATCACGAAGAATACCTCAGAGTGTCCAACAAGTCTCTAAAATATATCTTGGTGACTCTCAAACTATTCAATTACAATGTCACAGCTCTCAACAGACAAATACTAAGAATCACCATACAATAAATGAATCAACAGCGATACAAAAAATCACAAAACATCACTCGTTCCACAACCTCACTTAAACCCCAACCAACCGCCTCCAACTCCGAGAGCAGACAAGAGAAGCTTAACTAATCTAAAAAGGTAAGAAATCTATTACGAGACATTTAAAGACCCTACATGCGCTAGTTTTAGTTTTATGCGTCATGAGTTATCAATCGTGTTTATGCGCAGTTGACGAAACCTCTAATAGAGCCCACCCGGCCGGGCCTCGACACTATTTCTTTCACTCCGGAATCTTAGGCTTTACTGCTTGAGAAGACAATGTTCTTTATCTCTTCGATAGCTGGAATTACAGCACGACAGTATATAGCACTGCCGTAGTGTTGGCTCCGAATGGTTAGAATAATAGAAATCGGCCCACCCATGGGCGGGACACGTCACCTGAGACCTCAGTTGAGACATAAAGCTGAGTCTAAAGACAGTACAACACAGCGGAGAGCTTCTCTGTTTTCCGGTCCGCTGGCTCCCGCCCAGGAAAGAAACACTTATCACGGAGGAGAATGCCAAACCGCACACCCGGAACACTCCCTGCGGTGCCGCAATCATCCACCGGAGGAAATGTGGCGGTCTATGGAGTCAGGCAGCTGCAGTGAATCAACTGATTTACTCTACTATTAACCAATCAACTGAATGAATCATCATCAAACCAAGCAAAAGAAAATATAAGTACGTTTGAACCGAGTGATATTTCATGACGGTTCGGCGAATAGCCTTCCAAACGGACAATTTTGGTCATCTAACTCTAGAGATTTCAGCCATACTGCCAACCCGATACGCTCCGCTATTCAAGGGTCAGTTGGCGAGTCGGTAATAATAATCAGGTACACATGTGCTCGAATGGTGTCCTCGACCGTGAGGGGACATATAAGACAATTCCACGTAGTTAGCTACGACTATAGCCACTGTGGCTAAGGACATGTAACCAACAAATACGTAGACAATAAGGCTCTGAGGAGAGGACAACATACTACTTAGCTATATATATAGGATCGGATGGACTGTTCTTCAAACTCCTCACTCAACCACTTAAGTCTATCACACTTGCTATCCAGGAACCTACTGCACTACTATTACTATGGCCAATAGGTTGCGATATATTTTTCTTCTGGGTCGAGAAATGGGCCGGACCGGAGCACATTTGGGGTACTCACTATTGCTACGTATGCTGGATGACATGAGTCTGTGACGTCTACATGTAAGTACCAAGTACAGTGAAAGATTGGTATAGACGTCTTCCCCGCTCACGCTCATCAGGACATCCCTTGATCAGGGTAGTTTATATAGTAATGAAAGGATCCACATTGTACCATAATCGACATCTATGCCTCCTCTCAACCAATCATCATTAACAATCCGGATCATCAGAGGGGGCCCTGGTGAGTGGTGTAGACGTCTAAGGTGGCTCCCATAGGGATAACCTCCTTACAAGGTACCGCCTTTCGGTCCCATACTCATTCCGTTGGGTTTTCACATTGATACTCTCTCTATATACGGGTAATCCTCTTGTAAGGGCCCAAATTCCTGTAGCCAGCGTATCTTCATATAGCGAGCGAGCTTTCGCTGTACATGCCAATGCATTCGAGCCACTCAATTCGTCATCATTCCGGGCCCAAGTTCTTTCCCGGTCACCACAAAAGCTATATATCACCACTGCGTTAACCCCCGACACGATACGCTTCGTCCTTCGACCAAACACCAACGAGTGAGCCCCCATGATGCGCGGCAGCGGAACCAGCGCCAGAGATCCGCACCAGGCGCCGATAACCTTTTCTTCTCCCGTGCAGATCCTCGATTTAGATTTATCCGAAGGAGGATCAGCAATGTTTCATGTTTATCATTAGGGCTAGGGTTGTTGATCTCCGGGGATTCAATTCAAGATTCGCGGGTTCGGGAGAGAGTTCCTGTTCCAGAAGGCGCAGAAGAACATCAGATGGAACTCTTGCAATTGGGTTGGCTATATAACATAACTTAGGCACTCTCTATTTTGCCGTACCGCACCCGTCAGGATTGGGATTGGGTCGACGGTAGTTGAAGAGCAGAGTAGCTGGAGAGAGCAGGTATGTTGTGCACAAAAGACGGACTGACTGACACCGAGGATCGCAGAGAATGGGGGCGGCAGATCAGGCTTTCAGTGGCAAAACAAGAGACTGAATTTCTATTTCCGACTCCGGTAAAGGTTCGCCCAGCATCCATCTCGACGTGCCCAATGAATGAGGCTCTAGCCAGCTACCTAGCTATCTAAACAGTAAGGCGGAATTCCTAAATCGCTCTTCCGGTTTTTTTGTTTTGTTTAAAAGCCGATCCGTGTTGTCGGATATTTGGTGTTGGGAGCAGGAGAGACGGAATAAGCAAGTTGAAGTGGGGTAGCATGGCGGGGTTGCTGGCTGGTTGGGGGAGGTGCGATGGACGGGATGAATGGGGAAACAAACATCAAGCTTTAGCTAGCAGCGAACTACTTGCTTACCTTTTCACCTACCTGCTCTGGTTTGGTGGTTGAGGAACACTTGGACAGGCACGGTGATAGATACAGACTAACTACTATCACTCTCCTCCAAAATACGTACTCAGAAACATCTCATACACATCGATTCTCTTTAAATATTTCATTACACCCATCGCTCTAAGAATCGGTCCTCCCAATCGCCTCAGGAACCAATCTCTCTCTCTCTTTCTCTAATTGCCACATTTGCCATCATGTTTCGCCGTCCCACCACCAGCGCCCTCTTACGGCTACGATTATGCCCTCTCCGCAGCGGCGCTCTACTTCCCAAGGCATCTCCAGCCCGTATTGCAGTAGCACCATTCTCCATCTCCGTGCCCCAATGCAACGAATCAAAGCCCGGCCAGTTTGCACGTACGGACCCTTCAATCACGGTCGAGTATCCGGAGGAGAAGGATATGCCTTCTAGTGCGCCGGTCCGCAGGGTGAAGAGGACACTGGGCAGCTTCTCGCTGGAGGGTAAAGTCGCGGTAGTGACCGGGGGCGCAAGAGGGTGAGTCTTGCTAGTTCCTTTTCTTCACCTCCTTAATTAATCTCCGACCTTTCTTTCCTCTTTTTTTTGCTTTTGCTGGTGCTGGTGCCAGTTATCTGGGTGTGGTATTTGCATATTGGGAGTCAATGGGAGTGAGGAGATTGAGAGCAACTGGCTGGCTAGCTAGCTAGCTGTATTTGGTCTCCGCGTGCGATTGCAGTTTATCGCATCGGACGAAGATGTTGTTGCATGCAGCGAGAGAAGAAAGAAAAAACCTTATCTATCAAAAAATCCATTACTACTACATCTCTATATATTTTCTTTTCTTTATATTGGTTGGGTCAGCGAGTAATCTTTATTGACCACACATAGTCTCGGATATGTGATGACCCAGGCCCTCGTCGAGTCGGGTGCTGATGCTGCGATTGTAGACCTAAATGGTATGTTATTATTCTGTCGGGATGGTTAGGGATGGTTCAATTAGCTAGGGAGACTGATATATTGCCGCCGGCGGTGATAATGCAGGCGAGGAGGCTATCAAAGCTGCCGCGATGCTGCTTAAGCACTTTAGAGATACCAATCCTGATGCAGACCGGTAAGTGAAGTTTTTCCCACCATCTCGAGTGCCGCGCGCAATCCACCACCCTCCCACAAAGGCAAAAAAGGAATCAAAAAAATCGCTAACACCACCATGCAGAGTGCCCACAATAACCGCACACTCAGCCGATGTCTCCTCGCCGGGCTCGGTCAAGGCCGTGATGGAAGAGGTGCTTTCCCAACACAACAACCACATCGACGTCCTCGTCACCTCCGCCGGTTTCACAGAGAACTTTAAGGCGGAGGACTACCCCCATGATCGCATGCAGAAACTCTGGGGCGTCAATGTAGACGGAACATATCTATGCGCTGTCGAGGTCGCCAAACACCTCATTGCCAGCAAGAAGCCAGGCTCAATGGTGTTTATTGGCAGCATGAGCGGGAGCATCGTCAACATTCCCCAACCACAGGTCCCCCCCCCCCCCCCCCCTCTCTTTCTCCTCGCGCACGCCATAGGGAATAAAGTGCTGAAATGAAACTACTTAGGCACCGTACAACGCGGCCAAGGCGGCCGTGCGCCATCTTGCGTCCTCGATGGCGGTTGAATGGTCAACGCATGGTATCCGTGTGAATTGCATTTCGCCGGGCTATATGCTCACGGCGCTGACAAAGAAGATCCTCGATGATAACCCAGAGCTGAAGGCGAAGTGGACATCGCTGATTCCGCAGGGGCGCATGGGGAATCCGGAGGATTTGATGGGCGCGGTGGTGTTTTTGGCGTCGGATGCCAGCCTCTATGTTACCGGGGCGGATCTGAGGGTTGATGGAGGGTACACCGTTACCTAGAACGCAGCTTCTGGAAAAGTAAATTGGAGGTTTTGTTTATTTCTTTGCTTGGTTTTGGCCTTGTAGTGGGGATAGTGTGGTTGCATATAGATTGGTTTATGGGAAGAATTTATATTTTTATAACATGACGTCACAGGGGAGCTCTTTTGTGCGATGTTTGTGGGTGTCTGTCGTCGTGCGGTTGAAATTGGGTTCCACCCAAAAGCTCTTGGCCCCCGCCTGGGCCTAGCTACTCATACGACACCACTTCTCATATCACATCTCTACTCACATCTCTGCTCACCGTACTGGACCAAAAAAAGATATTTCATCTCCACAAATCATCTCATCCCTTCCGTTCACGTAGTCTGTTTAAATTAATATCTACGGAACGGAGCGGCAACCCCGAGAACACAACATACGGGCCGGGCGGTAACAGCACAGTACGTACAATACGTACGTCGGCGGGTGTGTGGGTGGTGCTGCCGGACGGCCACGCACGCCGGGTGCGGGTGCAGGCTCTTGTTTAGTTTGTTTTATATTGAACCCGCAGTGCAGCTGTCAACTTGTTTATATTAAAACCCGCATTTGTTTATATTGCAATGGACATGTAGATCTTGGTAGATCTGTGCCCATCTGTGGTACCGCACAGTGGAGGGAGCATATATCTAGCTATCTAGCCTGGGGGGATCTGCTGGGTTTGAGATGATTGTCGCTTTGAAGTATGGAGGTGAGTGGAGGGAGAGGTATGGTAAGTGTTTATTCACCCGTAAGTAGGTGGGCACGTGAGCAGGCGAGCGTCTCGAATAAACGGTTATAGCCCGGGCGATCGATAGGTACAGACGCGGATCCGGAGAGTATTGTTTATTCATTTGTTTATTTGTTTATTTGCATGCAAGGCCGGACGCCAATGCTTGGTGTTTCGCCCCACAACGCCCCCGCCCCCGCCCGCCGGCTCTAACCGACAAGCTTGGCTTAGTGTTCTGTGGGGAAGATACATTGTGGGGAAGTGAGTGTTTGGGCCTGCGGTTTGCGCGCGAAATGCTGTGCGCATGCAGGGTTCCGGGTTTGTTTCATTAAAGGTTCGGTTGGTGGTTGTGGTTCGCCTCGTAGTTGTAAAGCTGAAACTACTTTGTGGAGCTAGGTAGATGCTCGAAAACAACCAGGGTGGAGGGGCGGAGATGATCAACGTCAATACCGACATACATAGCCTATGCAGCTACATACGACAGCAACGACAACAACGATGACGGGGAGGAAGCTAGAAGGAAGGTTATTTCACATGGAAGCTTTGAGACCCCTAACCAAGTCATCCAGTCGAGCCCGCGTGATTCGTGTTTTTAGTCTTCCGGCGGGTATTGTATAGGAATGTTATCCGTCAATTCATTTCATTTCATTGCTCCGATCCACATGATCCACCTTGATCACTCTGGATTGCTCGGGTGAGTGTTGAGGGCACATAGTGAAATACCTACTATGTACCAATGGGATATCATTAATTTCGAGGAATGAAATGACCAGCTCTACGCGGCGACAAAGACGACAACGGCGAGGCCTCCAGGAGGTGAGGGATGGACTCATCCTATCTCATCTCATCCGGGCTGCTGTATAAGCAAGCTCACTTATGATAGCCATCCATCCATATCCATCCACAGGGTCGATACAGACCCGCGTATCCCGGGTGTTGAAGCAAACAAAGCCCAATTCAAGGTCCTACAATGGTAACCACTCCCATCTACAGTCCAGTGCAACCACCAGTGCAACCATGCCTCTGTACAACCCTCACTGCCATTCTCACCGCCAGCCCGATAATTCCACAACCCGGAGGTTTTTAGTCAGGTTGTAATCACCCCCACGCCCGAAGATGATGATGCAATCCCGCACGCGAGTTATCGTTCATGGTTAATCATCCACCTATCTACCACATCCCCATCCCCATCATCTCACCTCACCTCACCTCACCTCAGGATAAACAATAGCCGCCGGTGCGTCGGCAGATACTTACGGCGGCGCAAGAAATTACCTGACGGCCCGAAGAAGCAGGCGATCCATAGATCCAGAAGGTGTTATTGTCCTGCGTGCGAAGCCTCCTGAGGTAAGGCGAGCTCCAGGCGAGATGGGAGCAGATGAAAAGGGTCCTGTTGCCGAGTAAAATGATTAGTATTGGTTTCATATGGAAGGAAGAAGCGACGTACAGAAGTTGTGTCTACTGTAATGGAAATTTTGATATCTAACTATGCGTTAACTCCATGAGCCGGTTGGTAGTACAGCGGTTGCTGTTTGGGACGGTAGGGCTAGGGTTGTGCTTATTTGCAAATTGCTGCGTTAGCGATCATTTCAACCGCTGGTTCAGCGAAGAACCGCCGTTCTAGTATGATATGGAAAAAAACTCCCCGCCTTTCATCTAGACTGGAGCTCAGCCTGTAGACTCCCGCATCGGATACCCTCAAACGACAGGCGGGGCATGCAAATACCCTTTTTTTTCTTTTTGTTTTCTTTTTGCGGAGAGGGACTTGCCCATAGTCATAGCGAGAAAACTTAAAGAGACCAAGAAAGAGGTCGATGCTGTGGAAAGCACATGAAGACAATTCACTCTTTGTACTCGAGTGAACCGCTGTCGTTACGACACATTCATATGCACGTTTGACGTTTAAGGATCCTCAGGTGAGGTGACAAACAGATGCATCTTAACGCTAGATTCCACCGATCCCATGCATGACACCTTGCAGTATTCCCCTTGGTTTTGTTTTTGAGGCTTGAGGAGGCTTGAGGGCTTGCATGAATGTCCTGCTGAAGGAATTACATACCGGAATTCTCGTCTTTGACAAACTTGTTTTTGGGTTTTTTATCTTTGATCGGAAACTAGCGGAGAGAAAGAGCAGGTCGGAAAAACATTTGACAAACAGTTTGAGTCGATGGTGAATGATGATCGGTTTACAGCGAAGTCTCTTACGTCTTCGTAGAAACTACTCTGACAGTGCATAGAGCCAGAGTTCATGAAGTATGTAGTTGAGGTGGTTTGGTACCAAACTGCATTTCCGCAAAGCACATCAATCCATAAAACTCTGCAGGAGTCGCCTTGCTGGGATTCGAGGGTCGCATTGTCGCAGAGCAGAGCCTCTTCCCCGCACATATTTCTTTTGCGGCAATCCGCATAAGTATCGATCACTTGCTTGTCCCCTGTCAATCCGGAGCTCGTGACCGACGCGACACCTAAATAGCAACATTAGCTATTGCTGCTCCTGATGATGAAAGCTCATCATGATACGTATTCCGCGGTATTATAAAACAGCATACTAGTTTATTTTTGCCAACTCTTTTTATGTACTCTATCGCACTAGGATTCATGAGCTCTCAGCTACATACCTTTAATTGTATGTACTCTAGTTGTTACCTCATGTCATGTCTTCGTAGGTCGAGTTTAGTAGGTACACCACGTGGCCCACCACCTCAAACCACAGACGCTGAGAAACCGCAGCAAATCCCCGGCGGCCCCTTGTTAGAGAGCCAGGGTGCATAAATAAGCCGCTGCCGAGTAAAAACGGCTTCGTGGTGGGATCCGATACGTAACCAGAAGGAAAAAACCGCACTTTAGGGCCTCTCAACGTCTTAATGACATAACTCTAAAATCCACCTTCCCAGATATATGTATGCTCTATGAAGATGAACTCAGGACCTTTGAAATTTTGTGGTCACTGATCTGAAGCTTGCTTGTTGGTTCGAGAACCTTGGCATATTCTTGGCATGGCTCACTAGCCCAATCTGTCGCCGTAGTTAAAGTAGAGTACTTCACCTTCGAGCACGCCAGGGGGAAGGTGCAAGTCTAGAGCTAGGTGTCAAGAGGAGGAGATGTTTCAACAATCCATTGCCCAAACCCCTTCCCTCCAGCTTCACCCTTCTTATGTATGTATGTACCTGTATGTACGTATGTGTAGGTACATACAGCTCTTGAAGCCCCCAAAAAGTCACAAGACCTCTCTGAAAGCTTCTCGATCTTCTCGAGAATAACGCGATAGCCGAGATCGACTGTTCGTCCCACACTGATATTCCAGAGGTACTCTGCCCGAGAAGACCATTGTCCCTAGTCCTGCGGACCCTGTCAGAGTAAGAAATGATACACAACGAGAGCCTACATGTACGTAAAATGCGTATTCAACCTACCCCGGATTAAAGTCTCCCCTGCCCCCTTCAGCTGTCATGCTGCGTGTGGTTACACTTCCACACAAACATCGCGGATATACAACCGGGCTCCGGCCCTTTCCTTTCTTGCCAGGATGAATGCAATTTCAAGTGCCAGGATCTATATGCTCTATGTATGCACATATCAGAAAAAGCTACACTTCTTACTCTCTTCGAGATGCCTCGTTGAGATGAAACAAAAGGTGGATATAAAACTACCTGACTGACTGCCCCACAACCAGCTCGGGAGATACGTGTTCGGCGGAAATATTACCCCACATTAATTATCGTACCATGTACCTTGAGAGGGGGTGGAGGGGCCTGCCTTGAGACGGAGTGATTCACCCCGGTGATCGATTTATACTGAAAGTGGGGGAAAAAAGGAGGGCCGTGGATGAGTTTCTCTTAAGAAATGCAATGTCTTTTCTTATCATAATATGAACCGTGATAGATCGAGGGCATGTAGGGGGCGTTGATGTGTTGAGAAGAAATAGCTGATTAGCATCTGGTGGTAATTAATATTATCATCTTGAACAGCGTGGCCTTGTGGACGTTGTCAGCGTTCTGGATCTTTGGAGATGAAAGTATGTAGCACTCCTGCAATGAGATCTCGAAGTCTTGGTCTTTACTTGGATGCACAGCACTCCTATCCCGGTAATCTGGGTCCATGGGGAGCAGGGGTGGTGGAGGGGATGTTGCATACACACACTTGGCTATCCATGCCATTCTATTCGGTACCGATATCCCCAAGCTTGCGAGTCGGAGCACAGGTTTGTACGTACTCCGCAGTGCCGAAAACCTAACTCCCGTGGCCCCGGGAACACGACCAATAACGTGTCTACATGAGAAGCTCAACTCGCATCTAGATTTTGCATATATACTTGAAACCGTCGTCGTCGACATATTCCTATGATAGGGAAGATATTTAATTGGTGGCTAACAACTCTTTCCCTAGAATGGAGTGCGCACAATCCCATCTGAAGAAAGTGATGACCAGACGCAAACAAACATGAAGATTTTTAGGTAGCCGGTTTTGTTCACAATTGAACCACAAGCATGTATGTAAGGTGCTACAAGACTTCTAACTTCCACTTCCAGCATCAACTTTTCGTTAAAATTATGGCGAAACCCGAGACGAGATAGAAAAAGGAAGAAGGGGTGGCTATCTAGCTCAAAACCAAGGGATGTAGAGCGTATTTCCACGGCCTTCCACATTCTGTTGAGTTTCAGAGAAGCCAGGCAGGATGAAAAAGTAAGTTTCCTAGATGAAATTTACATGTAGAGTAGTTATCTCGATCATAAAAATAGAAAGACCTGGGACACTGATAATGCAAATGCAGCCTCCGTAGGGTACTATCACAAGTCTAGACATGGGGTTTTAGAAGTGGGTTAAATTGTGAGCTGCGCTGGATTAAGGATATCTTTCTCTACATGTACGTGGTTATCATGATCAGTATTATATTTCAGCAGAGTAGAGCAGAAAGTCCAGAGTATGATGATGTATGTACACATGTCGTGCTGCTAAAAAAGCTTTGCTGGCTCGTTTACCCATAAGCGGTTGTGCCACAGGTGCATGGCGCAGCTAGAAAGATGTGAACTTCAAACATGTGCCTGTACCCCGATTCGATTCTGCAAGACCGCGGGCATCTTGCTTTGGCCTCTCTGTTCAGAATCTACCAGAATTGATGGCAGAGTACGTACATTCATCGATTTAGTACTCTTCATATGGAGTGCCCTGTGAAGAGCATGTACTCTACCTAGAGTAGAATGGGTGCCTGCTCTACTCATTACAGACAATTTTCTGACCCGAGACCGTGGAGCTGTCGTCGACCAGGTTTCTACCCCACGCCCGTTCTTTCCCCCTAAAACTAAAACACCCACGGCTGCATCTATTTGGTCTCCCGTCATGGCGCAGTGATCTGTCTGCCAGTAAAAATGGCTGAAGCCACGGACGAGGCGTTTTTAAAGATTGAAATGAGTTAGGAGTCAGAAAAGGTGACTGTGAACGGACGTGGCAGATACATGAATCGAACAGGTATGTACTGATCTAATCCAGTGCGAGGTCTGTTCGCTTCGCATCTCAACCACACATGGAATTAGATTTTAATACTCATGACTCCTGCAGCAGCAGCAGCCGTTATGATGGATGGACATACGGATGATATAACATACTGCTGCTGGAAAGTTGCATGATGACGGATAGCTGGATTGTTATGAAAAGAAGCTATCACCCTGTTCCCATACTCCCGGCTTTTCTGAGGAAAAAGCTATTCCGTTGGAAGCCCTCCTTACTCTGGTAACCTCGCCATCAATTGCTACGAACTGATCAGATCGGTCCAGCCCTACAGTTTGGACTGTAACCCTGCCGTCTCAAGCCTGATCTATTTTCCTATCTACCCCTCTGGCTAGAAAAGACATATATAAAAAGCACGCCATTACCCCGGAGATTCGCTTCCCCGCCAATAATTCCGACTCCATCTGTACTCCATAGGCAGCAGCAACAAGTTCCTGTGTTGTCATTTGGAAACAACTGCAGAAACAACCAACAATTCTCGAATAGTTTGCCCCGTGGGGCCGCTATTTCACTGCAAAATTAAGAGCAACCCACCCACGCGGGTTTATAGCTTCATCGTCTCGTTTACCCTTTACACAACCCCCAGGGGGCTTTTATTCTTTCCCCTTCCTTCTCTTTTTTTTTTTTTAGTAGTCAGCTTCTATCTGTTTAGTAGGTAGTGGGGGTTTGATACAGTAGGGCGTGCCGAGCGGCAGCTGCCAGCAGCATTGACAGAGAAAACAAAAAACAAAACGGAATACAGACAGGCGATAAACGATACCGAGGATCGAATTTTTTTTTTTTTTTTTTTAAAACAGAGAAGATAAAAAAGAAGGAAAGAAAAGGGAAGGGAAAAATCCAGCTGAGACTGCCACACTGCAGTACTGGCCGCGGAACGACCAAGAGAAAGCGAAGAAGATAATTATTACTTAACCAGACAGAGGGGCTGGCAAAATTTATTTCCGTTTCCCGAAGCTCTCCTAAAAGCGGACATCGAGAGAAAAGGAGTCAACGTGAGGCGCAATATTTTGCATGCCAGGGAGTTTCGAAAAGTGTATGAGTTGTGGAAGGAGTTACTAGTATCATATCTGCTTGGTAAGTGAATTCAACTCGGGGATTTGTTTGAGTTATGCCCGTCCCTGCCCCACCCCCCACAGCCCCTGCACGGAAACGATCTATCTTGTTGATGATAATCCCCATCAATAATCTGCTTCTATTCTCATTCTGAGTGGTGGTTGTGGTGGTGTTGAGGAAAGGACGGAGGGGATTGCGGATTTCAGCCCTTTAGCCCTACCTACCTAGTCTTCTTTTTGCCATGCGAGGTTGTTTGGTCGTTCAGCGGATGTGCGGCGGATGACCTGCTGACCACACAAGATCCCAGACTAGAAGTACATACACAACGCAGCTGCTAAGGTACCGCAACTTCCCCAAAGTAGTTAACTTTATTGTGGTGCTTTGCACACTCCGCCATTTCAGCCGTTTATATTATTATTTGGGGAATCTCGCATTTCTATTTGTTAGTGTTCGTCCCTTTTCCCCATATTTTTTGGTCTTCCCAGATTTCCGTTTTTCGCCTCTTTATCACCTTCGATCCACCGTGCACCCTTTGTGTGCGACATTCTTTCACTCTGTCTCTCTCCACGAAGTCACCTGGGTTCAAAGAGTTGGGGTCACCCTTGTTTGCGTTCTGCTATTATCTAAAGCCCAGTCAGTGGTGATACTTCTATTTGCCCCTCGTACCTTTCCAAATTCTAAGATCGCCGGTTTCCTTAAATTTTCATTTCTCAATAAATAAATTTCGAATTCTACCTCTTCCCCCACCCACTTCCATAAAACAGCGACAAGTAAATACTTGAAACACTATTTTTCTATAATTTCGTTTCATATCTAACCTCCGGGAAGCAAAGTAGGCCTCGGTTGTTTTCTTTTCCCCGCAAAAAAAATATCCATTTGAAAACGGCGGCGCCTTCTCTCTGTCCCTTTTTTTTCCTTTCCTTTTTTCCCCCTTCCTTTCCTTTGCTTTCGTTCTTTCGAAACTAGTGGGATCGTATCCTCCCGCAGCAAAGAGCTAGGTGAAACGGAAAACGTCGAAATAGGGAATCGTAACCCCAAGGACAACCCAGTAATACTACATACGTACATACATACCTACCCTTGGGACCACTCAAAGAGCTCATCCGGTACATGGGAAGTAAACGAAGGCTTTTCCTAAACATACGTTCGACTAGGGTAGACAAGTTTACCTGCAAATCAATTCACGGCGTCTGCAGCTTAAACCGGACGTACAAATATCGAACTCATCCTAGCAGAGCAATAGTAGGGGAAAATAAGAAAGCCGGGTTTTCGAGCAGAGCTGGGGTTGGAAGGTGTGAAAAGAACTACATACCTAGCCGGCGACCGACTTGCACCTACCCTGCTACTAGTGTTGGAAATTTCTCAACAAATCTCAACAGTCTTGTCGTCTAGAGTCACGATTCCGGGAAATATATATCAAAGGTGCACAGAAGACTCACGGAATCTTCCCTCCCCCCGATACCCGCACCGACTCACCGGAAGAATACATATATCTCGGATCACTACCCGGACAACACGTGAAAGAAAGAGAGATAGGGAAAGAAGAATTCAAAATCACGCTGGCATCTGGAACTGATCTCCAACTGTAAATATTTGACAGGTCCAAAAATTTCTTTTTATAACGTAGGTTTCGAGTTTCCTAATATCTTTATATATTCAGCTATTTTCCCCTTGCCCTTTATATGTCGCTTGTATATAATCTTGTCCCTGTTGTCAGAACTCGTCACTAGCATTACTGTCGTGTTCCCGTCGCCCCTTTGTTTTGGATTCCTGATCTAATATTGCGTGGTTTGTGCAGAACTCATCCTTCCCAAGTAGCTTTTCGACGCACGCCGCACACCGCACAGACTATACCTACCATTCTCATCCATAAAACGCGCGTGAGGACTAGACAAGCAAGTGGAAATTGCCATCTCGAGCTTCCCTACCATAGAAAAAACCCTGCGTTGCTATCGCAACTGGTGAGTAAATAAATGACATTTGTTCTACTATTTGAAGCTATCTTTGACCCCCCACCCTGTGAGGCCCTTCAATGTTTGATCCTATGAATGTTCACTTCATCCCATCTTCCCTCAGCCCACAACGATGCTTTTCTCTTCTTTTCTTTGTGAATTCCTTCTCTGAGCACGCACTTTTCTTCTGATACGAATATATCTTCCAGCGCGCTAAAACTATATCAGCAACACAAGCTCAGGTTATCAAATAGCGCGTAGTCACGGCCAGTCGCCCCTGCCAACGTAAGCGTACAAACGAACCACGGCCACACCACCGCCACCCGCAACTCGGGCGTAACAAATTAAAACCGGGGGAGACTTACTACAACGTTTTTTTGTCTCTCTGTGTGTTTTTGCAAGACATAACTAGACAAGGAACCGGCCGGAAACGCCAACTCACGGGCTTTTTAGGAAGCAACCCACAGCTGAAATAAGGGCAACAAATCACATCAAGGATCAACTACCGGCTAGTTAGGTACCGCACTAGCGTACAACAATTGTCGTGTGTAAATATTCTAGAACTCTGCTATATCTGCTCTAGTGGGCGGCCGCAGTCAGTTTTCGACCCAAGCCTAGAGCCCGGCGGTCTTTCAGATTTTCACCCTTTTCTCTATCATTACTGTCACTCTGCCAGTCTACCTACCTCCTCGTCCCTAGACTTGGTCCCAAAGGTTGCACGTTCTCCACCACATCGATAACAATTCAGGCATCACGAGGAATCGAATCAGGTCATTTCGGTTCTGCTGTGTTCTCTTTTTTCAAACCTTTTTATTACGAAACCCGCGACTAGATCTCGGCTGTAGATCAGATTCAAAATGAAGCCAATCGGCGGGATCATCACGAGCAAAAAGTCTATCCCAGACAACTTTCGACAGGTAGAAACATTTACGACGGAATATTTGAGTAAACTATGGAAGAGTGCGTCTAACCTATCCCCTTATTTTTCTTTTACTATCTTCCCCCCCCCCCCCCCCTTTTTTTTTTTTTACCCTTGAGATGTTTCTCCCATCCCCAGAAATGTATAGAGAGCATTTCTGTCCCAAAAACTCCCTCCCTTTTTTCAATATCAACATTTCTTACGAGCAGCAATAATCAGACACCAACAACGGGAAGGGGCAAATTTTAAAATCTCAAAAAATCTCAAACCTCAAAGTGGACATCCGTTGAAAACTTATTTAAATAACAGATTTTTAAATAATAATCAAAAAATGCGCACTGCTAATAATTACTCCCCTTTGGGAATTTAGTCTACACTATCAACCGCGATGTCCTCGATAAAGGCCGCCGTCTAGAGAATCTTTTCTGGCGGATATGGGGCAGCGAACGAATGAATCGGAACTTTTCCGGGCAGAAGGTTTCCCAAATATTTACAATGATCTTCGAAAGCGAATCCGGATTTGAACTTAGAAGACCACCTCCTCGGCCAATCCGCGCAGCTCTTCCGCCACCCTCATCCCCATCATTGATGGCTGATATAGACACTCTCAACAGCCCCCGCCCAAGCCTGGAGATAGAATGCCCTCCAACCCCACCGCCTAGCCCAGTACCCCCTGTTACGTCAGTTGTAGGATTCCAGTTAGGGACAAGCTACTTATCGAAGCTTCCCTCGCAAACAGCCATCACCGCATCGTTGCGGAAGAAATTCCCAGACGCTCCTCCTTCGCCACCAATACCTTCTCGGTCTCCAGTAATTGCATCAACGCCAATACCATCTATAGAGGAAGTTGAAGACACAATATCTCCACAGCTCCCGCCGCCGCTACCTTCAAAATCAAACTTAACAGTAACCATTGTTGCAAACGTTCAAGTCAGCCCCGGTGGCGCCGCCTCATATACCACAGTTGCATCCGCTTCGGATTCTTCGGAAGGCCCCAAAGCCAGCAAAGTTCGAAAAGCTAAATCTGATCGCCCACCGCCTCGTGGACGTCGGAAAATCGTCGCAACAAAGGCGACGACCACCAAAGCGACAACAGGGCGGACTACAGTGGCGTCTAAGAAGAACATGCTGCGGCCGGCATTGCCAAAACGGAAGAGTAGTAGTTCTTCGAATACAGCGGTTAACACGGCGGTCTCGAGCCCGAGTAATACGCTAACGGTTGACGTTGCGCGGTCATTGCCGTCGTCGAGTCAGCAGAGACAGGACAGGAAACGGAATTCTTCAACGGAAGGGGATGACGAGGAATCGAGGAGGAAGGGCGATGCTGTAGGAAGTGGATGGGTTGTGGACCCAGATTTCAGAACGAAGTACCTAGAGCAGAAAAACAAGGAGAAGCTGGGAACTTTGACGAAAGATGTTTCGGCAATTGCTATGAGTGAAGCTGTGACCAAGAATTCAAGGAGGGTAAAAGGAAAGAATGTTCGAGTGGTTGATGAAATTGTACCATTGAAGGGACTGTCGGAGGATATGGGAGACGCTCAGGTGGCACCTATTGTCACCGTGCGTGATGTGGAAGTTGATGATCAGGCATCAAATCTACCACGACGGAAATCCGAATTAACACTGCTATTCGAGGGAGCGAAGAAGGCCGGAGAAAAGAACGGGAAGGAGCGCAGCACCAAGAAGGTGCAAGTAATAATTGAAGGAGAGATCCGGCGGTAATCGTGCAGGCAAGACCACTTGGGTACTGTCTGTATTTATGTCAGTCGGGCGGGGAAGGGGGAGGGGGAAGGGTGTGAGAGGCATGCAAGGAGATCGAAATATTGCGGGAGGATTCGAATGTGAAGCGGAGGTACAAAGGTTATTATTTGCATTTCCCTTGTCGGGCAACGGGGATGTTCCCTGCTGTCAGGTCGGGGGCCCGGCGCCGCGTCTGTTTTCTTTCTTTCTCTTGGTTAAAAAAGAGCTTGGTTTATAACGGAAAAGTGTTTTTTGTTTTTTTTCTTCTCCTTCTTGGTTCGTTTCTTTCATGTGTGTGTCTATGTGTGCGTTAGTTAGTTTCGATCGGCTCTGGATGGGTCCTTATCATTTAATTCAGTATGAAATATATGTTTTTTCTTTTTCCTTTCCCTTTTCCCTTTCCTTCCGTACATACGTACCATTCCTTTATAAACCTTTGTGTACTTGGGGGGTGGGGGGGGGGGCACAAATCAAAAGTCTACTCCCCCACCGAGACAGAATTTACAGCAGATCTTGGGACGGTTCCTCCCCCCCTTACACTTTATACAAGTACTGTACCTATTACTCCTTCTTCTCATCATTGTTGTTGTCGTCATCATTGGCCCCTGGCCTGGCTACGTGTTTTCGAGATCGACTATTTTTTTTTTTACTTTTTTTTTCACTCAACTGTTTTTTTACTTTTTGCGTCCGTCCCGGTCGAGCCCCTCGGGACAGCTAGATAGATAGCTCTAGCTACCTGGTAGCCAGTTATCAGTAACACTATCTGGTGGAGTAGCTGCTGTGGTCGGTGCGGACTGCGTGTAATTGGGTTACGTTTTGTAGATTCGATTCATATAATAGACTCATGGTTTAATTTTCCGAGCCGTACCGTCTCTCTTACAAAAAAAAGCTTATGCTGATCATTGACTATCTTGTCCAGTCTACTTACCAACTAGAGTAGAGTGCCTAGAGTCTAAGTAAGGTAACATGAACTACCCTAGATCTAACTATCCCTACACCTACCCACCTACTCTACCCGTAACCAAGAAATGCAAAGTACTCTATCAAGGTATGTATCGACGTAGCATCTCTAACTAGTACCAAGATCTGATCTCTGGCCATGGCCCGGCCGGCCCTGGCCTGTGTGCGAACCCTGCATCGATCAAGGGCAACCTGGACAAGGCACACAGGCAGCCTCGCTCTAAGATGATCATCACGGTCATAGCCTGGAATGGGTTGTCTTGGTTTCCGGGGTACGGTTGACGTTACATACATGTGTTGGGGAATTTGGCATCTCGTTTCCTTGGAGTTGCGGGCGCCCCCGGAGGTAGGTGGAGTATGTACCTACTGATATCATGCAGGGCTGGTGGAGAGATGTTTCGTACGTCGATAGTGTAGATATGTGGTTAGGTGGTTAGGTGGTTAGGTGGTTAGGTAGGTAGGTAGGTGGTTAGGTGTGTCACAGGTCACTGGGACGGATGGGGGAGGTCATTAATTGGGTTGACTGACTCGTTAGTTGGCTGGTACCGGTCAATGACTGGTTGGCTAGTTTATTGTCATAGTGGTTGGTTCGTGAGAGTGAAGAGGAAGGTGGGGGGGGGGCGGGGAGTACAGAGCTAGAGCGCTAGAGGGAAGTCACCTGTCGTGTGCATATCGTGAACACCGAGTAGATGATGCGGAAACATGTGCACAAATAGATAATGAGAAACAAAATGACTGATAATAATTCCGTTTCTTTGGCTCTGGAAGCACAGGCTGAAACTTTAAACCATACGATGCATACATGTATCTATCTATCGAATCCATACGCGTACGTACGTACACGGGATGGAAATAAAATAAAGCTTAAGCTAGGCAGATAGCAAGTAGTTGGTTATTTGCGAATACTCAGCTCGGCCTACTATGGAACTCACGATACCTATCGCTATGAAATTAATCAACCCAATCCGAACCGAGAAGACCCATATATCCTATCCACCACTGTCTCAGTCTCGGTCTGCTCTACCATAGGTAGTCACGAGTCGAGTCGAGAGAGTGGGTGAGTAAGAGGGAAATGATAGATAACGTCCAGACCAGACCGGAGATATCAGAAGTTCGAAATCAACCAAGCTCACGTTACCAGCCCAGATAACTGTAAGATGCCGTCTGATATAGTTTATAGTTTACAGTTACGGTTATAGTTAATTATGGTTACTGCTGCTTGGCTCGATGTCACGTTGCACTGCTGCTCTGCTGCTCTGCTGTGGTACTCTACAAGCCATCTGTGGTTCCGGGTGTAGAGTACTTAGGTCGAGCATCTCCTACTACTACATAGTAATAAAAGCCAATCCAGAGTCTGGCAGAGTAGATTACTAACCAAGCTTAAGTCTCACCACCCATCCTCCCTCCTCCTCGACATCGTCCCACTACAAGGCTCTGGCATTAAGTGAGCGAACTAAATGGGGTGTTGGCCGGTAAGGATCCGTTCACTCACTTAATGCCAGAGCCTTGTACATCCCCCTAAGTGCCAATTATTAAACGCAACCCCCCCGATCGGCCATCCTCCCCAAGATCTAGCATTCCCAGCGTAGCTGTGACCCGCCAGCACAAAACAGCGCCAGCGAGTAAGAACTCTAGGAGATCGTTCTGCGCGGGGACACGCTGGGCAAGATCTATCCAGGGTGGTGTCGAGGACGGGGGGTTTATGCTAAATGACGGTGACGGAGGGGAGGATCAGGGAGGGTGCAGGGATCATGTGTGGGGACGGTTGAGGGTGGAGGGGAGGGTGGTGACGTAGTGGCTATAGTACTAGTACTCTAGGGGAGTGCCGTTGGGGGGAATTCAAATCGGTCAGTGCGGCCTTGCGGGTTTGAGTGGGAGGGGGGAAGGGAGGGGGGGGGAATGTGCAGTGGAAGGGGTACATAGAGAAAGGGAAAGGGGGATAGTGTAGATATGTAGGTACGCTGCTAGTATACTTTATTTTACCTACATATACACATTCTCTACATGTCATATCTCGACCTCTACTCGACTCCAGAGCAGAGCAAACGGGGAAGAAAAAGGGTCCCATTCCCGCATCGCAGCCTCCCCAGCCCGCCAAATCAAAAGCTTGTCCTGGCGTTGATCTGATGGCCGCACACACATGTAGAGCAACCGGCATCGTACCGGTAAAGTCCCCTTATCCATTTAATTCTCCCCTTGACGTAACAGACGTCATGCCGTTTCTACTTTTACATACCTTACTGCCTGCCTGACGGGGTTAGGATCAGAGAGGGGACGTGCTGTGCTTGGCCTGCGGAAGGGAAGGCCAATCAGCGGGAGCCTCGTCTCGTCTATCTAGCTTACAGCGTAGCTAGTTATCTACTAAACTAGACTAAACCTACTTTTTTTTTCTCTCCCTTACTCACCAGCTGGCCTGGCTGTGATCGACGGGAAAGTCGTCAGGGAAACGTAACGTAAGGTCATTTTTTTTGTGTCGGTGTCGGTGGCTGTTTATTTCTTTTTACTTATTTTCCCCGGACTGGAGGGAGGGTTGACAGGTGGAATCATATTTTGCTTTTTCTTTATAATTTTTTATGCGGTTCTCTTTTTTTTTTTACTTTTTTTTTCTAGAGTATGTTCGTTTGTCGACTGGGGAGGGGGAGGGCTGAGATAGAGGAGGCAAGAGAGGTCGGAAGGAGAAGTGCAAAGTATGGTACGGTAGAGGGGCAGAGTACGGTACACAACGGCTGATTCCCCCCATATGGACATTGGACATCTGGATGGGCAATTGACATTGGATCATCATGAATGGATATGTAGCAATCATCCATCCATCCATGAGCCAGTACCTCCATGTGGCCCGTTTGTCGCCCGCGATTCTCCACTGGAGTCGTTAGACAAGTATGTAAGTCAGACTCACTCCTGCTCATTCATGCTGCTCTATCTACATGTACAATGTATGTATGTAGAGCCTGTCTGTACCAGTACCTACATACATAGATCAGTCTAGCTGTAGCTAGTAGGTATGGAGCTCCGGAGCGTGGTGAGCACACGACAGACAGACGGACACGACACGACTCGGTACCTACCCCTCTCCTCTGTACTCTAGCTCAGCTCTTGGGCAGACGAGACGTGGCCCGCCCCGCCCACCCGCCCGCTCGCCCCAACAGGATCGTCTCCCGGGTAGAGAGAGAGCAAGTCGGTAGTGTACCGCTAGTGAGTAGTGTAAGTGAGCGGCGAGTAACGTGATATCGCGTTGGCGACGCGAAATGGGTGAAACATGACATCCGCGGAGCGAGTGAGCAGCTGTGCGTGGAGCGAGGATCTGGGGGGGATGTGCAGGGAGCCGGAGGAGATCGCCTGGTGAAGGGACCAATTGAGGAGCGAGGGGAGGGCAGAAACGAAACAGTGTCGGGTATGAGCAATGGAGATCCGGAAGGGAGTGTGAGTGATTATGGGGTAGGGGTGTATATACTATGGGGGGGAGATGGTATACAGATGGGGAAACTCATGCTTGTTAGCTCACTGAGAAACAAAAATAATCTCACCTCCGAGCTCAGTCAGTCTGGTCAGTCAGTCCAGACCTGCGCAGAGTGAGTGAGCACCAATTTAAACACCCATCCCCCCCATATCCCCACACTCCGGGGGGCCAGGCCCCGTCCCCGTCCTCTCTATGTCAGTTTGTTTATTGCTGTGCCCCCAGCACAGCAATCTAGGTACACTCCACAAAGTATCACAGCGCAGCACAGGCCAGACCATGGCCCAGACCCAAAGCTACCGAAATAATCCCTCCCTCCACCTACCCTGCCAGCCGCGGCCCCGAAACATACAAGAACCACGGACCAAGCGCCACGAAACACGCGCGCGCCGGAAAGCAAAAAGGAAAGGAAGGTCGAAAAGCTTGGACCCTCGTGGGGGAAAAGGAATTATTATTGAATGTTTAATGCGCGAGGTTCGTGAGTACGTGAGTGCCACGAGGAGAGGCAGGGAGAAACAGAAAATCGATCGTGAAGTCGAGGCAGCGCAGGGAAGGGGGTACGTGGTGTGTGCGTGGAGATTGGATGGTGGTTGCGGGCTGTGTGCGAGAAGAGTGGGAGGATGAATTCGATTGCGGGGGACGCAGAGAAAAAGAGAGGGGATAAGAACGGGAGAGGGGGAATAATACGAGTGCGATTCGATGCTGAATCGGCGGCGAAGGGTTGGGGAAGCTCGTGTACTCTACTGTATGTACTGTAGGTTGTGTGTGTTATCGAGGTAGGTAAGGTACATGATGTAGGTTTTGTTTTGAGAGCATTGTAACTTGCAGAAAGTCGATTGTAAATCCGATGTCGTGATGTGGGAAATCGCAGCCAGGTCGGCGAGTTTCCGTATCCTTCTCAGGGAAAATCGTAATTCCGATTATTTGTTTCTCACTGTCATTATCACTATCACAAGCTGCTGCTGGCCATCCATCCACCCATCCATCCATCCATATGCTTACTCTATGCCAGTATTAATGCGGTGCGGGTGGATCACGCGAGCGACGTCGTCGTCGTTGCTTCATTTAATTTTGGGCAAAAAAGAGTCAGAGTCATGGGAATTTGAAATCCGATTTCTGTTTCTGTTTCTGTTTCTACCCTTTTATTTATTTTGTCACTTTGTCGTATCACAATCGTCACAATCACGAGAAAGGGAAAAAGATGGGAGCGCACCCAAAAAACGTTTTGACCGGAGATATTTTTTTTCCCCTTTCACATATCATTTGAAATTTCCGCGCCATGATGCTAAGTTGTAAAAAAAAAAAAAAAAACCTTCTAGATATGGTGCGCACACTCTTAAAGGTGACACGGTGGTATCTGGAAGTGGCTGCAAGGTGAGCTCCAAGGCCAATGAGGGGCTTATTTCTAGTATTCCTGCCGCAATTCATTTTTGAGGGGGTATAAATGGGTATATACTGTTCCACTTTGCTCAGTCTTGGCGCCTTTTACATACAAAAATCCGCAACTTCAAACTCTTATAACTTTTTAACTAAAGTAGATATCAAAAATCTGGAAATAAAAACTAAAGTTCATCACTAGTACTACACTTTTTATTTATAGATTTTTTTTAATTTTTTTTTTTTGGTAAAGTTATAAGCCCTCGAATTTTCGTCACCTTTAAGAGTGGGCGCACCATATATGTAGCTCTATCCCCCGGTACATGAGTAAAGTAGTAACTAGCGCGCTGGTAAAATTCACAAAAACAAAAAGATCAAAGCCATAAAAAAATGATGAGACCCAGAAAAACACCATGGTGAAAAAAGAGATATTACTATCCTTTCCAAAACCCGCCAACCCGTCACCCTCCGTCATCCGACATGAACAGATACAAAACAGACCGCTAAAAACACAGAAAGGGAGAAGAAAATGCTTTCCCAGGGTAGTTATGCACATACAACATACAGATACATGTACATTAGCCAGCCGAGCTAGCTAGAAGGCAGACAGACAGACAGACAGAAGCAGCGGAGACGAAGCGGAACCGGGAGCTAGGGAAGAAGGGAGAAAGGGTAGAACAGAGCCAGAGAAGATATGACGTGAGAGGCCGGAGGAGAGAGAGAGAGAGCAGAGAGGGGGAGGTAGGGAGGTGAGCCACGAGACGAAAGACGAGACGAAAAAGCGTTGAGTCCCGCTCGCCGCCCCCACCCCTCTCCCAAATCAGACCAGCGACCAGCGACAAGCATGCGACGACGACAGCTTGTTGAGGATACGAGGACACGAAAGTGTGCGAAGCGAACCCCATGATGCTGTCTGTCTGCCTGCGCTGGTGTTGTTATGTTGCCGGAGCCGAGTTATTGACGACATAGCATAACCCCCGTACCGCCGTCCCTTTCTCTCTCAAACTCTTTCCCCTCTCTCGAGATCACCCCGATGCACGATGTTCCTTCCCTCATTCAACTCCCACCCCCTCTCTACCTCCCACCCCCCGAATAGCCACCATAACCGCACCCCATACCCCCCCCCCCGCTCTGCCCTCGCCTCTCCCCTCCCGAGTAGGCCAGACCAAACCGCAACACGACCAATCACTAGCGCGGCCCCCCGCCGATAGCTCAACCGAACCAGCCAATGACCGCGGCCCCCGTAACACCAAGCCCGCACCCAGAACTGCAAAAAGGAACACGACGAACGAACGCGGACGGAGAACGAGTGGATGGGTAATAAAAAACCATTTTTTTGTTGTTAAATCGCTTTCCAAAAAAGGTTTTCTCTTTCTTTCTTCTGTCTGTCCATCCCAAAAAATAAAAAAAGTAAAAGATACACAGGCTTTTGAACCTGGTCAAGGAAATCAAAAAACCCCAAAATATTTGTCCCCGAAAAAAAAAAAAAACTCCCGTTCAAACGCCGTCGCTCCAGTGAAATTTTTTACCAGAAGGGAAAAATAAAAAATCAGAAAAAGGAACCATGACGTAACGTGACAAAAAAAATAGTTAACACCCCACCAAAAAATGGAATAGGAAAAAAAAAAAAACGATGCCCCAAATACGAAATCCGGAAAAAACAAATAACTAGAGAAAAAACAAAAGCAATAAGATCAACAAGTACCGGAGACTATATGGAAAAAGGAAAATAGTAATAGGAAAATGACCCAAACTAAAAGTATAACCCAAAAAATAGTTTCGTCGATTGAGGAGGGAGGATTGTTGTAGTGGTAGTAGTAGTAGAGGAGGAGGAACGAATCGAAAAAAGATGATTTGGTTCAGAAATCTGAGAGTCTTTTTATCGCTGCTCGTACTCGTTCGACAATGAGGCTAATGAAGGGAGATCTATTGAGGGTCTTCGGTATGGGCTCGGGGCAGTGAAGATTGAAGTCTTTCGGAGTCCGAGTTGCTGTAAAGGTTGTTAGTAAATCTTACTTTCGACATGTGAAGGTTCTCTCTCTTGGTAATATCTTACCCTGCAGCTATCGCAACGTGTGTTGATCTGGTTTACTCTTCCGCGGCATCCTCTGGGCTGGTTTACGCAAGAGAACATTTTGAATTGTTTGTGGGGTGGGATGGGAGCGTTGAAAGCTTTAGGTAGTTGTGGTAGTGGTAGAGTAGTAGTAGTAGTGTAGTAGTAGTCTCTTTGTAGTAGTGTAGTAGTACTATCGATTGATGAAGCTTCTTCGAGGTGGTATTTGTATTGTGCGTAGTACTGAGTTGTGTGAAGGCAATGTTCTTCTTCTTGATGTTCTTCTTGTGATTGATGGAGAGTCTGTTCGAGGAGGGGACTGTGTTCTTATAAGGTGATATTCAATTGAAGGGTCCTGAATACTGTGCGGATCGTGATCTGATGGAAGGGTTCGAGTTCTTGGACGGGGGAATCAGGGCGTAATATATCGTTGGAGTGGCTGTATGGGTTTAACACATTGACTGGTTGTGGTGAGTGTACTATTCTACCTGCTTTTGATGGATACGTACCTGTGTGAGACGTCGTAGGGTAGGGCGGACGCCCGACCGGGGGGGGAGTGGCAGCATGGATGATAGCATGGCAGGGTAGACCAGGATTGGGTCATGTCTATTTTCTCCCAAGTTGCAAGGCCAGACCCGGGGGTATGTACCAGAGTCACTTTTTTTTATTTTGTTTTTTCTCACTTTCCTATTTGCCTTCTTGGTTTTTTTCGCTGTTATTACCACAGCAAGGCCCAAAAGGGGGTTGGTGTGGTCTGCGGCAACAACTTGATGCAGGCGATCTTAAGAATCCAAGTTTCAGCCCTCTCCGCCAGTAGCGCAATTGCAGATGCTTGGGTTGTGTCTCTCTGTCTGTTCTCTACCTTCTTTCCTGCTCTACAGGAGTGGGGCCGGGGGGTGAGCAGCCTGGAAAAACCTCTGGACCTCGCCCGCCCTTTTCTCGTTGTTGGGGTCCTGGCCGGGCCAGCTTGTTGTTGTTGTTTCCATCTGGGCCCTAGGCCTTTTCTTCGGGGAGAAGAGTTAGATTTCTCTTGGGATCCAAGAGTGGTAAAGTGTAGTAGGGACCTGGTGTAGAACGAGAAGCCATGCAGCGCTTTTCCTGTTTATCTTGGCCTGCTATTTTTACTTGTGGGACCCGGGTCAGGACTTTGGGAGGCAGTGGTCCAGGTCAGCATGCAAGTGCTTTCTGTGTCGTGCATACTCGCTCACTCGACTCTAGCTCTGAGGGTCCACCACCGTGCGAGTGGAAGAGAGAATGCATTACTATTGCAACTATTATTATTACTCTACCCACCACCACCATAAACACCAGTACATGCCAGAGGAACGTCGTCGCAAGGCTGACGAGACGATGCCATAGTCGAAAGTCTAAGCCCTGGCCAGCGCAGAAAAGGGTGCAATTTCTGTTAGATACTGTTTTTACTGTTTCGAGGACGCAGGTGCCGAGGTTCGTGGGCTACGTGTAGTTGGCGGGGGCCGGGAGAGTAGAGGGGAGGAGGGGCGGCTACGGATCGATAATGTTGTTTTGGCCCGTCACATTTATATGTTATGCGCAAAAAGGGTAAACTGGAATAAATACGGTCGAGCCTAGATGAACCAAACTGAAGTGAAAATGGAAAATGGAACTGAACTGAGCTCTCACGGTTCATCGAAAAACGAAATATGATAATGCCCTCCCTCCCGTACTGAGACCGCAGGACCCGTGAGCCCGGCCTATTGGTATTGGATGGTGGTGGTTAATGTTTGGTGGTTTATGCATTATTTGGTGTTATGTATGTATGGTTATGTAGGGGGAGAATTAACAAAAAATGCGATATGCAAAAATCGATTCTCGTTTTTTATGATTTCTGTCATTTTGGAGTTTATCCTGGATGTGACGCGCTGGATGCTCTACCTAGTCTAGCTTGGTTATGAGGTGAGGTGAGGTGAGTTGCAGAACTAGGTGCATGCAGACACCTGTGATCTCCGTGATGTTGCGCCCCGCATTTTTTTTTTTTTCTTTCTTTGCGACGGAACTTCATTACTCTACCGCTAGTATGTACGTGTAGTAGCGACATAACATTTCGATAGAGTCATGATCATGTATGAAGAATAAGTCCTTCAATATTGAAAAGTCATGTCATGGCCTAATATTATACAGGCAGGAAGCAGTAGCATTGATCCGACCCAGCTCGAGGGCGGGCGACAGCAGTTTCCAGAGTAAGTATGTGCTGCCAGAACTTATCTATTTGCTGTAGGCAGGCTCGCGCAAACCTCACTCTCCTCATCGTCCACCGAAAAAAATTGCACATCACCGTTGCCTCCTCCTAACCCTGCACCATGGGGATTCGGAATTGACAAAGACCCCGTCATGGGGTTTCCGGAATTTACGATTATGCTGAAGTTGGGGAGGTTGATGCGGCGCCGGCGCCGCGCGCGCGGCTGCGGACATACAGTACCTACTCTGTCTCAATTGTCTTGCAATTGCTCTACTCTTACTCTACCGGAGGCGGGAGGAATGGAGGGAAAGAAAAAAAAACCTTTCATACTATTCTAATTCTAGAGTGATAGTATGTGCATCTATCTAGCCATTGGACGAGACATTGCTAAATACTTACTCAGGCCTGGAGAATTAAGTTAATCCGGCCACCGCGCGCGTATCATCGTTGTTCCCCCCGAGTAGAGAGGGAGAGTCTGGACACTGGATCCATGGACGGAGGGCGCGTTCAAAACAAATCCTGGTCCGCCCGTGGTCCAGACAGTAACGATGATCCCAATTCCAACGGCCGGGACTAGAAGAGGCGGAAGGCCTAGCTGGGGAAACAACAGCCCACCACACAACAACAACGGCACTCTGATAAACATGGGCTGGTACAAGAGCTAAAGGGGAAGGATCGTAGCATATGCATGCAGCGCAGGGTCCAGAGCAGAAGGAATCACTCTAGAGCAAAGACTACCTAGAGCGCCGCCGCCGCTATCGTGAAGGAAAAAAAAGGAAGCAAGGAGAAAAGAAAAAGCCCTTCCGTTGCGCAATTGCTCTGCTGGCCGAGCGAATACTCACTCGTTCACTCACTGCATATCATTTAGCTCTGTTCTGCTAAACTTGACTCTAGATCACACGCCCCAATCCCCAACAATTACAATCGCGACATGGCTGCTGCCACTGACTCCTCCAGGCTCCTCCTGCTGTTGCTTCTGTTGCTACTGCTGTTGGCGCCGGCCTGCCCTAATTCTAGTTCTCTATGCTTTCCCACGATGGTCCCTCCATCCCATCCACCCATTCATCCCTCAATGGGGGATGTCGAAACGACTGCGACGGCTACCTACAGAACATGTAGCGTGACTTGATTGACCTAGCACAGTACTTACCTCCTCGCTCCCCATGTATGAGAATAGTTCGCACAATACACAGGGGAGCCTCACGATGGTAGATGCAGGGCAGCATACTCACACTGTACATCCCCGGCTATGTACGGAATGTCTGTGGAAGCTTCCATCGGGGAGTCTGTGCAGCACCTGGTGCTTGCTGTTATTCCTAGACCCCTTCCTTCGATGCGATGCTGCACGAGGCTACTAATACTCTAGAGACACTCTGGGGAGGGAGGGAACGGGGAAGGGGAAGCTAGGGGGGGTTGGTATGTAAGCACCACAACCCGGTGTATTTGGAATGTCAGCCTCGTCTCTGGTTCCTGAGTAAGTAGGTGGAGGGAGCGAGTAACATTACCCAGGTGGGTATGGTGGTCTAGAGCTGTGTACCTTCTACATGGTACTCTACTCTATTATCCTCATGTAGGTATGGTACTCTATCTACTATTGCTTTGTGCTGGGTACATCTTGACCGGTAGTACTAATACTAGTGGTTGTGCGTCCATTAATTGTCACTCGGAGCTTGGCTCATGGTGATTGTTAATAATTCGAATACAAACAACGCCCTGTCAATTACCCCGCCCCTCCGGAAAGTACGTAACGCGGTGACCTGGTTAGCTAATATTAATAAAAACAATTGAACTATTCTGTGCTGCTGCTTTCCAAGCTCACTTGCGCTTTATTGCGTGTTCTGTGCAGCAGAGCACGTACGTACGTACCGTACAGTACCGGTAGACTACTGCGCCGGTACTGTATGTAGGTAATACATTTTATACGGGGCTGTTCTGATCCGCTCGAAACTCAAACTCTACGAGTCAACTCAGCCAAATACTAAAATACTAATCACGATGGTGTTTTCTCGCGGATACAGCGACTACCGTTTACACTGGCTATGCTGATGGTAGGGCATAAGAAACGTACGACGAGGGCCAGGGGGTGGACCCGAATTCCTTATCCGTCGTTATCGAGAGCAGCATATGCAAGGTCCACGACGCTGACTGAAGGTCTGACAAGACTCCGCCCCAGCCTCACGAGCACGCTGGCTAATGTTCCGGGTACGCGGAACATCAGGAGGTGAATACGGGGTGTCAAATCGGAGACTATTGAAAATAGATCTCTGGAGTATCTATCTACTCTAGGTACTTTACTTGAAGTAGGAGGTCGACCTGAGGCTTGAGGGTTGGAATGTAGGTACGCATTTAATTAGCAATATTAGATCAATCATGTAGCGGATCGCTAAGCGACGAGATGGCGGACAGTAACTAGCGGAAAACTTTATTTAGGGGGCGCTAGTGGTTGATTTGCGTGAGTTAGTGAGCGAGTGCGTGAGTGTGAGTGAGCGAGTGAGGGCTAGCGGCCGGACCCAGGCGCTAGTTAGCTGTGGTGAAGTAAGTCATAGACGAGCAGAGACAGCATACGCGCCGCGCCAGGCGAACCAAAAGAGCGTTGAGGACTCGACTTCTGCGGTACATACAGAGCATGATACCGATACTCACCTCTAACGGTAAGGGTCATCGGATGTCTGTAGGCTGTTACCCTAGAGTCTGCCTGTCTGTCTGTCTGTCTGTCTGTCTGTCTTTATTCTGTAGGTATGTCTGTCTATCAATCTATCAGTCTGTCAGCTGCATGCTGTAGGCTGGTCAGTCAGTCAGTCAGTGAGTGAATAATTCAGCAGCTCAATTCTCGGCGTTCGAGTTGCTCCGCATGTCCGCCAAAAAGCAAAAAAAGGAAAGAAATAAGGAAAAAGAAAAATGCGAGCAGCAGCATCAGAAAAAGCAAAGCCAAAAGACCACATTGCGAGCTCGAGGTCTACGCTGAGATGGAAATTGGAAACTGGAAATTTGCAACACCAGAACCAGACCCATTTTCTAAGGGTGAGAAACAAAAAAACCCCACCACAACGCTCGCTCTAGAATTATCGTGAGACCCGCGCTATAGAAAAAAAAATTAACGCTAAACCCCAATTCCTGCCCCACCTGCTACTACGTAAAACCTCTCCGTACTCTACTTATCGTCGTCTATCGTATCCATCGTGTGTAGCTGCGGACCCTCCCGGAGATAGTTTCCCCCTCTATGCTACTCTAATCCTACTTAGCCAGATCTACACACGTACATTAGACATGGTTACTTCCTCCCCTCACGGAATTAATTGCAATTGAATAAATATCTCCTCCATCGTGGGTTTGTGCTCTGGTCTTTGTCGCCGTCGCTTATCAGCACCACACACAGGATTACCTCCTCCCCGAACAGCCGGTTGCGTTGCAGAGTATAATATATCAATGTCGACCAGAGAAGGGTCAGCTGTCGGCGCAATACATACATTACATACCATACATGATGATTGATTGAGTGAGAGGGTCGTGGACCATTGGATTGTGGCACGTGTATGGTGCGGCTAAGAGAAGAAGATGCGTACAGCGTAGAGTAGGATAACTATCGTGAAATAGAGTTCTCTAACCTCCTGGTGCTCGCGCCTGACCACTGAACTGGCGGGGGCAATTGCAATTGTGCATCCTTGACTCTCTCGATATGGATATCCACATCTAGCGCAATTGATGCGGGTACCTTTTTTCCTCCCTCCCTGCTTGCCCGCGCATCCCATCCCCTTCGCACAACCACCCAAAAACGTGAAACAACCCTACTCCTTCACACAGCCAACACAACAGCACTCCACCAACCCCCCCTGCTAAAAAGAAAAGAAAAAGCTGAGAGCCTCACAGTTGTTGTTTCTCCACCACCACCACAACCAACGACCCATGTAAGTATGTAAACTACACAGAGGCATTTACAGTACCAATGCCCGCTCAACTGGCTGACTGGCGCTGGCTGGCTGGCTGGCCAGCTATCTAGCCGTTGATCTCAGATTCTAGATCTCCTTTCCCGGGATCGCTCACTCCAGATATCGATACACACACAACCGCGCAACCACCAACAACGTTCCAGATATGTATATATGTGCCTACACTGCATACAAAAGGTACTTTGCGGAAGATCCAGAGCCAGCCGGCGTCCCCTGTCACAGCTCCAGGCCCAAATGGAACTTAATCTTAGACACAATTTTATCTACAAAGCTACCCTTGGGAACGAAATATGCGATCGGCGAAAGCTTAAGGACCCCCGAGATATATAACCCTAACCCTGTGTATATTTCGCAGCCTTATAAACAACATGGCCGTATGTTTCTCAATTGAGAAAGTAAAGAAACGTGTGCAATCGGGGATGATAACATGTGTATATCAAGTTGAGCAGTATATAAAAGGAGGTGAATATCACCTTTGTTTCCTCTTAACCTCCTCAAATATCATCATCCAATAACATCTTCAACGAATAACGTCTTTGACCTTTATCCGCCTCATCGACCCTGGCACTGTTACCTCAACGGCTCCCCCAGCATGAGATATTGGGTAACACCGGCTGATTTTCGGCGCAAATGGCGGAATTGAAACACGATGCTTGGCGTATCTTCGGCTTTACTGGGAGTAACCAATAACCATAGGCTATAAAATTGGGACCTGGCTTGACTTCGATCTCAAGGTATTAGGACCTGGTTTGGCTGTATGTCGAGATCTTCTATCACCCTTATCGTGCCCTTACTTCTTGGAATAGGTTTCAGCTTCACCGGCATAGGGAGTAGACAATAACCGTGCGCAGAATTGGGATCTGGTTTGGTTTTACGTCAAGATTCTACTATCTTGCGCCCTATCTATATTTCTTGGAATGCTTTTCGTCCTTACTGAACCAATAACTATGTGCCACAAAACTAGGCCCTAGTTTGGCTGTACGTCAAGATGCTCGATTATCATACACGCAGTTGTCGGTACTCCTAACTGTATCACATCTGGCTCTAACGACGAAGACCGTTGCAATATGCGACTGCGGGGGAGTCTTTTCTCATTGGCCCGGTGTTTCATGATCTTTGTAAGTACTTGTGGAGAGTTTTATACTGGATTGCTTTCCTTATTTTCCGCTAGTCTCCTTTTATACATTGACCCATATAAAATAGATATTACTTTGGAAAGAGCTTCATTCCTTGTCGGTAAGTCGTTTCTAGAGTTATATATGTAATTGGTAATAGATGGCTAATTACTAGTAGCTACACCTATACCTACATCAAAGCGGTAGTTTTGAAGCATTTTCCCGACATCTATATTGTGTATATTGTATATACAACTTCAATATGAGGAGCTTTACGTCTCAAATCCATAAAAACAGTAATGTGAGCGAAACCACGTGACAGGGGTTGTTGCATGGTTTATCAGATCACTTTCTGGATCTGGTCCTACTTACTCGATTATGCGGCTCCATCCCTCTTCTCCTACTGCCAACGAACCTGCTCATCAGTTGGAGACATGGTACGCCGCCCAATCGCTTGCATGCACCATCCAAAAGGACAAATCATCAATGTGCGTGATTACCCCAGATTTTCATGCGTGCATAGAGTCAACTTGTCCTGTCAGTCTCGGCATGGGAATGCTGTTATTGTTTCTGGCGGACTGGGCGGACTGATGGCTTTGGACCAAAATCCCGTACCCAGAGATTTATGATTGGTTAAAACTCTCTACCCACCAGTATGTAACTGAGTAGTGCACTTTATGTATGTAGGTATGTACCTGCCCGGAATTCTTCTCCCCCTCTAGGTATTCCTGATATCGAGCTCCTCCTCCTATCCCCAGAGGTACTTGATTCTTTTTTGTCAGCTACATTGACTACGTAAACAATGCGCTAGTTTCTACAATTTTTGAGAAGCTCGGTTATGAACATGAGTCCAGGATGGTGGTTCTATTCTGGACTGCAGATTGTACCATTTCCAGTAGGTACCGAGGATATTATGGCATATTGATGAGTAATTTCCCGTAGACTCTAGGGGGAGTATGAGTCTGCGCATGTACCGCGCCCGACGTACGGCAGTCGGTGGATTCAGGGTAGACTTCAGGGTCCAGGTAGGACAAAAAGAAGGATGCTCGGGTCCCAAACGAGGGTCCAGAGTAGATTCACGGGATATTATCAGTGCCAGTCCTCTTGGATATCTCTCTACTCGACCCCATTTCAGCACGGACCCTTGACCGGGAGTTGCAGAGTAAAATGAAATGCAACCAAACCCCATTTATCGAGACTGTGGGGTAGTTTGTCATCTAGGACCCTGGCCGGGAAGAGAATCAAAACAAGATGGGGGAGTAATATCCGTTTCGCATAATTTAAACTTCTGCAGGCCGATAAATTGGTTTTCGGGGTGCTAAATTTGGGGTTTAGTTTTTTTTCCCCTACCGGCGGCGGCGGTGGTGGAGGTGGAGGTGGAGGTTTGTGGGGCTAGGGATTATGGAGTATGGGACGGACCGAACTTCTCTCGCTTGGGTCGCTTGACACTGGATCGCTTGTCCTGTCATTGTCACCCAGGAGACACCACCGCATACAGCGTCGCATCACTCACTGCTCACTGACATCAAAGTGTTTCTCAAAATATCTATTTTTTCTCTACAGCTACGTAGGTAGTTTAATCTACAAACATATGCTGTGGAATGAAGTAATCAACTCAAGGCGAGCAGGTTGGTTCAGTTCGGGCCTATGCTACTCTAGGGGGGATTTTCTTGGTTCTGGGCAGGAAGGGTTAGGGATGTGGTAGTTGTTGTGTTATTGCTGTGGGTCGTGATGAAATTGCTGATGAAACCGCTGATGGGAAAGAGGGAAACTTGATGGACGTCATAGTTGGTAAACGTGCATTGATAATATCTGTGAGTGAGAGGGAAATATCTCATGGACCCCAAAGGCAGACTAGCTCCGCGCTGGCCATGAGCTAACTACACCTGACTACCTGGGTTTAACTCTTCCTACTATTAGGAGTACCATCCCTGTAGGTATCGTGGTAATAGTTAGACACTGGCCGAGTGTGTCCCACGAAACTATCTTCGGACGAACACACATTGAAAAAACCTGATTTTTGCAACCCATAATAGTGGGTCCCCGGAGGAACGGCGACGGGGGTTAAGAAGTCTATTCTGTCTGTCAACCAAAACGTATGTAGGTACTACAAGTGTAACCCTAATCAACATGTAACCTGTTGGAAAAATGTAACCCCAAATCTACAGCAGCCAACAAAATAGCTTTTTACATATGTGTGTCTTTTACAGGTTTTATTTGCTTTGCTTGTGAGCTGTAAAATGATAATGCTGACCTAACCTTGACGGTGCTTCCTACGTGAGTGGTGGTAATTTCCTGCATTTTAGAACATTTGAGTTGTGCAGATCCTTCCTATTCTCACTAATATATCCGTTTTCTTCTACTCTTACTTGATTGCCTGCTTTACTTTCCTATCCCTCGTGGCATCCCGAAAAAAATAAAAATAATAATAACGAACAGAAAATGGAGAAAAAAAGAAAAGAAGACCAGTTGTGAAACATGGCTTTGTGTAATGTCTGATCGCACACGACACAGATATTGCCTCACTGATTTCACAGCGTGCGGATCTGGATCTGGGCCGCCTTGTGCGCGGAGTGGAGATGAGCTAGTTACCCGCTGGCTGGCTGGGTTAATTTGAAAATGGAGAAAAAAGGAACGAAACAAAACAAAATGTGCTAGGTCATCGTGGTGGTGGTGGTGGTGGTGGTGGTGGAGCGTTCGGGCTCGCCGGTTTTTATTTTGTTTGGTTTGGCGGTTTGATGGTTTTGGATTGGGTTCGGCGGTTTGTGGTTTTGGAATATTGGGGTTTTGTGTGATGTCGATGCTGATGCTGATGCTGTGAGAGCTAGATATGTAGCTGAAGGGTCTGGGGGATTTAGAGTACGGAGAGCTATGTGGTGAGTGGATAGCTAGCTAGGACATCTAGCTAGCTGTGACCCGACAATATCGCGATATCACTCGATGCCTCGTTTCCAATGCCGAATCACCAACTATCATCCACCCTCTCTCTCTAGCTCTTCCACTACTGCTACTACTACACTACCCTACCCGCGCCCATCTCCATTGAAACCCCATCGCATCTACCCCCCACTCGCCATCTCCAACTGCATCGCATCACGTCCAAAATTGGAATTGAAACAAAAAACCCGCCAAACACCTCCCTTCCCTACCGGTCCGATCCCCATCGACACAATTAACACAGCGCCAGCTAGGCCCGAGACCTAGGCGGAAGTCCAATCCGCTGTCCCGCACAGCGCAGCAACAGATAAAGTTGCATATATAGGTACCCCATACCGGTCATCGTAATTAAACACTCTCCAATCCTTTTTTTCTTTCTTTCCTTTTCGTTCTGTTCTGTTCGGATGGACCCAGCAAAGCAAAGGGGGTTTCAAACACATATCGGGAACCATCTCAGTGTCCAGCCATATCGGCCGATGCGCGCGTGAGGTACCCGTAATGTCTCCCTCGCACATGGGGGGTGGAGAAGGACATGGGGGGAGGGAGGGAAGGGAAGTAGGATGCCGTATCGGGGCGGAAGCAAGCGAGATCGGATCTTCACATTGTTAATCTCTTGAAATTTTTCCTTTTCTTTCTTCTCTCCTTATCTCTGCGAGTCTTTGAAACTCCTTGCTCGAAGATAATGTACCCAGAGTACATACCTAGAGTACCTAGCTACATTGGAGAGTGCACATAGATAACATACCCAGCTAGCTGGCCAGATAGATGCTCTACTCTACTAAATAGGCCAGCTCAACCCTCTCAACCCAGGGAAAGAGAAAAAAAGGATGAACATTCTCGACGATATCCGAGCGGGCACTGTCCGATCCAGAGCCATCTGCCCGATTCCGCCGTGTGCTCGCCGGCGTCAAACGGTCCTGTCTGTCTGCCTGTCTGTGTACGCATGGCCCTGTTAAACATCCCCCCCGGTCCATGTCGTACAGGTTGGTTTATCTTTCTTCGGGATGTCTGTCTTGATTTTCGTAAAAGCAGTGTCAGAGTGAAGTAATTTTGCGAGTCTCTAAACCAACTAGAGCTAGGGCTAGAGCACTACTCTGCTCTACCCAGGTCGGCCCGGCCTGTCGGTCGGTCGTGTGTTGCGTATGTAGGGCAGATTGATGAATTAACTGTCACGTCGGGCCAACTACTAAAGATAGATACATATCTACTCTAGAGTACAATAGTTAGAACTTAGAAGAGACAATTCCCGTATTACTGAACCCCCACGCATCACGAACCACTGCCCTGTCCTGCCTTCCTGCGCACGTACAGCAGCAGAAGCAGCAGAGAGACGTATAGTACCTACATACGGCGAGCGCGGCTACTTCGAAATAGATATGGCTAACAAATTTTCCAGATCTCACGTCAACCAGCTGCGCAGCTGGTTGAACTGTTCGAGTCAATCAGTACTCTATAGTAGTGTACATATTTCAGATTGATTACCTACATACGCATGTATGTACCTACAGAGTACCTACACACTCACTCACTCTCGCTCACACAATCACACAATCACACAACTAATCACCCCAACTCACAGTTAGGGCAGGTAGAAATTTGGTAGTGGTGGTGGTGAAGCTGATGATGCTACCTGCACTGGGAGAATTAACTTGCATGCACAAACCTCCATCGACGTCCTAGATCGCAGTTATTTATGGTTTTTGCCGGGGGGGGGGGGGTGATGGTTAATGAAAGCTTCGATCTCTTGGGCCATGGGGGGTGGTGGGAAACAGATCTCCGGGACTGATAAAATAAACAACATGAGACGCATTTTGCATTTGTTTCCCTCTTGTTTCCGATGCTATCTTATTTTGTAACCCTACCCTACGTTACCCTTACCCACACGCCGGGTATGTATGTATGTTTGACGGGAATCTAGAAGGATTGTTTCTTTTTCGAGGGAGGGTGGAAGCTTACCCGCCCCGACGCAAGGGTTGCGGGAGGGACGGTTTGGCACGTGGAATGTTGATTATCGTAGCTTGTAGCTTGGGTACATACGTGCGCGCACGCCCCGGGGGGGGGGGGGCGCAGCTGGGGAACAGCTAGGAGGATACATGTCTAGAAACATCGATGGCCCGAATTTTGACAATCAGTTAGATAAAGGATCTAGATACCTATGCGTCTTAGAAAGCACGCACCTGATATCCGAGCTCCTCCTGCTCGGCAATCATGGCAACAATCAATCACTGATACATACCGGCGGTCCCGCTTTGGGGGGAGGAGAGGTTTTAATTTTGCTGGCCCCAGCCGGATCTTCAGACTTCTCCTCTAGTTCATCCCATGGCCCCATCAATTATTAATCTGTCTTCTGTTTGACTCAAACGCCAGCCCCGGCCCCAGCTGGATCCAGTGTCTATCAGTAAGCGTTTGAAATCAATCAATCGATCTCATCGTTATCTGTGGGTGAACAACTGTGTCGGTCACCCTGTCTTTCACAGACTGTTTCGGGAAAGCATTGTCCGTTTGTAAGACTCATGTGCCCAAAGAAGGACAGACACATGCATGGATTATCACTCGCTTTCGGCCGTGCTCGGCATTAGTCGTGATATCCGCCCCGCGCCCCGCGCCCCGCGCCCTCCAAACGGCCGCCGTACCGGTAAGTCAAACCGGGTTTTAGATGCGAGGCCTGCATGATGAATCTTTGGCCAGCTCCTCGTCCGTGAGGTCAAAGGGAGGAGGAGTGAGAAGGGCCAAAGTGGTGCGTATGTCTGTCGCCTGTTGGACTCTCACAGTTCAACTCAGCCAGCCAGCCAGCCAGCGCAACTCAGCCCAGCGGGTGGCAAACAATTTCGGAATTTGTGACGGCCTGAAACCAAATGTGATTTCCCTTGCGATGTGGAGTAAGTATGGAATGGTTTTTATTTTACCCCAGACTTCCGGGTTTATGAAATCACGATAGAGGAAGAAAATAAAATATTTGTTTGAATATCCAGATATTGCTCGTGATGTTAATGCTGCTGCTTATCCCACCACATCATCATGATCCTCAGCTGCTCGTGAGCCCCTCCAGTACTATAATCAGTTTTAAAGGGTAAAAAGCTAGAGGAGAGAAGAAGATCAACAGCAGCTCTGTGCTGAACTGTCACTTTCATTCCCATCGATCGCTTAAGGAGATCACGCTGCGCTGGTTCGATCGGGTATATCCACCACCACCACCACCACCACACGTACTGCGGTACGGTAGAAACACCGGTGGCGTGCATATGTTGCGGTAAAATACCCGACCGACCTTTCAACTCCCACCCCGCCGCCTCCGATTATAACTCAATGATTGGAAAACTCACCTGTCCCGATATTTGGAATACCCATGAGCGGGGAGAAGGTCTTGGGTGGGCGTGGTGATTAGGGGTAGTGGTGGGGTGTGGACAAAATATGGCCATGGAGAAAAAGGACGAGTGAGTGGCTGTGACGTGAGTCAAGGGGTAGTAGGTACTGGTACACGCATACTGCAATGAGGGTCAATGTGCAGACCGGAAAGTTCATCCGATGATTCGTTGATGTTGACAATGTTCGAGATGAGAGTCAGTATGATATGTTTCTCGGCGGCCCCCCAGCCCTCATACCCCCAGTAATACAGAGTCTGGTAGAATTATTGCGAAAGTGGATTTTCCGTGACCCGATAGTCCTATTGGCCCTTAAAAGAATTTCTGCAGTGAGCACGGACCAAGAAGCCCACTCTTTTAGTTCTGACTTTCGCAATAATTCTACCAGACTCTGTACATTTTCTGGTGACCTTTCCCGACTAATCTCCGGTTAGTCCTCCAAGTACCTGCAGAATCACGACAGAAGTCCCGCGATCGGGAGTCTTTGTAAAGTATTAACAATGATTTCCCGGGGTGTGTGAGAAATGGGGGTGACGGGGGAGGGAAGGGGGGGGGGACACAAACTTTATCTGAATTGGGGTTGATTTCCACCAGTTTGACATTGGCACACTGACCTCCTCGGATCTTATTTTATTCTCCGAGAAAGAAAGAAGAAGGAGAAGCGTCAGTGCGGAGTGCTTCTCGCACGCACGTGCATACGTAACTCTGTACCTAAGATATAACCGCCCTTAAACCAAATGGCACGAGTAGATTCTGAATCACTGAATTCAACTCAACCTCAACAACAACTGTGTCGCTTTGACCGCGGGTTGGGAAACGTGGTCCCGCTGGAAGCCATTGAGTTGCCCCAAGCGTAAGGTTTTCTTCTGGACGACGAGGTTTAAGCTTCTAGCTTCACCGTGCCAAGAGGGAACTGGTTGGCTGTGGTGGGTTTTGACCGGGCTGCTGGGAGATATTTAGAATACTACTACTTAGTTCACTTACCGTCTTTAGTTTATCTTTGACTGGGGGTCACCTTTCTTTCTTCCAGGATGCCGCTCATGATAACAAGGCTGTAAGACTGTTTATGGTCTTCAATACATACGTCCGGCCTGAATGTTTGACTGGCCATAAGGTCTAGGACAAAAGGTCACACCGGCACCATTTACCCCTGATATGAGGAGCTGGAGGTAGAGAATTGTTAATTGGAACAGATGGGCCTGTCTCGATTAGCAGCTGTCATGATATAGCTAGTTAGACAAGGGGGTTTTATTTGCGACTGGGGACATGTTGAAGTTGGGGTGGATCGAACGGGGAGGTAGAGAAAGCAGTAAGACAGAAGTTGATAATATCGCACGGTGCTGAACAGGCACGGCCTTGAAGAATTGGCGGTAACAGCGGCGATGCTCCCGATGATGACGATGATGACCTGTCTCTTCGCTACAGATATATGTCTATACCAATAGTACATTAATCCCCTTTTGGCATCTGTCTGCGGCTGGCTTGCCTACGATCCTCAGAGTTAGGTAAAAAGGTCATGTTCGGCGAGAACCCAAGTTTTGTAATAACGAAATATTCGAAATAAGATAAGAGACAATAGGGATATTGTATGATACTTTTTGGATCGGCTCGAAAAGGAAATAAAACCCCCAAGACACACGAAATCCTCATATAATTGATATGGTAATCCGAACGATGTAACAATCTCAGCGCCTCACTCCGCCATCCCATCATCGTGTTCTAGCCATTCGGCTATTACCCAAATCTAGCTCATCATGAAACTCAAAGCTATCAGCAAATGCCTCAAGGGCCAGTAGATATTCACAGACTATCACTCGGCTAAAAAGATAGTTGTCTCTTCAATATGTCAGTTCTAGACGTGATGCTAGGGCTCACCACGGTTCTCATTACTGTACTTGTAGTGGCTAGTTAAGGAGGACAAGGTCTATTTTCTATTTATCCCTATCTCCGTCCTACGGAGGATCGCGGTTTCAGGTCACATAGGCGTTTCAGTGATCGAGTACCTGAAATCTGAAAACTACTCTTGAGTTAGATCCAGCACACTCTTTTTTTTCTCTCTATTCTTTTTTTTTTTTTTTTTTTTTTTTTTGCTTAATTCATTAATTAGTCCAGCGCACTCCTATATTACTACCTAAAAATATTTCCAGTTCAAAGTGGGGCTACCTAGGCATAGGTGCTAAGTATCACGGATTATATATTATTATATTGATTTCAATGTTATACTTGTAAGCATGCTCAATCGTGGCAGGTAATAACGCGCCAATATATGGCCAGTAAAGGTGTGAGGGCTAGCGTCTGCATAAACTAGTTCCTCATGAATCGTAAAATCTTAACGAAGGGACATATTTGAACCGCTCCGTAGCCTTTTATTTTCACATGATGTGCGCGTGTAAAACTATCTGAGAGGTGTACATGATTTTATCGACCTCTTCAGTCCCATAGGCCTATTACAAATTTGGAAAGGTTACTGGTAATATACGTATGATGGTATAACATTCGTGGTCGAAACGTTGACGGGAGTGAAAGTTAAAAGAAAGGAAAACATAGACATAATCCCACATCCGGTTTTAGGAAAATAATACCCACACAATTAAGAGATAGAAAAGGTTTTGATCAAAAGAATATCCAAAGACCCTAAACCCACGTCAAGTTTGTCGGTGGCCATTGATAAGAGGTTGTTGGGTAGTGTCTGCCCAGAACTAGATGGGTATATTTTTTGACAGTTCAGGCAACTTGCGGGACTTGTAAAACTCTGTATTCTCTGGTGGCTGCATACCATTAAAGAGCGATGCAGTGGATGGCGAAAAAAAGCTGTTATCGGCCGTTTGTATAGGGACATCTATGGGGTGAAAGATATCTGCAGTAGGAAATTTTGGGAATTCCTGAGCTCGCTCATGAGAGGTATTTGTGATAGCTGCTGCTGTATCAGTACCATATGGCACGAGAGCCTGTTGAATACTTTGCGATTCTGAGAGCGTTGGGTGCAATAATGTTTCATCCAGGGCATTATTTACAATACCAGCAGTATTGTCTTCACCGCCACTATTTTCATGCTTATATTGTTTTGATACTGGCACCTGTTGAATTTCACCAGAGGGCTGTGATTGCAATGAGACAGAGTCTGAGCTGGCGTTCTCAGTGCTGGCCGTAACAGCACCCATATCCACTAGTTGTTCACGAACGCCTGCGTGGTTCGAGTGGATAAAACGGGCGGTGGCCGCTATCCTAAATTTTCCCAAAGGAATTACGGAGTGCTATTGCAGGGCACAATTGGTCAGTATGATGTATGGACGAGGGATAGAGAAATTAAATGATTAAACATACCTCCCAGTATTTCTGAATTCCGGGGCCGCTCATCACCATCACGTCTCCATGATTTAAGCACAGGTCGAGCTTAACTCTAGTATCTTTTGAGGCCCGGGCTGATGTTTTCCGTTGAAGATCAGGTAAGTCCTCATTCTCCTCATCTTCGTCTTCGTCATCCATATTTAGATTATCATGCTGCTGTAGGGCAGGAGGTTTAGTCGTCCAAAGATGGCTATCCTTGACATGTTTTTTCTTCAGTCGAAATCTCATACGAGCTGGCGCGCCTAGGGAGACAGAGGCGACGGTTTCCCCAAGGCCAGCCTCACCGTCATCATGGTACTAATTTTTATGCAGTGTGAGAGGGTGTTACTGTAAGGGTGAAACTCGATCTAAGGATGCAACTCACGTCCATCTTCTGGCCCTCGAAGTAACCAACATTAAGAATTTCATTGAATTCTGCATTGGCATAAACTAGCTTTGCACGAGCAGTGATAAGACTTAGCGCTTGAGATACGACTGGCGGAGACTTGTCGAACGGGCTGCTGTCAACTTTTGCAATGAACTTATATGGAGCGCCCTAGGGTATTATTAGTATTAAATAACCAATGGTGAATAGTATCAATACCTACACAATTGAACGAGAATTGTTGAGTTAACAACGTTCCCCTGGCTAAATTTTTAAGTGTCAGTATAGATTTCCGTTTCCTGCGGATGTAATTGACTCAGCTTACATTTATGATTCTGCAAGGGAAATCGCTTAAATGGCATTTCAATGGACTGGTAATGTTCCAATAGCCAGTCAGCGTCCTTAGGACGTGCATTCGTATTCTTGTTTGCTAGGATATGTGTCACGGTACCACAACCTCCAAACATATACTGCATCACTGTCATACCATCCACGATGAACCGTTTGTACGCAACATCTTCATGACAAAAGTTTGTAGGTACGGCAGGCCCCGTAAAGATTGGACGGTGTGGGTTTGCCAAACTAGCAGCGGTAAAAATTGTGCGGGGTGGATTAATGGTGTAGCCACATGATAAGCATTTCCAACCGGCCCATAGTTCCCTACAGTTCAGGCGGCCGCATTCATGGCACCACATACCCTTCCAGTAGATACGCGAGACATCTTCTCCGTTATAGAAAATATCACGATTTTCATCGAGAGTTGGCGCTAATTCGCTAGGAGGCATTAAGTTTTCCTGGGGCCATGGTGTTCTGCAGAATATGAAGTTTTGTGTGTATTCGAGCTCTGCAGGCGCATCCTTACCATCAAGCTATTTAAATACGTATTAATATCCACGAATTTCTAGTATGAAGCAAATGGAGTACTTACCTGCCAGAATTGGGAGCATTCCTGATCGAGGCACATCCATCCCTCTTTGTAGATATGTGGGCTCTCGGTCTTACAAGTGCGGCAAGTACCCATCACCATTTCCTCAGGATGTTCACTTTCAACTGATGGCTCTCCAGCCCACCAGCCATCCTCTGTTGTATCAAGTTTTTCAAAACGAAATTTCCATCTGGCTAATCCAGTCACCGGATCCTTTTCAGCCCATCCAACAGTGACTTTGAACCAAGCCATGACACAATATGTATGTGGAATTTTCGATGGCGAAATTGCGCAGTTCTTGCCTAAATTTAAACATTGACAAAATAAGTATCAAGTGGAATTACGGGTATCGAAAAGTAACTAACCCATTATCAGGACTAATGGTGACTTGTCCACGATGTTCCTAAGGAGGTATTTGATTGTCTTGTCATCTTTTGTCTGGCTTGCAAGAAGCCTGCGATGCCCATCCTCATCATTGCCAGACTTGCCACCGCTGTATACGTAATTTTAGTGTTAACAGCCGGGTACGATAGATAATACAAGGGAAGAATCTACGAACGTATGAGTGATAACAACTTTTCCATCAACAAAGTCTCTTGGTGAAGGGAAACCATCAAGGAGGGATCCTAGAACAAGGCCATTATGTCCATAACAACCACCTTGATAACTACGAAAGTATGTCAAGCTCTCGCAAAGTTCTTGGCGAGACTATAAAATATAATGCAATTAGCAGTGTATTCAAGGTCTAGTACGAGTTTGGATGAAAAAAAGAAAAGAAAAGCACAATCTTACCTCGCACCAGATTTCCGGTCTTCTAATACCAGGAGGTTTATTTGCTTGGGGATCGTGTAGAATCATTGACATTTCCTGGCCGGAATACTCAATATGGGGCCTATTCATCACCTCCCTTTTAACCCGAGTCTTTTTTATTTTTGGTGCTATTGGGTTCTGGGTTTCGTTCGAAAGTTGGGGGGTGTGATTTGGTGGCTTCCATGCCTTCCTTACTCTTTTTCTCTGTGGCGATGTTTCAGGTGTAGGCGAGAATTGATGAAATTCGTCCTTTGGTGGTTTTAACTTTGCTGGAATGAGTCCTTCATCTCGGGTGCATTCTGAACCCACCTTGCTACATCTATCACAAGGCGTTCTTCTGTCGCAGAATTGTCGCACTCTCAAGCATCTAAGAATATGATATTTAGAGAAAGTAATCATGAAAATACTAAGGGAAGATCTCACTTGTGACAAATTTTGGGTATCATCCATATATCGTTGACCAGGGTAAAGACACCACTCCCAAAGCGCTCGGCATTGCTAATAACAGCAAATGGTGATGGTGTGACAACCTGCTCTCCACAGTTTTGAACGCTTTTGGCACCAGAGTTCAATTTCTGTCTTTTTGGAGTTAATATTTCTGAGCCATAATCCAGGCATGTGGTCACTTTGGCTGTTGTTTCGCCACCGGCATCGGGTTGGACATGGAGTCTATTAGTGATATCTACTCTATTGTCAGCCTTTTCGTTCTGATACTCAGCAAGTGCATTAAGACCACTCTCACCCGCCAATGGTCGGGCCCTAGAAGAACTCGCGGTGCTAGTTTCGGCTCCATTATCGATAAATTTATTGCTTGGAGTAAAATCGGAGGCTGACTTCCGAAATCTACGGGAGCTCGAGGTACTCAGTTCTTTGCGAGGCCGTAGCCTCCCCGAAGTTATTGCAGTATTGGCTAGAATCCCGCGTTTTCTAGTAATTGTTGGGACAATGGGTTTAGGATCCCGCAGTTTATCAGCTCCTTCGGACAGGGCTCTAGACTGACGTATCAAGTCTTTATCAGAATTGGAGAGATAACCAGCCCGGAACGAAAACTGTTGGGCGCTGTAATCAGGAGGCAAAGACGCCGGGCGTTTGGCTGGCTCATTTGGTAGCCCCTCCTCTTGTATTTTTGATTCTGGGGTTTCCGCGTCTTCTATCTCGACCCAAGTCCACCTGGAAAATCTCTTCCGCCCAGGCTTTTTTGGTGGAGCAGGGTTTTCGAGTGATAACGTGTGACCCAGCTGCTGGATCGAGTCATGTGTCTCCACTTTCCTTTTCCTTGCATGTCTTTTGTTTGGAGATGAATAGATCGTTGTAGAAGGCTTGAGTTCTTCATTTTTAATATGTTCATAATCCTGTTCGATTGCAGTTGATGAAACCACTGACTCTGTGATGGCACCACTACCGGTATTAACACTGAGCTTATTTTTTTTCCTAGGAGTTTTTGTGTTGTCTCCGTTGTAGGGATTGGGTGGTGTCTTTTTTGCACTGTTAGGTTTACTTGACGACCGAAGCTCTCTCGGCCCGATAATACTAAAAGCGCTGTCTTCAGTAGCAGCAATTGCTCTAGCAACTCGAAATGCTTCAACCGTATCTACATCAGCACAAACATCAACCTCTCGGGCTCGAGACTTCTGATAGATTTTTTGTGGGGGGTCAGTTTTTTCAGGAGGTAAGCTGTCTGCGTGGGTGACATTTCCCATATCTTCGAGAGCATCGTCTCTATCAACAACTTCAGACTTGACTTCTGAAGGTAGCGGTAGAGACTCTGAGTCCGAGTCTGAATCCAAGTCTGATACTGAAGAAAGTGTACTCATCGACGAAAACGAATAGGTAGGTGAGGCCGGAACTTCGTCTTTAATAAAAGTGCTGGTAGGATTGCCAAAAGCACCCTCTAAACATGGTTTCGACTGAGGAGCAGCCGAAAGTGTTATACTATCTTGCATCTCATCCTCTGGGGAGTCTAATTTGATGGAAATAAGTTAGCTAATTCATCGATGCTGGGTTTGGTGTTGCAGCTCAACCAAAATCCTCAGTTTAGAGACGTTATAGAGCGTATTAAGAGGAAATTTTATCAGAAGATCCAAGAACGGAAACAAAAAGCGAATGAATCGTGGGTCTCGGTGCAATAATACATAAGAGGATAAATCTTTTTGATAAAATCAATCATGTCTGGATTCGAAAGATGCTTCGCCATACATACCTCTAACAGGCTCCGTCATTATGGGATTGACTCAGGTGAATGCAGCGATGTATATGTTGAATTCAAATGAGTTTAGGATACTCAGGTAGGATAACTATATCTGTCAAGAAATAGATGGAAAAAAGAATTCGGCGAAGAGTTACAATGAAAGAGGCAGACGTAACGAGAAAAACGATGGAAAAGTGAGGGAAGGGGGGAAGAGATGAGGGGAGGAGTAGTAGGAGGAGTGGGAAAAGGAAAGGCGAGCTAGGGAAAGAAGAGAATAACGAAGGCCGCGCGAGGGCCTGCTCAAGAAATCAGAAGGGCGAGAGTAAGAGCAGGGAAAAGTTTAGGGTTTAGTCTTAGCTTATAGTGCCGGGATCAGGTCAATAGTAGCAGCAGCGCAGTGATACAGTCAATAACGGCGGGTTCTTGGTACACCTCGAGCTCGAGCTCTAATCTAAGCTAACTGTTTACTTGTAGTGTACGTGTTTAACGGAGGGCTCTAAGTGAGAAGGTTAAATGGCTGTGGGACTGATTTTGGGGGATTATAAAAATTGATGGACTCGTCCTTCAAGCTTCTTCGATCCGATATATTGACGAAATCTGTTGGTAGATTTATTAGTACCGTATATCAAATCTGGCATCTGGCTACGTAACACACACCTACTGCTCTTAGGCCTTATAACCCTGTCGCATATAATTCATTTTCGTCTCCCAAATCCTTTAGTTTAGGGGTATACTCTTAGTTACCTTCAACAGGAAGCGCGCTTCGTCAAAGTTTTATCTTGAAAGATTGATCAATATCATAAAGGGCACAGTCGTGGAACTTTAGGACCGCGTTGGTGACATGCAGGAATCAGTATTGATGTGGGACTCGGAGGCGTAATGTAGTCCTCGAATTATAGGTTCTGCATCTTATTATGCATATATGGGTTACACAATACGTACCTGCTCGTCTAGCACTAAGCTGTAAAATAATAATACTGTACTGTGCTTGATACCTACGTATTGCATCGACTGCATATATATATTGGCTCTCCGTCCGTAAGAATTCTCTGTGCTTAACCGTCAGCAGTTGGTAGAGTCAACTGTCCCGAATATGGCTTGAAGATAAGTATAGACGTGTATATATATGTACACTCTTGTTCAAGCGTTCGTGTTCAGGACAGCTTAAAGTTCCAGCGTCACCATCTCGCTTGCTTATTAAAATATGGGTGAACTGCAGATCACTCTAGTTGACATGGGTACGAGCCGCTTATGGGCCACCTATATGCTTAGTGAACCTTAATTCTATGTGTAGGTAAATACGCGTAAAAGATAGGGCATAGAACACGACTCACTACATGTAGCAACTACATCATAACATGTACACTTGTCTGCTTTTTCTTTTAGTCTCGTTGAGTCACACATCAGGTGCTTTCCTAACCGCGCGAAGTACATCTAGCATCTCTATTGCATGCAGTTACAGGGCCTGACTGGAACCTGACTGGAACCTGAGTTTAAAGAAAATAAACAACTACATGTAGTACGAAACCTAGAAATATGTATAGTGGTAAGCCAAAGCTAAGACTGTGAAGGACAGTGGTGAATTCAACGCAAGCGTTAATGAAATTACATGTATTCCTCCTCATTTATTCCTTCTTCCCTTCGCCGGACTCCCCCTCGCCCCCTACCCCCTGCTCGGGATACATAGGCCTGCCTCCGTACAGCTGTACCCTCCCACTTCCTTCGACCTCTTTGCTTGACCCAATCGGTGCGTTACCACGGAACCGTTTCCTCATATCGACCATTCCTCTCCTACGCATCAAACGACAAAAGATCAGTACCCAACCCGAATTCTGTAACGACTATACCAGTAATGGTGGGGTTTCTATTGAGAGGGGGCACTTGGGCAGCTCGAACGCACTTGCACTGGCCATAGCTTCTCTTTAACTGCTGGCATTGGGTTGGTAACGTCTCTGACAATGGTGGGCGAATGCAATCACTGGGTTTATTGCGCTGAACCATAACGCAATCGGAGTTCTGGAGACATTCTGCTAGCGCTGCTCCTGTTGATTGCAGAATTCATAAGTATGTTTTTCGGATCGCTACGTATTAAGTTTGAGTACTGAGAAGGGACCTTACGGATGTCTTTGCATGAGGACGGCATTTCGGTGAACTTTTCGTAACCAAATCAAAGTGTTGCGTTTCGTAGGAGACGAAAAGTGGGATGACGGCGCCAAGAACCGGCTGAACTAGGATAGGGCTGCTCGGATTATCATAACAACAATAATATCAGTGCTCATAATTATAATAATCTATGAAATGTTCGGGCAACAAATATATACATGGAGTGCACAAGGATACCTGTGTTATGGGAAATGTACTTTCAAACTTCCGAAGGTGATTATTTCTGGCGGATTATTGGGTTCGGAAAGCTAGTCGGATTATACGAACAGCATACATGTAGATTGCTCTATTTCAAAAGCCGATAATCTGTCATGATCAATAATCCGGTATATTGGGTTAGCTAGTACTGCAGCAACAACGTCTGACGACTTGGGAATACAGTTTCAACTTCGAATTTCGATCTGTTTAATTTTCTACCAAAAGTGATAAGAAGCCTCTACATTCGCATTGTCATAATCACAAGCCAAGCTTTTAAACAAGAATGCGGATCGGACTTATCCAAGACACGTATGAGTCTTGAATGCGTCCTTGGGCATGATATACATGTAATGTTGTATTGCCTGACTAGGTAGTATGAATATTTAGATTCATATTGACAGGCATTGAGTACGCGCATACTGTATGGGTTTTATTTCTGATACTGAAGGGGGGGACAATAGCCATCATGCTTAGAGCTGCCAACTTTACTGAGTGTTGAATCTCGATTCTGTGAGGACCTGATGTACCATGTCTCATGTACTTGGCAGCATTTAATTAACAGCATACATACTCTACCACCAGGTGCACGTGTGCTCCATCTCTGCTGCACTTAATACATGTGTATGCACAGCGATCACTCCTGAGACATGTTGTAAGAAGTATATAAAATGACTACATGTAGTACTTGTATTGATGAGAAGACGAGAACCCTCGCACTTCTCAAACTAATACAATGTAAGCCACCTATCAGAACAACTACATGTAGACTACATGTAGCCTCTTCTATAATGGCAGGTATTAACTATATTTAGGGTTAGGGGTAGGTCCCTACACATGTGTATGTACATGTACATGTAGGTATATACAGTATCTACTAGTATTTCTCTGACGTTTTTGAACTGAGCCATTATTGCATACACCCAAAATCATGAGCTTGGCGTATTTTTGTATGGCATGCAATATCAGTCGCGTCCACAAACGTCAGAGAAATACGAGTACAAGCTCCTATATAGCTGCATGTACACGCCTGGCTTGCGTTAGCCTTCTTATAAACTTTGGGTATTCCTCGAGGTGCGTTTCTGGTATATATGTTCTTGGCTCGTTGCCAATTTTATACGGTGATTAATTAAGCCTAGGTACAATATCATACCAACAAAATTAAAATGCCGGAAAGGTTAGTGTAATTGGATACATCAACATGATAATCTAGATCTACCAACGTTTAATACAAGCACGATATTAGTATATTTAACGTATATTAGCGTTAGGGTTAACATGGCGCTAAAGTCACGGTCTGTCACTCTATCCCTTTCTGTTTTTGCGGTTATCCTAGCGTAGGTTCACTGTGGGTACTAGTACGAACGAAGGGATATGTTCGTTAATTTTGTTTCCTGTTGCCAGTTTACGTATTTATTGCCGGATGAGGTCAATCCCTTAATACCCCTTTTGGCCAGCCTGGAAAGCACCTCATCCTTGCAGCTCAACGGTCGATGACAAGTGCAAGCTTTTGAATCAACGCCTCACGATATATATATCCAGCACACAAATCCGGAGTTCCAAGTTTTTTGCAAACAGGATACAGCGCAATTATCACCTTGAGTAGGGATCCCATTCTTATCAACCACAATCCAAGACAGACACGCGTGGAACTACAGACATAGTCTTCAGGCCGAACAGCTATTTATCCGCACCCTTGACTGCGCGATCTGCTTTATTGGTGTTTAAGTAAGGTCAAGAGAACCTAAACGCGCGAGCTAAAACATACTGGTAGTTTTTGTTAGGTGAGTTTTCGAGTAGATGTTAACGTTCAAGTCGACCCCCTTCCGATCAAAGCTAATTGGGGGTTATCATAGTGTAGCGGCTTCTTCAAACCCTTCTCTTCTACCTCCTAGAAGCTGCTATACCACGTTCATTTTGAGGTTATTAAGCCCAAGGGAAGAGAATAATGCCTATGCCGATTGTCGGCCGGCTCCATTTGTAACAATTCCCGTCTTTGTGTGCTTATCTGGAAGTTTTACTTCCCCAACCACCTAAAACAACTACTATCATCCTGCTTGCGCGAGTCGCACACTCAATATCCTTGAATTTGAGAGTTATGTAATACTAATACCCTCTTCGTGGGATCCTAGGCTGGAGTACGTTGCCCTGATATTTTCTTTTCAATTTCTCATATTTGAGAAAGTAATACGAGTTATTACCTTAGCCCTCCGTGAGAAACCCTTCAAACCCGAGCTTCAATTACCCCCGTTTAGAATTGACACTGACTCAAACGATATCACCAGCATCGCCTCTGATAAACTTCTTTTATGCAAAATCACGATCCCTGTTTAATTCACTCTCACCAACCCGGTACACAACCGTCTCTCATACAAAAGTGGAAAAAGATATAGTCGCTCGTGTTCGAGAGGCAGATGGGTTCATAGAATTATGCGAGATTTGGGATCAAGGCAATTGGAGGATAGAAGAACACATCGTTCAAACAGGGGATGGTTACTTGTTGGGCTTGCATAGACTCGTAAAAAAGTCAACAGCAGAAGAGCGGAATAGAAACCGCGGGAAAGAGGGAAACGGGGGAAAGAAGGTTGTTTATTTGCATCATGGTAAGTCGAATCGTCTCTAAAACCTAAAAGGAGACATACTGATCTTTTGAAAAAAATAAACAGGATTATTGATGAATAGTGAGGTGTGGGTGGCTTCTTTGGAGAAGGAAAGGTGTCTGCCTTTTGTACTTGCTGAGAAGGGTTTTGATGTTTGGGTAAATTTCAACTGCCTGGATCGATACAACTCGAAAAGTATTGTGGCTGACCTTGGTATTCATAGTGTGGAAATAACCGAGGCAACAAATATTCAAAGAAATCCATTCACCACCCTTCTACCTCCACAAAATTTTGGAATTTCAGCATGGATGAGTTTGCGTTTCATGATATCCCTGACTCCATAAATTACATTCTCGAGACTACAAAACAAAAAAGCTTAAGTTACATCGGGTTCTCGCAGGGAACAGCACAGGCATTTGCAACTCTAAGCATCCACCCAGCATTGAACAAAAAAGTGGATGTGTTTATTGCGCTAGCTCCTGCTATGAGTCCCGCAGGCTTGCATAACCCTATCGTGGATGCATTGATGAAGACAAGTCCCAATATCATGTTCCTTTTCTTCGGCCGCAAAAGCATTCTCCCTTCAACGACGTTCTGGCAAAGCATTCTCTGTGAGCCGCCAATACTTTCAACGTATACATAAGCTAACAAGCCTCCTGCAGATCCCCCGATCTTTGTCCGAGTGATTGATTTTTTTCTGATATTCCTATTCAACTGGCGTGGAAATAATATCTCCCTTGATCAAAAGATTGCGGCATACTCGAAACTATATTCTTACGCATCAGTCAAAACTGTAGTGCACTGGTTCCAGATCATACGTAACAGGTCTTTCCAAATGTACGACGATGATATCCTGTCTCCTATAATGGCGTTCTCAGGGAAGAATTTCTACAAAGTTGCGAAATTCCCTACCAGGAATATCACCACACCTATCGTCCTTGTTTACGGAGGAAGTGATAGTTTGGTTGATATCAATGTTATGCTAAAGGAGCTCCCCGGACACACTGTTGCAAAAGAAATTGAACACTATGAGCACCTTGACTTTCTTTGGGCACGGGATGTGGACAAGCTCGTATTCCCGCATGTCTTAGAGGCACTCGAACTGTATTCTTCAGGTGGGGAAGGGAAAAAACTCAATGGATCGGCAAGCTTAAGGGGTAGGTGCCTTACTGCCCACCACAAGACCTACAGCTTACCCTCTTATTCCGAAGATGAGCATACGGATACTAAGGACAGCGCTCTTCATTTCGATTCAAATCCGTCTCGTCCCAGTTCATCAGGCTCCGCAACCATGAAAATCGCAGACCACTCAATGCAACATGAGATGGATGGGCTTTATTCATCAATTAAGATCCCTCGTGGAGACAAAAAAAGATCCGGTAGTGTGTCAAGTACATTTTCCACTTCGTCATTAGGAGAAGCAGGTATGTCACCGACAAGTAGTCGAAGTCTTATTGGTCCAGGAGGAATTACATTAGGTACCGGAAAACCGACGGCGGGCGTTTCAACGGGATTGTCGATAGATGAAAGTGGGGAATAAGAGAAGAGATATGAGTGGACGGGCTTAGAAGCGCGAATTGACGAAGCCGTCTAGTTGAGATGTTAATATTAGGGACCGCGCGTGATCCATCACGCACACAAAGTGTTAAAGAGTGTATCAATGGAGTATTATTCTGTTCGTGAAATTTTTCCTTTTGTTTCTGACTGGCGTAGCCATATTTTCTTCTATATTTCTATTTTTACTGGCCGGTGTAATTATATGGGAATCCTCTGATGCCAGCATTTCTGGTTTTATTATAAGGCACAATACTATAATATATGGATCCAGGTCATATTGTGGACCAAGGTCTAAACTGTTTGTTCAAATTGTAAATTGACAGGACTAGGAAAAGTCGCTTTTACAACCGGATAGAATAAGATTAGGAAAACCAGACTAGTATTTCTGCGACCAGAGAACTCATTGCGCTTGAATTTTGCCATTCTGCAAACATGCGATACGGGCTCCTCTTTGAAGGCCGCAACTTGTTCATTGTCTGCCAGAAATGTTTTGTGAATCTTGCAGTAACAGAAATGTTTTATATTTTAGTTCAAAATATTATTTAAACAAATTAGCACAACCAGGATAGATGGCCGAGTGGTTATGGCGCTAGCTTCAGGTGCTAGTGGGGCAACCCGCGTGAGTTCGATCCTCACTCTATTCATGATTCTTTTTTTGTTTCCCTGTAGTTGGAACTTCCCTTTGAAGTGCATTAACTATCCGACCGGCCCTAGTCAGAAGTCGGTTTTTCTGGGTCTGCGGGAGGAGTGGAGACTCAGAGAGATGTATTAAGTGTGGTATTCTGGCCCATTCGAGAATGATTATATGACGGGCACTTTGCTATGTCGAATGATGCCTAATGCCGTAGAGGGGAAATACTGAGGAGTATGAAGCCAAAAATTGTCTTGATAATTACTGTAGCAGAGACCACTGCAGCTGGCCTCCCTTGGGCTACCCGCCTCGATATAACCACTTAGATGAAAGGTAAAGGTACAAAGCGATCGTACTTGATCTTACCACGCGGGCTGGAAAGATAGACTTGTGTTGCTCTTGTATTATCGCTATTTATGAGAACCCCCTAGGCCTTCTGGTCTATCTTGGGATGCCAATCGACCTACTCTCTTTATTACCGGCTTGCTTATATCGCTATCGCAATCGAGATATCTGTTGCAATAACTCCAAATTCGTGGACACGTAGATAGCTCTTTCTTTTATAGTATCTATGGTGTTTACTGAATGGACTGACCTATTGGCTCGGTCCGGGCAGATAGCGTTCGCGATTTTCAAATAGAGTTGTGGTAGTACCTGCATGTAGCTATTAGTTGCCAGTTTTTATACAGTGCGCATATATAGAAGCCCTATATAGCGGAAAGTCATGTAGAACATACGTGCATGGAGTTGCACTAGTAGCGAAGTCTCGCCTTGCAATTGGACGATGCAGCGAGTGATATGGCGTGATGTGCAGCAAAAACCAGCTGTTTCTACAACTATACTTATGACAGGTAATAAGTGACGGAACGCCCTGGAATACAGTTATACCTGCTCTGTATGTTGGTGGCGTTCTACCCAACAGGCATCACTGGGTTTCAGGCCATTCCATCATTTATTGCCTGGGTATAGCTTTGAGAGACTACTAAATGATTTTCTAACATATCTCATCAAATCTCTAAAAACAGCCAGTTAGTACTATTATTTTGTATTTATCAAAGGAACTTCTCTACGCCGCCGAATCTGGTGTTATAACACCAATAAAGTTTTAATTAATCAACCGTTGTCAAAGACATTGTCCTTTCTCTCTCCAATGGCTGTTCCAACCTAGGTATATTTGATCTACTGCATATGCACTATTGGCGTCACTGGTAGCAACAAAGGTTACGCCACGACTGGGTGATGCAGGGCTCTGCTTCACCCATTCTGACTTCTGCCACATGACGAACAGCGCCAAATAATCATAGCGGCCCAAGACTAGACAGAGGCAGATTTGAATACTAAATTGAAAAGTTATGAAAATCTATTGACCCTAGTAAGTAGTTATAAGTACCTCGATGAGAAGGAGATAGGCGGGGTGGAGTTTGACGTGAACTAAATTGGTTTGCATCAATTCTCTATGCCGCATCGTGGGGCACCGTGATAGCTGTAGCGGACACTGCGGAGGACACATCAAAAACACATTGTAAAGCTATGGTACCACACACGTGCACCCTTCTAAAGCAGAAAACCCTCTCCTAAAAACTACACCGACAAGTCCACTCAGAAAATTCAGTTATATCCATAGTTGTCCGTCGGCTGGGCTACCGAGTGATAATGTGTGATTACAATTTTGCAACCTTTGGAGTACTATATTTAGTCCCCCGCTCTCTGGGTAACCGATAACGATTGCTGGGCACTCAGGTCTATTCCCTCTTACTACATTCAATATGGCGAGGGTTTCAAACGAGCCCGGGCTTCACTTCTCGGTACGACGAATAAATGGCCTTCAAATACACTCTGCTAGCCTGGAAAAGTTGGATAACACAGGGTCGGTAATTCTCTGGGTTAATTTGTTAAAAGTTTCCAGAACATTGAGAGAAAAAGAACAGTATTCAATTTAAAAGAACAATCAAGTCAAGGTATAATAAGTCCCTGGCACCTTTGAAGCTCTTATCATACCACTGATATGAAATACCTAGAAAACCCCAAACCCCAACCGGAACCCAATAAGAGAAAATTAACAAGGAAAAGGACCCAATAGAAAAGGACCGTGATTAAACATGTAGTAGGCCAATAAAAAAAGATCAACTTTATTCCTTCTCGACAACCTCAATCCCCTCCTCAATATAGGTAGGAGGCGCCTCCTCCTCATGATGCTCATCGACGTAGGCCTTCAACATCCCCCTACCCTCTTCGTTTTGCTCATCCTCAATCCTTCCGCCGTTCTTATAAGCTTTGGCGAATCTCCAAAGCTTCATGATAAACTGTCCAACAATTACACCCATGATAGACACACTTACACCGGCCATGATACCGATGATGATAGGCATCAAGACATGGCCAATAAGTGCAGACCAGAAGTGGCCGCCTTGGCGGTGTTCATGGTGGTGGTGGTGGCGGTGCGGTCCATGACGGCCCGGGCCGCCCCTGTGAGGACCATCATGGGGAAGATTAGGCGGGGCCTCTCCACCCTTCTTTCCACTGTGGCAACCACCCTTCTTCGAATTCTTTCCGTGGATAATACCGAGGCTCTCAAGCTTGTGTTTCATATCAGATATAACGCAGTCGATACCCTGGCATGAGACCTCCTCATCATGCATATCCGCCTGGTGGCCAGGTCCAAGGACAATAGGGCTGATATAGCTGCTAACAATTTCTAGCGCACCGGTCTTGATATCCTCAGATACCAGGACTTCCATATCAGGGATATAGTCGTTGTGGACACCGTCGACAGCGGTAACACGGAGCTTGACTCGGACATCTTTCTTGTCGGGCACCTCTGGATTTATAGTTCCGGTAACGAGAAGGTCATAGCCGAGCTTAAGAGGACGGAAGGGATGCGAAATGGTAAATACATCTTCGGCAGAGGCAGATGCGGGCACCTGAAGGGCCGAGAGTCCGAATAGTGGGGTGAAAGGAACTATCCGCTTGTTGTTGATTACGAGAGAGTTTGGGCTGTCGGCGGGAATTGAGATGTCAAATAACTAATCATGCAAATCAGTAACCGAGCTAGGATTATGTGAGACTTAGGTGGTCTTACAAGCTCGCTTTCAAGGCCCTTTGTGAATGGAACACCTTCCTCGTCTGATACATCTTTATGCCATGTGCATCCGATACATGGCAAAGCGACAGCTATATGGGTTCCTTTGACGACGGCACTCTTGGGGGTGTCGCTCAAGACGGCAACCTCAGCCTCATTTGTGTTGAAAAGTGGGGAGAGCTCGAGATCGAGTGGCGGGGGAAGAAGGAATGCAGCGCTCAACGCTGGAAGACCTATGAGCGCAGCAAGAGGGATGGTAGAAACACGCATGTTTGATTGATTGATTCTTAAAGTCGATAACAGTAAAAGACGTGGTTAAATGATTTTTTGGATTATGTTTGTAGGTTATCTGTTAGTTGTAAGGCAAGCTCAGCTCGAAGAATAGAATGGGAGAAAGAAAAGGTGGGCGGCGATAACAGCATATTATATCCCAGCGATAAAGGGAGCTGCTCATGACTGAAACGGGCGCAGCAGAAGACTTACGCAACCACCAATCACAACGCGCTAGCCAACCTACGTAACCGTCCTGGAAAATCGGAGATTTCGGCGGAAGCGTGAATTGCCGTGGTGCGATTCTGGAAAGCGATCCGAATCCGAACCCCTGTCTAGGGTATTTTACGGTACATACTCTATATACGATATAACCGTCTCCCGCTTTGAAGCTACCGCCAAAACTCGAAAAATTGGCTATCTCCGGCCAGGGATTATCACTCGAGTGATTGGTTGAATGGCATTGATCTGCATCAGAAGTTTCCCATACAAGTAATTTTGATCTCTGGAAGCTAGCCAATTTTTCGAGTTATGGCGGTACATGGAGTAAGGAAACAGGCCCAGGGTTGTGGGTTTCTTTTATTGGACTTCACTCTCTCCAAACCCTATCCGCGCGGCATAAACACGCGTCGTTACTCTAATCTTTATCCAAACCTCCTGTCCTGCCTGCAGTGCAGCCGTCTAAGGCCTGAGACAGTCTTACATACCGCCCTTCCTTTCGGTAGAGCAGTCATGAAGGTACATATCTTCTGCTTTGGGATGTTTAGTAGCACCACAAGGTGTAACAACTATCATTACTACTTACATATTGGCTATAACCGTTCGTGATCATCATGATAGTGGTAAAAAGGGTATCATTTAACTACCTTCTTCCCCTACTAACAAGTAGAATAAAAATAAAAATACCCCACCATACTAACGTAGGTGATACATGAGAATAAAAGAGAGGAGATCGCTCGCTGAGTGGGTATTTTTGGCGACGGCAGGCAAGAAAGAAAAAAAATTACATGTAGTCTGTCAAAAACCAAAATTCGACAAACAAACAAAAAATGATGGTAATAATAAAAACAAGAAAAGAGATGTAACTCATGAAGAAGAAAACCATGCAGCCGTCAGTTTATATCCAGCCCCGTCTGTACCGCCGTATCATCCCACAAACATAAAAACATTCATACACTCCATGCCATGAAAACCCTTTACCTGGTTAAATTCAACGCTCCCCTTACCAATATGCACCAAAAGCAATTGAACCCCATTTACAAAAAATTGACTGAATGACGCTTTGACCCTCTCCTATCGCTATCGTCATCGCCCATCTGACTTAGAGCGGCCATGGTATTACTACGACTGTTGGCGTTCCTATCTAATCTCATCCCTTTCCAGCCCTCGAGCTCCCGCTCAAGTCTAAGGCTCTTTTCTCGCTCCTCGCGTGCTTCACGTTCTGCCCGGCGAGCAATCAATTGATGCTCCGAATGTGCTGCCTCTAACTCTTCGATCGTCTTGAGGAGGCGCTCAAGCTTTTCTTTACCCTTTGTGACCTCCTCCTCGAGTTGTATGGCGGCCTTATCTCGCCTCTCAATCTGAGTTTGGAGGTCTCGGACGGTACGGTCAACGTTACGAACCGAGCGCTCGCTCTTATTTCGTTCTTTCTCTTGTTCATCAAGCAACTTTTCAAGCTGATATGCCCCAAAAACGTAAATTAGAAAGTTACAATAAAAATAAAATTGAAAGGATAACGTACCTCTTGAACACGCCCATGCAAAAACCTGACATCATGAGATGTGGTCGAATAGCTTTTGGTTTCCAGGTCTACCAATTTCAGCTGCAGGTCCTTCACCTGCTTTTCCAAGGATGCCCTCTCCTTGTGCAAGCTGACATTGGTTTCCCTCTCCGCTGCGATATCGCGCTGTGTCTCGACTGCCAAGGCCTCAGCCCTCCGCATCTTCTCGACCGCCGCCGCCGCGACATCTTCTTGCTGCTGCAGAGCTCCTTTGAGATCAAGCAACTCTCGATCCATACCAGCTGCGTTGCGCATTGATGGACTCTCTCCGTTGGCGAGATCTTCAAGCCTTTGATTAGCTTGAGCCAGTCTCTGTTCGATACTACGTTTCTCCTTTTGGAGCGCCTCTCGTTCTGAATTAACCTCATCAACGTTGGTGCGGAGGCTCCGGACCTGAGCGAGTAATGAGACCACACGACCTTGAGCTTCATTGTGTGCAGCAACAGCGTCATCATGGGATTGTGAAAGATCCTGAAGCTTGATTTCAAGACGAGACTTCTCTTTGGCCCATGTAGAGCTATTGAGAACTTCGTCATCCCACTTGGCACGTAGATCTTCAACCTCTTCACGAAGACGTCTATTCTCCCCCCTAACCTGGAGGATATTCTCACGCTCAATCTCCAATTCGCCATTAAGAGTGGAAAGTTCGGTTTGGTATTTCTTCCTTGTCTGTTCCATCGAGCTCTCCTTGTCTTCGAGATCAATTTCACGCCTACTGCGGTAGTCATCGAGCTCGTTCTGCAGCCTCTTCTTGGCTTGAAGGGCAGCAGTCAAATCTGCAGAAAGATCCTCAACCTAAAAAAAAAAAAAAGTAGTTTAGAAACCCACATTCTTGGAATTCGGCGCTAAAATTGGTGGAATTACCTTTTCGTCATAGTGCTGGTTTTGTCTTTGTAAGTCCTCTATTAGTGATTCCATCTGCTTCCTTTCGGCCAACACCGTTGCTGCATTCTCTTCCGTTTCCTTTGCTTGACTTTTTGCAGCTGCCTCGGCTCTTGATGCCCTAAGTACTAAGATTTCTGCTTGCTCCAGCTTGTTGAAGTACTCATTGCTGCGCAGCTTGTAAAGATTCAAGCTTGCTCCAAGGTCCGCGACCTTCGAGGACTCGGCGTCCAGGCGAATTTGCAGGTCCGCAAATTCATTTAATAGCTGGGCTCGACTAACCTTATCTTGCTGCTGCATTGCGAGTGCTTCATCCAGCTCCGTCTGGGTCTCTCTGAGATCTGTCTCTATTGCAGCCTTGGCGGCCTTGATCTTTTCAAACTGATCCTTTGCTCGTCCAAGATCTGAGACAGTCTCGTTATATACCATTACTAGATTGCGCCGGGATTGCTCCTGCTGGCTGATGAAGTCATACAACTCTTCATGGCTCTTAGCTTGGATATCCTTTAGGCTAAGTTCAATTGAGTTCATTGAAGCCTCAAGCGCAGAATTCTTTTGGTCAGATTCATCAAGCAAGTCGTGCAGGCGGTTATTCTCACGCTCCAGCTTTAATGCTCGCTTAGCCGATGGACTCGCTTCTAGCTCACCCTCCTTTGCATTTGCTCGATCAATTTGGGCTTGAAGATGCTTGTTCTGCATTTCCGCAATCTGTAGCTGGTTTTGAACTTCTTCAAGCTCCGAGGCCAGGTCCATCCTTCGTTGAAAGCTAATGGTATCCATAGTCTTATCTGTCTTTTCAGAATCGAATTGATCTTGTCCAAAGAGGTTCCGTCTGGTAGGCGTTGTCTGGTTGGAATACTGTTTGGAATTGAGTGCTCTGCTAAACGGCCGAGAAGATCCGTTTGCGGGGGCGTTATTCTGATCCATCTCGTCGAGCAGGGCTCTCTTAGAAGACGTATGCATATTATCTATCTCTGCCACTTCGTCTTGGTGCCGCTTCCTTAGCTCCTCAAGATCCTTCTCAGCACGTATACGTCTCTCGTTTGAAAGCCTTAGGGCCTGGTTTGCCTCATCTAGCTTTGTGGCCAAGTTGAAAGACTGGACGATACTCTTCCTGCCAGATTCCCAGTTTTTAGGTTGTATACCTTCAGGGTCGAAAACCTTCTGGAGAACAAGTAGTTGTTGACGGCAATCCTCGAGCTCGGAGTTGGCAGTCGCGAGAGCACTTTGAATGTGCTTGGTATTTACTTGTGCCTGTGCCTTGACTTGTCTCTCCATCTCCAGGGTTCTATTTGCCTCCGCAAGCTGCAGCTGTAGGCTAGATGTTGTCTTCTCAGCATTCCGGGTCGTTTTGTGTTCGCGTGCAACTTCATGATTCAAATCTTCCAAATTCAGAGATAGCTTCTCTTTCTGCTTTTCGAGAGCACGCATCTGGATTTGCGCATCTTCGAATTGCTTCCGATATTTTCTCGCCTCTTCGTCAGCCTTCGTCCTGTCAGCAGTCAAGGCAACAATCTTGTCTCGATACTGCTCGCTCGCCCTAGCGTTTGCCTTGCTAATCTCGAGGTTCTTTTGTTGTATCTTATTTTGCAAGGCGCGGTTATCATTTTCTGATGCCATAAGACGATTCTTCACTGCGTTGGTTTCCGAATCCATCCGCTTTCTCGACTGCTCGTAGGACTGACGTGCTCCATCTTGCTCACTGACAACTCGGGTAAGTCTAGCAACTTCTGAAGCCAATCTTGCGCGTTCTGATTCTGCGATAGAAAGGGCCTCCTCTTTTGCCTTCAAATCTTTGTCTAACCTGGCCTCCTTCTCTTTGGCTTGCCTTGCCAAACTTTTCTCAATCTCTGATTCCGCTTGTAATCTCGCGTTGTCAGATTCAGCAAGTCTGTCGCGAAGAGTCTTCAGATCCGCTTGAAAGTTGCGTTTTTCCTTCTCGGACTGAGATCGAGCTTCAAGGGCACGACGAAGGGTATCTTGCTGTGCATAAAGCTCTTTCTCAATCGTAAATTTCGCAGTAGTAATAGCGTCATGGTCACGTTTTAGGTTGGCGAATTTATGTTCGCTTAGTAGAGCAATATCGGCTCGGGATTGCCTCTCCTTATCTAGCTCGGCTTGGATTGCCGCTAACTCCTCTTGTAATTCCTTGATCTGCTCGTCGAGAAGCCTACGACCCTGCCCCGTCTTAGCATCTTCGGTGATTTTTGCATCAAGCAGTCTTCTAGCGTCTGCTGCCTCTTTCTCGAGTCTTGCACATTGATGCTTCAGTGTCTCAACTTCCGAGTGGGCACTGCGGAGACGTGCTAGAATATCGTCGTGCTTCGAGTTGAGATGACGCTTTTCATCGTCAAAAGCAGTACGCTCAAGTTCTAGTTTCTTGAGATCCGCATGCAGTAAGGATAGTTCGCTTTCCTTTCGACGAATAAGATCCTCGTATCCGTTCGAAGTAGTTGATAGGTCACTCAGCTGGTCTCGGAGTGTCCTGTTCTCGTCAATAAGTTCACGTATCTGCTTTTGACTAGTTTCAAGACTAAAGTTCTACTTGGGAGTTAGTTATGACATAATCTACTAATGCATGGACTGGAACATACCGTCTGGGCAAGCTTTTCATCTAGATCGTGATCCGACTTCTTGAGAGCTTCTTCATACTCCTGTAACTTGCGTTCCTTCAAGTTGAGATGACTCTTCAATACATGGATTTCTTGTTCGAGCTTATCTTCGGCATCTCCCCTCTCGGCTCTTGCTGCCTCCGCTGCCTCGAGCTCGCGATCCAAAAACTCGATTTTTGCAGCCAATTCTCTCTTTTCATCCTCCAGGCGAGCAACCAAATCACCCGCTTGCTCCAACTCTTTTCTCCAGAGCTCTGCTTGCTCATCTGTCTTCTTTTTCGCACTCATTAACTCATCTATCTGGTCCTCTAATAGGTCCTGATCTTCAAGAGCACCCGCAAGCTTTTCACTCAATTCAGCTTCCCTTTGCCTCATCCTCTCAAAAATTTCTTCCTTATCAAGTGCGAGGGCTCTTTCGCTTTCCAGAGTTTTTTGGACACGTTGAAGCTCTGTATCAGTTTTCCTCCTCTCTTCTTCAAGTTTCTGCCGATTCTCTGCCTCCGCTTGCATCAGGGCCTCCATTTTCTGTATCATTTCGTCTCTTTTCTTAACCTCATTCGAAGAATGAGATGCGCCCAAAAGCGGTTTCATCTTCATAAAGAGCTTCCACCAAGGACTCTCACAAAGATCTAAATATACTTGGAGATTCCTTTGAATTATCATGGTAGCCTCGGCACGGTAAAGCCGTTTCCTTGCGATTCTGCGTTGAAGATAGCCCCTTGCGATACTTTGAAAACGTGTGATAATCTCTCTAACTAAGGTGTCGCGCTTTTCTTCAAGCTCGGCCAAGACCCCGGCTCGGAAGAAGACCTTTGTTAAACCCACGCGGTAAAGTTGGGTATCAAGGTCTAGCTGCTGAAGCATAAGTTGACACGCCCTTTGACCTTCAAGATAGCCTTTTGGTATTTTGGGGGTGAGAACTTCGTACCGTTGCCTGAATTCGGCAAATGGCAATCTGTTCGGGAATCCAGTCCTTGCAATTCGAATACCTTCCAACACACCATTACATCGAAGCTGATCTAGTACCAATGGTGCGTTTAGTTTTTTGGGCCGCTTTTGGTGATTAGGGATGATACATCTGACGAAGTGGGGATGTGTGGAGTTAAGCTGAGCCATGAGACTTGTTAATTGCTCCTTGTGTCTTTGTGCTACCGTTCTGAAAAGTCCTTTCTTGACCCTGCTCTTAGCAACAGTTCCATTTTCGTTTGCATCTTCGGCGTAGTCGGCAAACAATGAGGCTATATATTTGTCGTGAGAAGCAGCAAGAAGCTTTGTAATGTTGTCGTTCAAAGGATCTTTGTTTTTGTCTAACCAGCCCTCTGTCGAGTACTCTACCTCGGCAGCGTAGTGGGTAAGCATGAATCCTTGCTTGAGAAGAGAACGTTTGTATTTTGGTGTCTTTTTATCCCAGAGAAAATGAAGCTTTTCGGTAAATGATTTGTCACTTGCTTTTGGCATGACACAATCTTCGTCGAGACACGAGAAAATACCAATAGGCTAAAGGCTCAATATTAGTACTTGTATGTGAAATACAACTTGCAGAGAAACCTACATTAGGTAATTCGATGAGGTCGATAGTCGGTTGAAGATCGTGCCCGAAATCAATAAATTTCCATTCAATTTTTTCCCTTTCATACTCTTCCTGCTCTAGCACAAACATGTGGTGATTGAAAAATTGTTGCAATTTTTCGTTTGTATAATTAATGCAGAGTTGCTCAAAACTGTTAACCTATATGCAAAAGATGATCATCAGTGTTAACGCTCTGTCCAAGAACAGTATCTCGATTACCTCAAAAATCTCGAACCCAGCAATATCCAAGACTCCAATAAACCCGTCTCCTTCGCCGCGAGTATCAAGTTTACTATTGACCATTTCGACCAATTTCCCAAACCCTCTTTCGTATAAGGCTTTTGCTAAGGCATCTAGACTCTGTTTTACTTGTTCCGCTGTTCTTGATTGATTGACCCATTCTCTACCAGCCTTAACGCGGGGTCTAAGTAATCCTTTTACAAACCCATCCACTGGTATACCCAAAACATGAGACACCCTTTCAGCTTGACCACGGTCCGGTAGTCGTGCATCTTCGCCGCCTCTGCGTTCTGGAACGACTTCAATGTTGCCGATATGTAAAACGGCAGCGATGACACGAAGAATGGACACTTGCTCCTCAGTACCAAAGCCCATAACATGGAATGCCTCCATTAAAGACCGGAACTCTTCAAGATCGTTCACGCCTGCGATAGTATCATTACTGTTTTTGATATAGTTCCACGCTTTGACATTCTCGTCGTCGAGGAGATACATTTCTTTCATCTGGCTACTGGCTCCCCTCAGTAGCTGATAAAAGACATGATAATTTCTTTCATCCCCACCCTGGTGGACGACTCGACTTTTCTCCAAGAGGTACCAATCGATGAAAGCGCCGGCTATCTGACCAGAACGGGTGAATTCGATACGTATAAATTTTCCGAAACGAGATGAATTATTATTGCGAACAGTTTGGGCGTTGCCAAAAGCCTCAAGGATAGGATTTGCCCGTAAAATTTGAAGCTCTAGAGTACCGAGTTGCTTCGACGAAGAGCTTTCGCTGGCAACAGCAGCAAGATATTGAATAACCTTCTTTGTATTCTCAGTTTTACCCGCTCCGGATTCACCACTATATGAAAAGTTATCAGTATGTTTGGCCTGGGTGGGGTCTGCGAAGCGAAAGTACGCACGTGACTAAAATACTCTGATTCTCCTTCTCTTCCAGCATATTCCGGAATGCGACGTCCGTAATTGCAAAAATATGAGGTTTTGTTTCCTCTCTTGAGCGATTTTTGTATAGGGAAATGTAGTCATTGTTGTATATTGGTAATGCGCAGTAAGGGTTTACTGTTACCAAAAACAAGCCTGAATAGGTCTACAGAAATAACAACCGTCAATCAGCAAGATCTCATGCACAGACATACTAAGAGCTTACATAGATTAGATCCGCCTGGTAACGTAAGTGAAGATTGTGAACTACAGAAGCTTCGTTAAGATGTGTGAGCTCCGCCATGTCATCAGCTTTATCAAACTTAGCCGGGTTCACTTTATCGACATTATCAGAATGAACATTTCGTTCCTATTAGACTTAAAATTAGTAGCTGCTAGGACGTAATTTAGGCTTGAAACTAGATCCGAGTCATAGTTCAACTTGTAAGGTCTCCATCCGTCCTAGCGCAAGGGAGTACACACCGTTCCGTCATCACATCGCACAGTAAGCATTCCATCTTCATCAAGAACAACTTCTCCCTTCACAAATGCCCTCTCAGGATCCCTAACCCATACCCATCGTCTTCCAGAGAAGTCACTATTCTCTCCTGCTATACCTCCTGCTAAGCTCGAGGTGCTGTTTCTCCTATCATCCGCAGACTTGATAAACCCTGGAGCAAATGTTCCTGGTGAAGCTTTCGAAACTGAGTTGTTACTTCTACTCTGCCAGCTGTTTACAACCAGTGCAGAGCTAGGCCGAGAAGGCGCGGGGGCGGAAGTGGGCGTAGGTGCTGGCGTGAAAGTCAATGCCGCTGTCAGAGCAGATACTGATTGCCGGTGACCTCTAATGCCTGGCGTTGGCGAGGTAACAACATCTGGCGGAGGAGGAGGTGGAGGAAATATCGTATTGGACGGTGATGAGGAAGTCTTCTTGTGTACTCCTGAAACAGGGCGACGCTGTTGCCATGATAATCGAGGTACATTATTCGAAGATCCTGAGGGTGATGAATACCCCGTTGGATTGAAGCCGGACATGATGGCCCGGGACGAGTGAGCCGGAACAATTCGCGAGGAATATAGTTGAGGATAAGCAAGAAAGATGAGAAGATTGATTGTGAGGGTTATTAGTAGCAGTAAAGGTAACTACAAGGTGGCCGTGTCCACAGAGACAGGTAAGGATGGCGGAGGGGCAGCGCACTGAACTAAGGAAGCGTCTTTAGGAAGTCATGTCCCCTGCAGGAGCAATCAGAGCCTCACGATCAAAACACAACAATATTCCAATTCAGTGCTAGCGTGGTCCTCGTTAAGCGGTAACTGCACACGGTACTGCAGTTACACAACGCTTCCCCGCTTTGGGCTTTAATTAGTCTTTACCTTAGCAGAACTTATATAATCAGCTTCGAAAGCACCGGTCTTTCCTCTCTTCAACGTCAAACTATCATTCATCCGATCAACAGATAGTGTGTGCAAAAGGTGAAAGGAGGCGGGGGAAGAGGAACCAAAGGCATGAAAGGGGAAAGATCGAAAAGAGAAGACTTCAGCTTTTAAAACGCAGGGACTATTTCGCCAATAACACCAATAACCTATCAGGAAGTAATTTTAAAGCAGATATAAAATCGGGTCATAAATCCCCGCATGGAATTCACTTACATCACTGTCAGCCGCAGCATATTTGGATTGTCCATCACTTTCTGCTAGTTCTGGGTTCTACCTGTGTTCCCTTGCCCTAGTGACTGAAACAACACGGGCCACATCTCTCGCCGCTATCCTAGTCATCAACCCTTCCTTCCCTCACCATTCTCCCTCTTGTCGTCACACTCACTTCCAGGCATCACACCTTCTCTAACATTTCTGGATATCATCATTAGCTTTGTTTTCGCATCCCGTCCGCGATGACGAACTACCCTCCGACACCAGCGTTTGGTGGCTTTCCACTTCCTGCTCCGAGGGGTCCACCTAGCCTAAATCAGGACCTGCGGAAATTGAGCATCAACAGTGCTGGCAGTAATAGTACTGCATTGCCTTCACCGGCGATTCAATCGCCAATATATATGCCTAAGTGGACCAATATTAACAGCGCGTCTCGACAGCTACCCTCTAATATCCCATCCATCGCTTCCAGCTCTACTCAGAAGATAATGCACGCGCCCCCATCGGGACTGAGTAAACAAAATAACCGGAGCGACGACAGCTTACTTGAAGATAGAGAGGAAGGGGAACTTTCGGATGCGGAAGATATTGAGGGGCAACATTCTAAAAAGCGCAATAATCGTTCTGAAAGCAGTCAACGAGATCGAGGTGTTGAAAATCAGCAAGGCAAGAATTTTGTTTCGCACGGTACATCCGTACAAATCACGAAGAAAATAAAAAAACCAAATGCTAAAAGAAAATATAGGTATGAGAATCAACAGTGAAACCTCAAATAATTTACCAATATCCCGTTCGCAGACGTGGTAAGAACCTAGGTCAGGCGGGGTTTTTCCAGGGACGTCGTGCTAACTTGTTCTGTATAAACTACAGGAACGAACCTTATCGCAGGGAAGCTGCGTCACATACATCACAAGGTTGGCCCGCAAGTCAAAAAAGACCCTTTGACAATTCCTTTACTACACCATCTAAAGCTCTAGAAGGTGATCAACGCGATAAAAGATTCAATCCACATAGTCAACCAAAAGGTACGGGAGATAGAACAGGTTTGATGCATTTATTTTGTGGCTCATTCTCTCGCTTCCTTGAGGTTTGAGAAGTTTGGAGGGAAAGAGTCGCTTTACGGCCATTGAGCTGAAGCTTTGGTTTGTACTGACATTTTCTTTGGTTAGGAAATTTCCGTGCTTCAGGATCAGGGGCGATGTCATCATCTCCGTCTGGGCCTAACAATTTCTCAACTTCGTTTCATGTGGCCTCGAAAGGAATGCTTGTAGGTGGTAGCCCCACGCATCCTTCTACTTCCCATCCCCCATTGGAGCCGCCAAGGACTTTGACGGAACTGCGCAGTGGAGCTCAGCGGGCCGTATTGAATATGCTTCCCCTTAGAGTTACCTGGGGGTATATGGTCGACAATTACGAGATTGATCCAAATGTTCTAAAGATGGTATATAATTCTATCGGACTTCCGATCCCACCAGAAACACCTTCACCACCTCCAAGTGGTGATACTGATCATCCACAAGTGGCGGGTTCTAAAGTCAAATCAAGAGATAAATCATCCGATAGAATGGAGATTGATAAGGATGCGCAAGCAATCCGCAAACAACTCGAGAAAGACGCACGAGATAGGGAAAGAAAAGAAGCCGAGGCTAAAGCTGCGGAGCTAGTTCGTCAGCGTGAAGCAGCAAAAGAAGAGGAAGAAAGAAAAAGAAGACTTGCAGAAGTTGAAGCTAAAAAGGAAGTGGTTCGAAGGAAGATTAATGAGATGGGTCTTCCTGGTAAATCTGCTTCCCCAGGTCTTCCACTCACACCTATATCGTCTACTCCTGTGGTGGCGGCCATTGCCAGAGCACCACCTTTGTCTCCACCAAAGCCGGAAGTGCCTAGAATTCCTGGCTTATTGCTCACACAGCTAGATGGTTCTTATTCGGAGTCTCGCCCTACTCCAGGAGTTGCGCCTTCACAGGGCGATATCATCATGAAAGATTCACATGAACCAGTGCCCGCCTCCGGACAATCAACCGCAATTGCTGCGGTATCTAATATATCTACTCCAACAAAAGCACCTTCTCCAGAACGGCCCTACATTCATCGTAGGAAGAGACCGGTTGCATCTGATATGTATTCAGAGCCTATGCCGACAACTAAACGAAAGTTTGGTGACCATAGGAACGTAGAGCTAATTATTGACATATCTGATGACGAAGAGGAGGAGGAGGAGGAAGGCTCACTAAATGGTTCAGGCACCTCTCGCTCAACGCCTTGCGGCACAGATAAAAGAAGTGGGAATATTACCCCGCCACGTCTCCGCCCTAGTCAGACAACTCCTGTTGGGGGCTTTTCTAGCAATGGCACTTCGAAGCTTGACTCGGCAAAAGCGCTTCAAGCTAAAGAGGAGCAGATCAGAGCTCTCAAAGAAGCTATTCAAAAGGCGCAGGAGAAGAAAAAGCTCATTGCAAAAACCGGGCTATCCACACCAACGTCAATTGAGACTCCAAACACTGGAGCGGAACCAAGTGAACCATCCCCTCTTACGCAAGTGCAGCAACAGCAGGTATCCGATGTAGCTATGGCGGTCTCGTCGGCTCTTGATAATGTTAAGAGACAAGACGAAACCAAACGCAAAGTGGAAGTTGAAAGGCAAAAAATGCTCATTCAAGTCAAAGAGGCACACGCCAGGGCAAAGGCGGAAGCTATCAGGCTCAAGGAATTGCAGAAGAGGGAACAAAAGAAAAAAATTGATGCTCTCTTAACAGAAATCGAGGAGCTTGAGAAGGCTGAGGCCGAAAAAAAGAGGAAAGAGGCTGAAGAAATTGAAGCTGCGAAAATCAGACAACGCGCGAGGGAAGAGAAGGAAAAGCAGCTGAAAGAAACCGAGAACGAAAGGCTGAAGAAGATGCTGGCTAAAGAGAGGGTTTTACAAGAATTAGCAAGAATGCGACGAGAAGAGGAGGATATGGAAGCGAAGAAGGAGGCGTTAAGGGCGGAGTTAGCGGCCATGGAGAAAGCGGCAGACAAGAAGGCAGATGTTAAAGGAGAGTGCGATGAAATTACAACAAAGGCCATTTCCAAGAAGAAAGAGGAAATTGAGCAATTGAAGAAGGCCATGGAGGAAATTGAAGGTAAGGCTCTGCGCCCACTCTTTTACCACACCATCCACTACTGGTGACTCTTATCGGGTTAACGCAGCTTCTTAACCTTAAACACCCTCCTATCGAGCAACCGCTTATGATTGAGTTTGGTTATTACAGTTGACCATGCGACCTTGAAAGACGACCAGAAATCATCCCCACGTGAACAACTGCCACAACCAGGCGCCTTGGCGGACCGCCAACAAAAGGTAACGGATGTAACGGATGATGTTGTGATGGGGGATGATGTGGGCCTCGGAATTAAAGGAGATGGGAAGGTAAGTCATGAGCAGGTTCAAGGACCAGGAATGGATAGAACCGAAGTCGTTATCAGTCGTCCCTCGGTTGTGTCATCGCCTGTGTCAACAAACACCTCAGATGATGCGATGGATGTCGACCAAAAGACGGTTGAGACCGAAAAGGTAAACAAAAATGACACGAACGTCGATGATGTTGACATGGACGCTAGCAGCGATGAAGATGAGGATCAGGAAAAGAGCAAGGAGATGAATACAGACTCAAGCAGTGAAGCGGACGAATCCTCAGACGAGGAAGATGACAGCGACGAGGATCAACCACAAGTAGCATCAGCAGTCCAAGAAGAGAAAAAACCGAAACCTACCATGCCAACCACATATCAGATGATGGACGACATTCAAGAAAAACCGGCAAATAGCAGTGCCGTAGACCTGGAGGAAGCTAATCTACAAATACCAGTGCCCGAGCAAAGAAAACAGGCCAATGAGCTCGTGGACCCCGCCAAGGTTTGCAACAAGACCACTTTACCTATACACCCTTCTATTTTACAGCTCGCTTTACTTTTAATAAGATCCGGTGTTGGCTGACAATAGTTCCTTGCTCTCACTTTGCTCGTGATTGGCTATTTCCTTTGGATTTCAATAGATCACTTCTACAACCGCTGCCGTGAGCGTTACCAAGAAACAGGGAGATCAGAAGATCCAAAGACAACCTGAACACGTCTTCACACCTTACAAGTCACCACTGACTAGCTTCAAATCTTTTCGGTACCACCCGAACTTCCTCGCCTTTTGCCCAGGTGGTTACAGGAGCTTAACGTTTTCGAACCGCATCGACCCTACAAAACCGCTTTGCAGGTGGGAACTTAGCGGTGGCATCTGCAGTGACACCAGCTGCTTGGGGCAGCATAAAAGGCAGATTGAGATGCCAGGTATATCCTTCCCAAATTGCTCTCACTGGGTTCTGTGATATCACTCAAAGTGTGGCTAATAATTGCCGGGTATTAGATGATGAAATTCTTGTCGAACTTGCATCTGTTGTTGAAGGCTCTACTGAGGAGGAGCGCAACAACTACAATCGTGGTCTCAGGCAGACGATTGCGTCTATGCGTGAGCAGGGGATCAAAGATTTTGAGACTGTCGTGACTGGTATTGCGTCTTACCGTAGACAGTTTCTTGGTGACGATACAAGGGTATTGAAATTGCCCCCATCTCAGCCTCCTCAAACATCCCAGCATCAACATCACCAGCAGCGGGGCTCTTCTTCTTTCTCTTATACGTGAGACTGTAAATTTCAATGAGGCGAACAGTGGTATTTCGCCATCCCATTCTCCCGCCGGTATATTGAGTCATTCTTCGATTTCGGAAAGCATTTTTTGAGCTCATTTTAGCACCATGGATACTGGGTTTCACATAAATAGGGTTCCGGGCATTATCTTAACGGTTGTGAAAGTTTATAAACTCACTTTCATTCTTATTTCTTCTTGTAACTTTACATTCTTGTATTCATTTTACATTCTGGTCTTGTTCCCCTAATTAACTCGGGGCGCCGTGCGGGGGGATCATTGAGGTGCTTCCTTGTATAATTCGATTTAGAGTGACGACAATACAAAAAAAAACATTCCAGATATATCTTGTGGGTTTTTCCTTTGGCCCGATAGTTATGTCAGGGCTTGAACTATGCTAGTTTCCACCGGCAAGTGCACCCCACTGCATGCCTCAATGAATCCCAGAGGTACACCCTGGCCTGATGCGCCATTAGAGTAGGCGCGCTGATTGTCGAGGGGAGCTAGTCTATTACTAGCACTTAGATGACCGTTACATTGTTGTATCACCAATTTTAAAATTGATAAACGGTTCGGATCTCTAAGGCTTCGTTTGGCAGCCACGCAAATCATGATCCTGGGCAAATTGTGATTTGGAGAAATTTTGAGCGTTTGGATACACCATTTCAAACCTCAATCTAGAGCCTGGGAATCATGATCCTTGCAATCCAACTTTCTCTCTATTGCAACGCAATTACACTCAACATCTTCAAATATACACAAGTTTTGACATGGTGAGCCGTTGCAACAAAATATTGTTCAGAGGCGTCTGGATGGCCAAAATACAATTTGACCAAAATACAATTCCCATCATCCAAATCACAATTGGCAAGGATTGTGGTTGCTACGAGACAGTGCTTCCAAACGGAGCCTAAGTCGCCGGGTTCTATTCCCATGGCCTCAACGTCATGTAGTACCGAGTGAGAACCTATGAAGAATATACTAAAGTAAGCTTCTATGAATGTGAGAGAAATGACTTCACACACACACACATATGAATGTGAGAGAAGTACATGCGCAGTTTTTTTTTTTTCTTCTCGATAATTATAGCCCACGGATACCCTTTGGTCATATCTTATTTAAGAGCAAAGGTATAGATACAGTGCCCTAACAGGCGGCCCTTTTATAATTTAGCTCCTGATGAGGTATCGCAGCATTGCACGTCTTTTGTAACCCGTGATCCGTGCTCTATTTAAATTGCATGTTTTATATATATTTAAAAGAATTTCTCATCAAAGGAAAAGCAAAAGCCCCATGCTATGCTTGCAACTTCTGACTCGTTAGCTTAACAAATCTAGGCACTACTACTGGGACGACGGCCCTAATTGGAGTCGGAAATCTCACCACCCGGAATCAAAGGGAGGGCTATTCTTACCTGTTAGGGTATAAGTGCACTGCCCCATAATTTTCTTCTCATTTAATTGACTACCTTCTGTTGTACAATTGTATCACCCTATAGAAGTCCGTATAAAAGAGTTCGAGAGCGAATGCGCAAGTAATACGAATGCAAAATAAGCACAAAGCTTTGACGGGCCAGTGTTGGGACTTGGTACTTTTCCATATTTTAGTAATGTCTTATCTACTAGTGTGCTTTTATGTACCGGGTCAGGATAAAACGTCATAAGACGCTTTACGTCGAGCACGAGAGAACACTAAAGGGTGTTTTAGAGATAAATTGGCCTATCCTAGCGCCTTACGTATGCACATTGAAGTAAAAATAAATCTCGCGTATCTTTAATAATAGATGCAAGTCATCAATCAATCAATTCAATAATACATATGACTTATGCCGAGTGATAACTCATGATGAATTGACAGAAATGGTTCCTAAGTGACTTTTAAAGGCTAGGGTGCCCGTTATCTAATTACTACTAGCTAATAGGCATGTTTTTTTTTTTAGGTAAGAAATTAAAAAAGAAAAGGTTTCGAAGGAAATCTAGATGAGTAACCCCCCACCCATACAACTAAATAAAAGAAACCAAACAAAAGAAACCAAACAAAAGAAATCAAAAACAAAAGAAATCAAAAACAAAAGAAATCAAAAACAAAAGAAATCAAAAACAAAAGAAAACAAAAACAAAAGAAATCAATAACAAAAGAAATCAAAAACAAAAGAAATCTTTTCGCCAAAAAAAACCAAGTCTAGTAGAACTATGCCATCATCTCCGTTGAATTATCCTCACAGTCGTCACGCGACCTCACTGGCCTTCTCCCTTGCAACACAGCGGCCGGATGAACCCAGTTAAAGATGACCATCACCGCCAGCATCAGTACTGCATCAAACAAGTACAACCAGATCTCATTCCTCAACAGATATCCCGAGTTGCCCTGGATATACTCAATGGTTCTAAAGACACTCCTGACTAGGATCGCCACTGAAGAGGCATACAGAGCATACAGAAGCCCTACCCAGCTGGTCTTGAAGCTCATTGCTGAATTTGCGAGGGATATCGAGGCGCCGGTTGGGTCCTGGTTGATCCGGCGATGGAACACGATACTGGCAATGACAAAGAAACCGAAAAAGATGATTTGGACGAAGAGACCGATAAGAACCAGTCTCTCACCGTTTTTCATGGACTTGTCGGAGCCTCCGGCCATCATTCCACCACCTAAAAGGGAGATGGGTTAGAATCTTTAGGATACAACTCAAGGTTACTCTATCACAATATTGCAGAAACGTACCACCAGCCTGCAGTGTGAAACTGAAAATGTCACCGGCAACAAAGATCTTTGTGAGCCATGTGAGCCTGACAAGGGAGTGTTTTCCTCCCTCAACGAGAGCAATGATGCGGCCAAGAATCATGTAGATTGAGGCAGCAAAAAGAGCGGGCGATACGAGGAGGAGAAGTGTCTGCATAATGTATGGTCCGAGAGCTTCTGTGTCATAATGCGATTGGACTCGACCGATGTAACCAATTACCTGGACTTGGAGATTGTTAGTTTATGGCCGGTCTAACATAGAGGAGCGAGTGAAGGGAGTAAAGTACATATTCCTCCGATAACAAGTGGAATGAAGGACCATGTTCGTGTACGGATGAGTTGGACTATGTGCCATGCTGTCGAGAGTCCGAAAAGGGCTGCAAAGAGGGCCCCCGCGAAGAGATTGGGTGTGTAGTGATAAAAAACAAAATCACCATGTTCGCTCATGTTTACTGGTGTCTGTGAGTATTTCTGGCTGTCGATTTGGTGTGCGATATATGTTGATATTATAAGCAGTATTTGATACTATCGGAGAAAAGGTTGAGAAGTTGGATATCAGAAATATAAGGTTATGTCGATGCGGAAGATAAGTACATATGTATTTATACAGTTTCCTAGCTGCCAAAAATAAAAAAAGCCCTGATAGAGAAGATTAACCGAGATCAGAATTAAGCAGTACGGGAGGTAATCTGGTACCAACTATAGGGGGGTCTGTCCCAGGCCACTCTACGTAGAGTAAGTACATACTAGGTAGCTAAACTAATCATTGCCAAACGGGGCTGAATAAGACCCTGATTTTACCCCCAGCATTACCAGCATTATCGCAGCTGAACCAAAAATCGTTTATCATTAGTAGATTTCCCCCCCGTCGCTTTCGTTTTCGTATTCGCGTTGTGTTTACGTACACATGCACTGCACCGCACCGTTGTAGCTAAAACCTCAGTTACTACATGTAGTGCGCAACTATTGGCTTCGGCTGTGTCTCCGGTACACTAAATGACGGGCATGAGCCGGAGTTCCGGGGTTTAAGTCTTCCCTTAATCAAGTCGCACCCTCGTATATACGCGTATATACACATATACGTACTGCTAGTTAACGGTCCAGATATGCATGTTGCCAATACGGATTTTACACCGGCTGTGATAATTGATTTCGACTCTCGCATGGCCATTGTGTTCCTATCGCATTCGGGTTCGCGTTAATGTTCAAGTACAAAAGAGCAGTATCAGGAATACGAAACACCGCGCGTCTCTAGATAACCCAGCCGAAAAATACATCGGTGTAATATGCTCCCCGTATATAGATTTTCAAAAGTACTAGTAGCTAATCGCCAGATTTTGGTTCTCAATCATTAAACCCCCTACATTTCAGCTCTTTTTTTTTTTTTTTTTTTTTTTTACAGATTTGCAGTATGTTACACCAGACAATATACTATACCTGATGATTTTCGGATAAAAAAGAGTTCCTAATCTTAATCTTATAATAGAATCGAACACCTAAAACTCAAGAAGATCGGAAGAGCATTGAGAACGTCAACAAGGATCTTGAGACCTTACAGAAACTCTAAAAGGACTCGTATGCGATCTCTCAGTACCCCCTCTTCCTTACAAAAGGGGTAATACTAAATCTTATCCATAGGCCTTAAACTGTCGGTGTAGAACCTTCTTTTTGGGGGCTAAATCTGCAGAAAATCCATGCAAGTGATTGGTGAGAGAACAGTTTGGATACAACCATGCATTGATAAAGGATTCGGGATAAGGAATTTATTGGCACAGAGGGGCTCGTTCTACATAGCTCGTATATTTATACGGAATATACCGTCCTGCAGTTTTGTAGTTAGAATACTAGTTTTGTCTAAATTTCTCGGAACTCCGTATTATTACAGAATACATCTCAACTCATTCCCCCTTATTATTGTGAGAGCAAAGTCAGCAAGGATCCTGGTACATCTCTAAATATAAACAAAACTCCGACACTGTACTTTTTTACTAGCCCTTTTGGCGCATGTTTGATTCCGGATTGTGAGGAGAAATATAACGGGATGAATTCACTACTTGTGCTAGCTTGCGTGTACCGGCTAAATACATTGTTTTTTCTTCTTTCACAAAGTCGTTCAATCATGAAATCTCACTCATGTTTAACGTTTGTGGTGTTACCTGTGGAATAAACAATTACGTGCGTTACCATAACTCAAACGCGTGCAGCCGGTGCGTACACACGCGCTAAATATTTAAGCTTATTTCACCTGCACGTTTTTGTTCTCTCCACCAAACTCCTGTGACGTGCAGTTCATCATGAGGCTTGAGAGATCTCGATATCACGTGGCATCCACATGTGCATTACCCTAAGCTTGGCGTCGTGAGACAAGTGACAACAATGCTCAAAACATAAAAGTACATGTATCTATCCATCCATATATACAGTGATTTCTCAACCAAAAATTTCATTTACATAGCAAAAATTGAGATGAGCGTGGTGACTCCAGACTTTTCTCCGCTAAACCCCAACCCAATCCTCAAACTCCATATAAAAAAAAAAAAACAATGACAAAAGAAACCCAACAGAGAATGGTTGGCGCATGAGACATATCATGGTCGTTGACAAGAACCTAATAATTAGCTGGCAATCCCGTGATTGATACCGCCCGTCTATAATAAACCCTGTAAAGCCCGAATGCACATCCCCGACACCAACACCATCCTTTCTAGATTCCTCTCGTCTATTTTACCTAAATAAGAAGCAACCACTTAGGCGCGCGTTCGCTTGACAAGCCTGGGGGCTGAAGGGCTGAAGGGCTGAATTTGAATTTCTTACCTAAGAAAGAACCCTTCGGGGCCGAGCGAACACCAAACACTTGTATATTCTCCGCATCCATACGGGCCAAGACATTCCTTGGTTTGACAGGCGATTTAGGCGATTTCGGCGTTGGTGATCGTGGGGTTGCTGCTGGGGATACCGTCGTGACACTGAAAGTATAGCCCTTCGAAGCCCCTGGCTCCGGCTCCCACGAAGCTTGGATATTCGGGTCCTCTCCGCTCGCAGGCGTGAACTGAAATGTTCCTGATGGCAATCTCTCACAATTCCAAGTAACCTCATCAAAGAACTTCACAAGAAGCTTCTCAGGTGTCTCTGGCTCCTTGGCAGGGACCCTTCTGATGCTGGCCAAGATCTCAGACTTTTGAACTAGATCTTCCTCCTCCCCGTCCCCGGTTGCGACAATGAGGATGTCTTTTGCGGTGACATTACTGAAGCACCCTGCTAGACGTCGTACGAAGGACCCCCCGCAACGGACATCGTATGCAGGTACTAGTCTTCCCCGGGTACCATCAGTTGCCACAGTTGCCTTTTGGAGCTGTAGCAGTAAACGCCTGTTGGGGAGGTGACGTTTAAAAAATGTTCCTGGAGCCGGATTGGCGAGGAGGTATTCTGCGTGGATCTGTTGGGAGTTGCTGTCAGGCCGACTTGAGGACATGTTCGCTTGAGTTGTTCGGAGAAATCTTCTTTGAAGGGAGCAGAATTTTGAGCTTGAAGATTCCGCCGGGGAATATATATATCTGAAGGACCACTGGTGGGGGTGGCGTTTATGCTAATATTACGCCCGGGGCTGGATAAATAATTGAGTAATTGGTAATTGATTACGAGAAACAGGGAATACAAATCGTTTTGGGGTAACAATGATCTTTGGGTAGAGGGGAGGATCAGAAGATGAAGAAGCAGGTGCTTGGTATATACCTACTAAGGGTGTCAATAAGATAAGGTTCCTATATGGTTACTTTATCCCCAAGGGCGGCTGGATGTCATACCGTGCGCACAAGGAGAAGCGAGCTATCGCGTCGAATAAGAATACAAAAGCCTCCCCTCTGCCAGTTTGTTGGTGGTCTAACCCGAATTGTTGGAATGTTAGGGATGTTGGTTACCGCGCCGGCCGTTGCTTGTACAACCAAGCCTCCTGATGTGACTCTACTCATGTACGACAAAGCTGCGCCTACTGCCCCTCTCGATGCAGATGTGCCCAATGAAATAAGTAGGGCGCTGTCTTCATCACCAGTACGAGCATTAAGTAATTATGAGCACGTGCATCTCACAAGGCTGTTGCAATTGCCCAGTTTCTTCCGATAATGGTAATGGTAATTCCCCGCTTGGGTCCTTCTGAAGCCCCGAATTAATGTTCAGGCTGTTTTGTAGTTTCTTTGTTTTTATGATGCTTCTTTGTGTACTTCGAGTGCATCGAATCGAAGAACATTTTCTTTGTACGGGTACGAACGAGCATTCCGGAATATTACACGGTCTGTGTCATTGCAAGCGGAAATCTCCGGGTCACGTAATATTTTGGATATATCAGTATTTGTATGTCACTGGTATATATCATCGCAAAAAGGTGTGGGATTTTCTGGCAAGTCAAAGTTCGTATATAAAGATGATAATAGGCAAAGTTTCCTAATAGAGTCTTACATAGGTAGCTCTGGTGATTGCAAGAAAAACTAATTTATTGCTATCTCCGTTTTCAGCAACGCTGATGCATCGCTTTTGATTATCCACCCCCCCCTCTTCCTCTCGGATGAGCCTCGATATTAGAGTCAACTTCAGTAAAATGGCTGGCCAAACTGGAGCCAGCGAGGCACCACAAGGGTCAATAGGTCGCTGGGACGACAGCCCAAGCAGAACAGCAGCAATGGTATTTGCCTTGGAATTTTCGCATCGATGCGTGCTGCCATGTGTTTTAGTCATGTGGATAATGTATCTAGCATTATTCGCGTTCGTATTCGCCCAATTAGTAGTTCCCTGGACGGCTGCAAGGCAGATTTCAAAGATCGGACAATCAACATCTGTGATCCTATTTACCAGTGATGGCAATAGGTTATGTCTTTCATACTATATCCATTGGTAGTTTAGGTCCCCTGGGTTCCGAAACCTTTTAACCGTCCTTCGGCCTTCCCTCCATGCTGCCACGACTTACTTGATTTATGGTTCTTGCCAAAGTCCAAAGAGACCTATCAATCCTTAAGAGGTAATGATACTTCTTGCGGGGGGGGGATGCAATTTCCTTTGTTATGCAAGCGGTAGCAGGCGTATTGCTAACCAAGAAGAGTGGCATGACCGATACAGGCAATACGCTAATTCCTGCTGGCTCTGTTTCCAGCTGTTCAAGCCTGTCTTTTCAAAATCGTGTTCGTGTCCGTCGTGTTAAATTGGTGTACCAAATCTGGTACCTCTCTCCTTTGAAGACTGCAACACGGTCCCTTCCTATTAATGTAGATATTGTCATCTGCTGGTTGTTTCAAGGTTATAAAGTTCCCTGAAGGCCACAATAGACTGCTCCAAGAAATAGGTTGTTGTACGTAATGTTGTACAAATGTTTAAATTTCTTGTGCAGAAAGTTTGGTGATAAGAGCACGGGAGGAAACGATATGATGTGGCTAAGCTATCAAGAGCTAGGGCCAATTCTTTCTCTTTTTTTTTCCCTCTCTTTTTTCCGGATCCCCGGACGCCGGTTATGATGCTACTGCACACCTGGAAATAAGCTTTAGCATGGCTGTTTGTAGAACGGGGTTAGGTGTTGTTACATGTAGTGCATGCATATAGGTACATGACTGTTCAGGGCTGATTCCATCATGGAGCAGTGTAGTAACAGCTTGAATATCAAGAAATCCTTGTGGTTCCATACAGTCCTGCCCTCTGCCTTAGAAACGGTTCTCGGTCCGTCCATCCTAGTTGATAATCGTGGCTTAGCCAGGGATCACCCTGTGGCTTTTAGAGGAAATGATAATGCCTTGAAGATAGCACCTCTACTACAACTAAAGATGCCTGGCCCCTACAACCCCCCCAGCCTTTCTTCGAAGCTAGAATCGAAACTCAATTTGAGACACCTGTCGTCAGGCTGACCCAGTGCTTGGCTGTTGATGTCTTGGTCACAAGCCACTACCAACCCAGAATTGATGCTTGTCCCCCCTGACTAAGCCGTGTATGTGTGTAGCCACGCCCATCGTGAACTACGCAGGTTCCCTAAACCACAACCACACCTTGTTATCAACGACGCCCACCAGAACTTCCCACCCAGCTCACCAGATAGATCCCTTCGGTTAGCTTCGATATATACCGACGATCTTAGAGAACGCTCCAGTCAAGCAAAGTGAGAGACAAATCCTTGAGCGGTTAGCTCCCAACCTGGCTCTCTCTCAGCTCTCTGCCAGTGTTTCAAGGTGGAGATGGCAACAGAGGTGACGGGAAGAGTGAAGAGGGGAAACGGGAAACATGCGATGAATCGCTGGGTTGCGGCTTTCATGCCTTTTGTAATGGCGGGTCTTGCTGGGTATGCAACGTGGGTTCTGGTTGTTTTAATATGCAGTGTGTTCCCCCTTCGTCAAGTATTCCGTGTATAGAATGGAGCTTTGCCTAGATAAGCCTTGAGGTCGTTTACTAACCTGAAACCATAGTTAAATACCTAATACTCTCTGAACATCGGACAGCTGCTGGTGCCGTTACGATTGCTCTTTACTTTTTCTTCTTTCTCCCTTTCGTCGCTGCGTACCTGAGGGTCTTATGGACCATAACTGTGGCTCCAGGGTTTGTGGCGAGAGGCCAAGACCCCAATGAAGCTATCAAAAACGAAAAGCTTGGTGTTAGTGATAGTGACGCAGAGATGGGGCTTGGTAGTGCGCGGATAGAGCATGGAAGCTTTGGAAACAGAGGTACATCACGCTCTCGTGCCGCCATCGGTACCCCCTATTGTTCAAAAACATCGTGCACAAGGACTGAGTATTTACAAATGATCTAGATGGTGTAGTGACAGAAAACACAATCCCAGAACTGAATATAACCCCTCCACCGCCGGTCGCACAACCAGGTCGGCAAGCTTCTGAGACGCCAATTGCAAATTCATACACACTCACTCCACCAGTAACCCACCAATCTCAAGCCCAAGCTAATGATAGACCTACGACGTCCTCTAGTACCCTTCATGGGCATTCATACGATGCCTTCGATGCTGAGTCCCGTGCTGAACTCCCGGAACCAGAAAACTGTATGGACTTTTATGGAAAAGATGTGTATGTTTGTGAACCAAACGGTAGACCCAAGTGGTGCTATCACTGCAACTGCTATAAGCCAGACAGGTCTCATCATTGTAGTGAAATCGACCGATGCGTGTACAAAATGGACCATTTCTGTCCTTGGTAAATTCCCTAGGGTCTACTACTTAATATGAATAAGACCGTCATACTGATATTATCATGATCAGGGTTGGTGGCATCGTGGCGGAGTCTTCCTACAAATTCTTCTTTCAAGTCGTCGTGTATGGCGCATTCTACTGCCTGTACCTCATAATCTCGCTGGCATATTTCATCCATGAACATAAAGAAAACCATGGTGGTTCTGTAGACGCAAACTGGCTGGTTGCGCTCGGACTGTAAGGAATTTTCGTTTCAAACCTCTATCTTCTACCTGCTGACATGTCTATCCTCAGATCATGTCTATTCGGACTTTTCTCCTGTGGGATGGCTATCTCGACAACACAATTGATATATCGAAATCTCTCTACGGTCGATTCGCTCTCACACACGGTCAAGGTGTATCAGCTTGCAATCCATGACCCCAACCCCCCACCCGCACCAGGACCCGGGGGTCGCCCGCTTGTATACCGAGTGTATCTCCCCGAGCATCCTAAGGAAGGGCAAGAGCCTAGATGCTTCGCCATCGTTAATACAAAACAGGGAGAAAACCCATGGAGGCTGGATAACATGCTTGATAATTTCAGAGAAGTACTAGGATATAGCATTTGGGATTGGTGGCTACCAATAAAACAGAGTCCGTTGGTAAAGAAAAATAATGGTCGAACGTGGTATAAAATGAACGAAAAGCTCATAGAGAGGCTTAAAATGGAGGCCGGTATTGAAACCGGTACTACTGAAAATGTTTGAGGGAGGCATTGTTTTGCGGTTTGATATTTTCATTCTCATATATTGGCGTGTTGGCTTTCTTCTTATTATTGAGGTGTTTACGGGGTTTTGTAGCTTGCTTATCCAGGCTGTTTTTTCTGATATTTTTACTTCGTTGTTATTCTTCCTGGCCTATGGCTGCCCTTCATTTAACTTGTAATTTCGTAATCGCTTTTTTTTATTCCTTTCTTGTTTCTGAAAAGCCTTTTTGTGTTATAAAAATGGATAGTAATCGGGTGTTTGGGAATACGGTGTTTTTTCCTTTTTTCCTCTTCTCTTTTTTTTTATATTTATATTGTTTTCCGGGGTGCTGGTTTCAGCATGCACATTACCTCTCTAGCTGGGCATTATGAGAGATTTCTTGTTTTGTACTTTTTAACTAAGGGTGGGTTCACTCAATTTGAGTTCGTTAACGTATATATAATATGGTGTTGATGACTGAAATTGTGATGCGATTAATTGATAGATTGGATTTCTGTGATGGCTTGCCAGTGTTTTGTGGGTAATGATATATTTGACATCTATAACCACGCTGGTTGGTATCATTAATAGCCTGGTACATGTTTAGATGACATCACCAAGATAGTGTTTGTCTAGGTAGATTATGCTTATTGTGTTTATCTAGGTAGATTATATGCTTATCAAAGTTGATCGAAACCAGCCACGAGCACTAACACTGTTACAGACGTTTCCTTCCCAGTTACATAATCAAGGGTCAAGGATCAAACACACAAGATCGGCGTGTGCATACCAAGCCACGTTGACGCTCGCCTGAGGGATAGTTAGGCGCACACCGCCCAGGGTTGGAGGTCGCCGTTATACACATCCCTGGTAACGATCCTGCAACAAACGTTCTCGGGATTGTGTGTGAGTCAAGTGCGATTCGGCAGCGATGGGCCTAATCCAGGAAATTAGGGTTATATACGTGAACCGGAGCCCGAACACCGAGCCGAATGCCGAGATTATGCGCGGCTCGAATCAGGCCAGAAAGTGAGCGGAGAAAGAGTGTTGGCTGTGATTTGAGGGGTATAGCCTACTGGGGATCATTAGGGATTAATGAGCGGGGGGGCGAGAGGGGTTGAGTGGTTGAGGGGGGAGGAGGAAGGTGGGCGAGTGATGGGCAGTGATGGTTGTTGCGGTGGTGGCGGTTGCAAAAGCAATCTCGTGGCTAAATGGCGGGATTGCGTTGCACTTTCTCGTGCGCTCATTGGGTGGCGGTAATCGTATAGGTATACGAGAAACGGAGCAAGTCCGTAACGATAAGGGGCTTGGTTAGAGTACGCAGCTTGGTTGCACAGTTAATCGACCTGACCGAACATGTCGATATATTACTCCAACTGCATGCAGCATGATCATGAGCGTCGCGGCACTACATTATATTCTCTGGGCACAGCTTGAGGCGCTTTCGAACAAAAGTAATCACAGCGCTACCAGATTGAAATTTTTGCGAACTGTAGTCATGGACCATCACTCGGTAACATTTTTACCCCCTACCTGACTTGACAATATTTCCTACGCAATACCTTGCAACCCCGCTCCATGACGAAACATTAATTACAAGCATATACTACCCCTCAGTTAGAAAATCCCCTACGGTACAGATTTCGTCGGCTGAGGACGGCTTATATCCCGACTCTTCTCATACGCGTCCAGCGCCTCCGAGATCTGCTTCTCCAGTTTCACGGATTTCTCCTCCGCATGGTTAATCTGGGCCTCCAACTTCTCCAGCTTCACCGCTAGGGACTCCTTGGTCGCCGCTAGGGTGGGGCTGCTACTGCGGGCCATGCACGCGAGGTTCTCGGTGAGATGCCTCCGGTGCGCGAGAAGGTTGCGTTGGTACTTTTTCAGGATGTCGAAGTTGAGGTACAGATGGTCGAGGTACAGATACTTGAGGGGAGCACTCATACTCCTGGTATTTGTTAGAAGTGCACTTGGTCAGGGTGAAGGTTGCAGTTGGTGATAATATGATGCGTATGCATAGTAGGTCGCCGGTGTATAAATAATCATTGCAAGCGGGCCTTTCGTCCCTGGTAGCCTATAGAATTGTACCGGTGGATCTGCATGATCAAAGTTTGTGTTTGGTTTGAATTTCCATGTGGTAGTTAACATTGGTTGTTGCGGGTAGGTGCGCGAGGCAACTCGCGACATCCACGTGTGTGTTTTTGTGTGTGTGGTGCTGTCGAGTGATACATTATGACTCACTCGCCCGTCGCCAGGTTGACCACATCGCCAATCACATCGTTGAACAAGATACATAGGCTACACATATCTCTTTGAAGTTGTATACTTCTGGTATAACAGGAGATGAGTGATGGTTCATAGAAGTGAGGTATCTGAGCGAAGCTTTAATCTACTCCTGACCGGAAACCGCCGTGTTCAGCTCGCTGGTTTGACACGAAAAGGCACCCAAACGTATGATCTAAAGACCAGATTAAGCTCTTGCTGGAGATAATCACTTAGAATAACATTACTTGATCTTCCAAAGCACGATATTTTGTTTCTACCTTTATCTGTCGACAAACAAACGCTCACCCCCCCCCCCCCCTCTCTAAAGTTGGTAGTGCCAAGGGAGAGAGTGGGCTTGGCTCACAGATCTCTTTATCTTTCTTATCAGCCAAGGAAATTTTACTATCACATTCTACTCTGAAGGAGCTTTTGTTCTTTTCAATTGTGGGATATATAGAGATCAAGCATAACAAAATGGTGATGAATATACTCTAGGCCTAGGAAAGAATGAAGCAAACTACTTTATGATAAGCTTGTAGTAAACACCACCACAGTCGTCCGGGCGAGTGCATCTACCTGTCTCTACCCACCATCCAATCCAATTCATCCCCCATTTTCCACCTAGAATGTCCCATCCCTTTAGAGCCAGCCAGCTACAACTCTACCGCCAGCTAGCTCCTAAAGCGCTCGAATCCCAACCCCCCACCTCCGAAGCCGCGAGAACTAGCCGGTCATACGACAACATACAAACTACACACACCGCCGTGATTTCCAGCGACTTCTAGGCCTTTGTAGAAACCACTACTCTCCCGCCCTCTCTCCCGTCCAAGAACCCCCCCCCTCAGTGGTGGTGGTAGCTACTACAGGTTTGTCACTTTATAGCCACTGCTACATAGATTCCTGTAGCTAGAACGGCCTACCAAGTTCGCCGGCTCCCAGTAGAGGGCCGGTGAGTATCAAGCAATGAGTCGAGCTCATGTATGTAGCTCAACAGGTCATGTTTCCGTATATTGCAGAACGAGATTCAGGGCCGGGTTGGGTGGAGCTTCTCGCTACATAGTTTTTTCTCTTCTTTTTTCCTTTAAGGTAGCCGGCTGGTTGAACGCTTTCATCTGGCACGCGCGTAGAGTCTAAGTGTGAAACTAAAGATCTAGCTCTACCAAGTCTGTAACCCCTCCCCCATCACCACCGAGTGACCACTCATGAAACAACACCTCCCCCAAAAAGAACCTCAATAAGAGAAGGAAGAAAAAAAGTCCATTTCTATTTCCACGCCCCCGCCACCAGCAGCCCATCCCGTCCCACTCCATCCAGCTAACTACACCCACCCGGACCCGCCGGGCCACATCCCCGCAGAAATATACACCCCCGACCCCGACCCCGCCCACCATCACACTCTACTTCCCCTTCTGCTCCTCCGCATACACCAGCTTCCCCTGCGCATCCAGCGCAAAGCACGGCCGCTCCTCGCTCGTGATGTTGCGCTTTATGGCCGCCACCTGCTCCGCCGTGAACCCGCAATTGCGCACCATGTACGCCTCCACGCCGCCAAACTCGTCGCGTATCATAGCCGTTGTGCGGCGCATCGTCTCGACGCTGTTCCTCTCCTCACCGCCCACCACCGCCCGCTACATCAGTCCCTCACCCTCCACGCAAAATCAAAAAAAAAAAAGAAAAAAGAGGGAGAGACAACATACGTCGAACTCAACATATTCTCCAACCCCCTCCTCGCCTCTTCATCGCCCTTCATAAACTGCGGCCTACCTAACAGCCGCTCGCGGATCGCCTGCTTGAATGGCTCGAGCCCCACCTCCGTCAGCGCGTACTCGGCGGCCACGAGCTCGTCGTCGACGCCCGCAAGCATCAGCAGCAGCGCGCACACGACGCCCGTACGGTCCTTACCCGCCGTGCAGTGGATCACAAGCGGCTCCGTGGGGCGCTCCAGCAGGTGTGTGAAGATGGCGCGGTAGGAGAGGAGCGCGCCGGCGGTGAGGATCGAGCGGTAGGCGCTTGGTAGGTCGCCGCTGGTGTAGGAGCTGTAGCGCTTTGCCAGGGCCCTAAGGGAGGGGGGTGTTAGTGGGTGGGGCGCGGGGAAGGGTGGGGGGTGGGGGGTGGGGGGTGGGGGTACTCGGGGCTGAGGTCGTCTTCTTCGAACACGGGAACAAAGTGCCGGGTGATGCCGGGGATCTCGATGACGGGGCAGGTGTCGGAAAGGCTCTCGATCTCGGGGTTGGAGCGGAGGTCGTAGGTGGCGGTGACGTTGAGCTTGGCAATGAGGACGGCCATGCCGTCGGCGGTGACGCGCGAGGGCTCGGCGGCGCGGTAGATGAGATTTCGCCGGACCTATGCGGGGTGAGTATGGGCTGCAGCGGGGAGGGGAGGGGAGGGGGGAGGAGAGTGTTACGCTGCCAGTACTGCCTTGGATGGGGTAGCCGCCGAGGTCGCGGAAGTTGTAGATCCCGGGGACGGACTTCCAGGGCGGGTGGGTGGGCAGAGTGGACTCTGCGGAGATCAGGACTGACATTGTGGGGTGATTGTTGATGTTTTGTGATTGCTGTGATTGCTGTGAGTGCTGTGAGTGCTGTGAGTGCTGGTTTCTGGTGGGGTATGTAGATATTTAGAAGAGGAGAAGAAGTGCAGTTTCAGCTGTGATTGCGAAGATTCCTCAGATCCCCCGCGAGCGTGACGGCGCACGGCATGATGGTGCACGGCATGGTGTGATGTGACGGGATCGGCCTGTCGTCGTTCTGCTGCTCGTTCGTTTCATTGGACGGCGCGTTGAGAACATGTCGGGGAATCCTTACTCGAGGTGCAGACCACGCAGGTAGGCTGGGGATTGAGCCGCGCTCATGAAAGGTCACTCGCAGTTTGGGGGGCCCTGGGGAATATACTTAGGAGTGTTTTTGCTGTAGAGTAGTTAGAATATTAGGATAATACATGTAGTTAATGTTGATACCGGTGATGTTGGTGGCGCCGGTGCTAGTTAATACAGAGCGGGGTCTATTGAAGCTCTAACTATGCACATGTGTATTATTTACGCACAGGACATCCAAAACATTGAGACTCTGATACCTAGAGTATCTACAGCTGCAGATTGGTCAGTTCCTTTCTTACTGAACTCAAGTAAACCCAAAGGCCCTCCGAAGGAACCCGTACCTACCTATAGCTACATACGGACATTATATCAGCCTTTTTTTTTAGACAACTGCAGAACTTAACTACCATTTAGAATCGGCTATAGTTGAATTGAATCATAATGACTACCCCCCCCCCCCCCCCCATATCTCATAGCCATTCCATATCAAATATGCGGGTTGCATTTTAGTTTTACCATTAAAGAAGGGGCATCTTCACCTACGATCACTCGACTTTTCCACCGACGTCTGGATACGTCTTGGTAGACACATGCCAAAATAACTGTTGACAGTACCTTTGTGTATCCACTCCGTAGTGAAATCATGTAGACCATGCCAATTATCCGGAAGCCCTATCAATCATCCAGGAGTAGGTGTCATGTTTGCCGTATGAACTTCGGATGTTAATAGATTAGTTATACAGCCAAAGCACAATCAAACTCGACAAACATCCTATACTAAACCCAGCCAGGGAGTTGGATGTGGAATTTAAGCATAGAATTTCCGCTTTTTCTTTGCCGCTTCCATATACTGAGCCGGGGTTTTGTGCCAGCTCTCTCTCAACTATGTTGCTATTTACCAAACAAACGTCTGTTACGCAGGACACCTTCACACATAATCACTCGGCTGCCGTAGAATAGTACTGTGCCAAATTTAGCGTTAGGTGGGGCCCCGGCGATGCGGGGGGGGGGGGGGGCATCCAGTTCCAAGTCATATGCTATGCTTTTGCGACTCAACACCATCGATCTGTGGCACCATAACATTCCGACACCCAGTCTGAGATAGAATTGAAGACGATTACCCCTCTGGTCCGGCCCCACTCCATTGCGCCGTTCTGGGATGTCTCGGCGCCGAGTGATATTGTGTGAATGCTATATGAGATCGTACCAACCAGAACCTACGTATACCGTCAAAAAGACAAACGCACAGGAGGCAACTTTGTTCAACAAACACCTTTCAGCTAGATGCCTCTTTAAAAGGAAACTCAGTTATGGTCAACCATGAAGCAATCCAAACCGTCGTTTCCAAACAATGGCTGCCCGGTAGTCTCGTGCCCAGCCTGTGTTTTTTGATTTGTAGCTGCACGCAGTGCAACAGATAAAACAGTCTGGGAACGAGACTAGCTGCCCGGCTATATATATCTACCAAACATTCCCTCTCACATATATTCTTTTACACTAATTTACACTACACCTCCCCCCCCCCCCCCCCCTCTCCCTCCCTCTACACACCCATCTACATGACAGGGCCACACCCATCTACAACTTCGCATCCCCCTTCGCGCTCCTACTCACCACCTCATACCCCCTCCTCGGAAAATGCACCCTCAGCGCCTTCCTCCCCTTCCCATGATACTCCCCCGTCGGCACAACCTCCACCACCACCTTCTCCCCACTCAACTCCCTCACGCGTCCCCTCTGCGGGTTCGCCCGCCCCGTATCCACCGGCGTAATCTCCACCTCCTCGCCCCACGTCACCCCGCTAGGGTCCTTATCCGTCACACCGACATTCCCCGTCTCCTCCTGCTGCGTGTGGTACGAGAGGATCACGGCCTTGGCCTCCTCGCCCTTGATCCTGGTGACGCCCGCGGCCTTGGAGTCCGGGATGCGCGCCTTGAGGCGTGTGATGTGCGCGAAGGTCTTGGGGAAGGTGGTGGGCGTGATGTCGGAGTTGAGGAGCGCGCTGGGCATGCTGATTACCCATTCGAGCGGCCAGGCGACTGTGCGGGTTAGTAGGTGGTGGTAGGAGGGAAACGGGGAGGGGGCTGGGACCTTCGATGTCGGCGAGGGAGAGCTCGTTGCCGAGGATCCACTCCCGGCCGTCGGAGAGGTCTTTTTCGACGGCTTCGAAAGCTTTGCGTATGCCGGCGAGTGCCTATACAGCATCAGCTACCATCCATATCTTCCCACTAGTAACCGGACCCACAAACCTTTGGCCGTGCCGCATCAATATCCTCCTTCTTCCAGCTCTACTCCCCAACAATCAGCACAATCCCCCAAACCCCAACTTCCCCGCCCCCCCCCCCCCCCCCACACACACACACACCCCGCCAGGAGAAAAAACCTACCCTCCCGCTAAACTGGCTCCTATCCTTCACAAACCTCTCATCCCTCATAATCGGCAAACTACTCGGAATGCACCCCGCCGCGAACGGAAACACGCCATTACTACGCTCCGCATACTCCAGCGACCGCCGCGGGTCCGTGTCGAGCCCGCCTTGGGGAAAGCGCCGCTCAAGCTCGCGAAGGATCAGGGTGGTGTCGATGTAGACGTCATTGCCGATGGCGAGCAGCGGGATGCGCCGGTAGGTGATGCCGAGGATGGCGAGGTCTTGACGAGGGAGGATGGGTGGTTGGATCTGTGCGGTTTTTTGTGTGAGTGGGAGGAGAGGGGAGAGGAGGAGGGGGGGAGGTGACGGACGCATTCTTGGTATTTGATGCCGCGGAGGTTGAGGTACCAGCTGACTTTGTGGGCGTAGGGACTGAATGGCTGTGGGGGGTGGTTTTGGCTGTTAGTTATGGGTCTTCTGAGCTGGCAATTGGTAACAGGTAGAGCAGAAGCTTCCTCTACTGAAGAAGCTCCATGATCAATATAACCGCCAGAAAGAGAGGAAGAAAACCTACATAATGGTACAAAATGATCTTTGGATGCTCCTCACGATCATTACCACCAACACCACCAACAGCAACAGGAGCAGCGTTCTCAGTCATTGTAACAACAACAATAATAATAAAACAGAAATACCAAACAACCAATACGCAATTATTCGCCGAAAGATATCCGGTACCTGGGGGAGGGGAATTTATATGGCACTCTACTCTACATCAGATGCTGTTCCGACGTATGCGCGTGGGGCCTCGGTCCGGCCAGCTAGAGCTTGTAGCTACTCGGTATGACGTTGAGAACATCCCTGTGCATCGGTTGGCTAGCTAGCTTAGAGCTGGCTACAAGCGAGGTTAGCTACTGGCTGGTTAGCTACCTAGCTTAGAGCCGGGTAAATATGTGGGGTTGGGGGGGGGGGGTGTCGAGTGATGCACTGTGTTGGTGGATATTATTATATATATAGGAAGTTAAGTTTAGGCATTCAAAAAAAAAAAAAAAAAAAAACTGATAACTACAGGTTTAAATTACGTATAGATCAATAAACTCATGGTTAGAAAAAAAATAAAGCACCATGAAACCGGCACAGGTGTAAGTAAAGTATGATTGTACATGGAGCCCCTCTCCCTCGATATCCCCGCCATGCGGACACTAGTTAACTGGCTGTCACAAGTACAAGGGAACGATAACAATGAAATCGGATGGACTACAGAGGTACGTGAGTAAAAAGAAAAAATGAGTAAAAAGGAATAACCAAAAAAATACGAAATACAATACCAAAAAAGAGAGATAAAAGAAGGATAAAACCCCGGATCGACTAAACTGACTACCCTACAGATAACGAAGACAAAAAATAAACTAGGAACTCTCGGTGCATTCCACCGGCTTGCACTATTGGATATCGCAACCCCCATCACATCCCCAACAGATACATAAGGAAAAGAAATCGACAAAAAATAAACCGACCCTCAGTATATACACCACTATAGCGCTACTTTCCAGGACTAATCTCTCTGCCCTTCGTTGAGTAGTAACTCAACTACCAACTGTCTACCTTCAACCTCTGGGTGTGCCATAGCCACCTTGATAGTTCTTGTACCGGCACTGCCTCCAGATTGTGCATCGTCAATGCATCTGCAATCTCTTCCGGCAATTACTTGTCTTAATCTCCCGTTCTCTGCGTTTCGGATCTCGACAAAGTCGCTGTCAAAGACCAGGATATAAGGCCCATAAATAGCTACCGATTTGGCCTTTCCGACAAACTCCATTATTACACCACGGGAAACGTCGCCGTGCTTGTTGACGTAGACACCACACTCCTCATAGCACAGGAGAAATTCAATCTCAGAAAGACGGAACATCCCAAGTGGTTTCTGTCCTTGGAGCCGAGTAGCAATGTCGTTGACATGAGAAGCTTTAAGCTCGGGAACAGACCAGGGCTGCTTCTTGTCTAGTGTCATAACCTCAAAACCTATACCAAATCTATTAGCGTTTGTCGCCTAGCATAGATCAAGATAGAGTCAATGGAACAAACCTTTACTTGTCTGAATCGCCAAACTTGAGTGGAATAGATTGATTCCATAACAATCAGTAGGGATATAAAAGTCGCCATAATCTCTGAAAAATTCAGTGGTCCCTTTTCTTGAGAACCGACTCTTTTTCTCAGGCGCTTTGGGGAAAACCGGCTCCAGTACTTTGAACGTCGAGTTCAATCCATCTCGGCGCTTGTAGAAGACTAAACTACGCTCCTTCATCCTCCCTGTAGCAAAGAAGCCTACATCTCTTCCACCGGATAATTTTTGTGGTGGCCGTTGCTTTACGTCACCCCCCGCCCCACCGTCTCCTGGCTCAACGACAGTATCGAGGTGATAAGCGATAAGTGATTTGTCGGCCAAGACTAGGAATAAACTAAACTCCTCCAACACTGCAATTTGAGTGACACGCAAGATATTAATCGCCTATACAAGGAATGGTCAGTTAATACTTTTGAGCACAGTTCTGAATAATAGGGCAACAAACCCTTCTCCACTCTCTGGGGTTATCCGCAGCCGCCGTGTATACTCCATAATCCGTCCCAATAGCTACCATTTCTTTCTTAAACTGTACTGTAAAGGCAGTCGCACAGTTCACGCTGGCCCTGCACATAACAGGTTTCCTGGGCTCGTTCTGGAACCTTTTCTCGACCTCGCCGATTGCACGATCCAGTGGGGTTCCTCTCACAACAATCGGCTTTGGCCCTGACGCTGCTGCAGTTTCGTACCCAAAGGCTGTGTCTGCCATAACCTTGAGTCTAAAAGGCTCTGCATTCTGAGCATACAAAGCTGCCGCATGCTTTTCTTTTGCCTGGATGATTTTCTCGCACCATTCTTGGCGGTTCGCCGCGGTTGGGGCGTAAAGCGTGTAGGTATTATCATCGGCCTTGAGGGAGCGGGAGGGGTTTCCAAGGTGTTTGATGCGGAAAGGGAACATCACCCTATCATCCTTTGCGTTCTGGTCTGGGATTGTTGTTACCAGTCTTCCTGGCGCAGTGGATACGCTAAGTGCTGAAAGGCTGGTATTAGAATGCTTCAAATCTGCTATTCCAGTGTTTTGCCGTAGATTCGCGGGTTGAACGATAGCTTTGTTAGCAGCCGTCGGGCCTCCAATTCCTAGCCTATTAGCAGCACTCCGCATCACTGGATCGTCATTTGTGCTTTCGAGAACCAAAAGATCCATAGGTATTGGCTGTTGGACCAAATTAGTAAAACGGTAATAAGAATAAACTCGAGTTCTTGAAAAACACCCACCATTCTAGAAACATCGTACCGCTCATGCTTTGCGCCACCATTCACGTCACGTTGCATTGTAGTTTTAGCCAATACAAGATAGTGGTCGAAGAGAATCGCGTGAGTCTCTAGCCAGGCGAAACGACTACTTCCATTCCGTTGTAAATCCCCCTTGAAGACGAGCTCGCGGCCTTTCTCGCCAAGCATCAGGTCGACGTCCCATTGACGCATGATTAGTTTCTGGCCTAGCTCTTGCAGAGCTACACTCTTGCTCATCTCGTCAACCTTTGAATCACATTCTAAGGTGACTGCTCTGATCTCCTCGATTGCTCGGGCTAAGTTATCTTTTTCATCGCTCTCAGCAACAGTATGCTTCAAGATAGTAGCAAGGAGCAGCGAATATCGCTGTAGTCTGGTAATCGGGGCCTTCAAAAATGTGACCCAATCCAATCTTCGTGAGCGAGGATCTGAGCGACATTGATCAAGGAACTGCCTAAATATCATATTACGTTCGGCTTCTCTTCGGACCAACATATCTGCCTTCGGGAATGCTGCTGCATAAGCTAGATAAGCTGTCTTCGCTTTGCGGATCCATTCCCTGAAGATATCACTGAAGCCAACAACCCATGGTCCTTGCTCCTGTTGCCTGAACTTTAATTGCGGTAGTAAGTGCTCTTCCGAAACTCGGCGGACCGCATCTGCGGCGCCGAATACATCCTTGATGAATCCGTCCAAGCGAGATGGCTTGATGATCGATGGGCTACTATTTGCGATTGTGTCCCTGTAGAGCGATTTCAAGATTCGCAAATGTTCCATATACTCATCCTCAGTCTGAACAACCTCGTGCAGATTGTTTTGCCTCTCGATTTCTTTCTTACTAACTTCCCCCAACTGCTCTTTCTTGATCTTCCAAAATGTCGCCCAATCTTCAGTTTTCTTTATCATCTCATCGGGATTCTGTGATAAAGTAATTTTCCTGAGGGTCCTCGCACAATGGTGCGCATAACACCGGCCAGGAGATTCGAGCTCGTGTAGCTTCGGGGCGTAACATCCGTTGCCGGTGACCTGGTATATAACACCTGAGACCTCACCCTCTCCAAACTTGACCCACTCTTCCTCCTTTACCAATGCTTTCTCCTTCAGCATGCCACTGACAACCTTAATCGCTAATGTTTCCGCATCGGCTACATTCATAGTTGGAACAAAGTGCGTAAACAGCGCCACGATGCCATCCGCTACGGCACCCTCTTTCAGATCTTGCTCTCCTTCGGTCATCTCTGTTAACCACGACTTAATTGAGCTGAGAGCCCATGGCCTTTCGCACTTTTTAAAGTCCCGGCTGCTCAGCTTCTTGGGATCAAATTTCTTCGTCATTGGTATCGGTGGAAGGTCATTGATGGTCAGACCCTCGGCGTCTCCGAGGGTTCCACCGCTCGAATGAATTGAATTCCTATTGCCAATAAGTTGACGTGTTGGGTGTGCTTTTCCGTCCGTTTTAGACCTGTTAGGAACTATCGTTGGAGGAGTACTTGTATGGCTAGACAGACTTGTTGATCGGGGGAAATGCGGCCCCGATCCTTGGGGCTGAATGTTTGAGCCGATGCCTTCTGCTGAGATAGGAGTACCATATTGCCGTGTTGATAGGGGTGGCCTTGATCCAAGTGAGTTTCGATGGTGTATAGGCGATCCGGTATCAGGGTACGGTAATCCCGAGTAAATTCCTGGCGACCCAGTTTCCGAAAAATTATCATAGTCGGGAGGACTTGGTAATGGTCTAGTATGCAATGGGCTGTTTTGTGCGCTACTCATGCTTGGTGGTGGATGATAGAATAATTCTGGGATATATGAGCCATCTGAATCAGATTGGTTCTTTGAAGGACTTTGAGAGGCAGATCTGTTAATATCTTCTTCTCCTTCATCAAACGACATTTTTCTCAAATGAGCAGACGGCTTTGAAAGTCCACCAGTTCCTGGCAGGTCACTCTTAGCACTGGCACGGAATTCTGGGAACGGATGCACTAGGTTGTCGTCTGGAATCGCAAACTGATCATAAGCAGGAGGGGCGCTAATCCCTGAAATTGCACTGGCGTTACTATTCATTCTCCCGATTTCGTTGCTGACGGATTGGCGATTTGCTAATGAGTTGCTATTGCTAGCAAGGACGGGGATATTATGATCTTCCTCGTATGTGCCTGGCCCATAATAGCCAGAAAGTAGGTAACCATCGTAATAATCATCATCGACCTCTTCATTCTGTTGAGCAGGTGCCGGTTGCTCGCTCAAATGCTTTGACCGATCAGCTGCATCCTTATGTTCCTGCATTTCGTCTAATCTCATCATTTCCAGCCCCGCAGCGGCTTCTGCATCACTTTCGTTCGAGTAGTAGTCGTACACTGAAGTTTCAACCGCCAGATGTCCGTTATTTACACCATTATGTGCATAGGAGTCTCGACCCCCACTGGGAGCAAACAGCGGTGCTGGCCTAGAATCCGCGCTTCCGGTGTCAATCTGGGACGGACGGCGCCCGGACTGTTTGTGGTTGAGCATTGACATCAATTCACCCTCAACCTCATCATATAGTTCTTCTGCAGCATCATGTTCCTGTTGCTGCAGGCCTGTATCCGCGTACGACCCGTTACCTGGTGCGTACGGCAAGGGCCTCGATTGCGGGTGTCTCCCGTTTGCATCACCATGGCCTTGTTGGGATGGCTGTCGGTGAAATGACCCGTGAGAGGGTGGTGGGGGGGGTGGGGGTGAAGGCAAAGGATTAGATCCGGGATAGCCATTAAAATTACTCGGATTCTGTAAAGCGCCGAATCGGTCCGGGGGGTTTGGTAGTGGATGGTTTACTTCACTAGGTGACATATCACTATCAGAACCGGAATTGTAGTGTGTCTCGGGCCTTGTGAGATATTGCTTGTTCTGCGGCTGATTGGCACTGGAGCTAAATGATCCATAAGAAGCAGGGGCATAGGTCGGTGAAGTCGGTGGGTGAGGGGGCGGAGGGGGAGGGGGAGGATGATACGTGCTGTGGGGCTGCGCCGATTGCGGAGGTGGTGGTAGACCTGGGGAGTATGGACCCGCACCATACAACGATTGTGAGGTCGTTGAGTATTGAGGTCTTGTAGGATATTGGGAGTATCCAGCAAATGGCGGCTGTGCTAGATGGGGCGGCACCGCGCCGACCGGTGGTCTGTATGAAGTTGGGTAAGGTGCGCTATTGAAAGTGCTTGGATTATATGTGCTCGTAGTTGGTGAAAATTGTCCTGAACTTGCGGGGGGGTAGCCGCTGGTAGATACATGTCTTTGAGGAAGATATTCAGCATTGGGGTACCCGGCAGATTGGCGCTGCGGCTGCTGGTATGCAGCTGGATTATATGACTGAGGCTGCTGGGCCCCGTTATAGCCTGGAGTAGTAGGATATGGAGCGTTATTCGACATTGATGGACTTTGGTAAGACGTGTCCTGCTGTAATGCTGGGGAATAAGATTGGGAGTAGCCGTTTCCACCAGGAGCTACCGCAAAATAACCAGATCCTTGGCTTTGAGAACGATTTACAGAAGAATTCGGGGCAGCAGTAGGGCCAATAGAAGTCCGTTTGCTTGGTGGCTCAGGGAGGGGATTAGTTTGTCCGTAGTATAGCTCCTCGGGGCCCCGAATGCTCAGTCGAGAGCTCACCCCGGTACCGCCGTCAAAATATGTCGCGTCGTCACCGTCGTCAAAGCTTGAGGTCCGATGCAGATAGTTATCTTGCGATGCGGCGCTATAAGCTCTGGGGTTACCGGAGTGTCCACCACTGTTGGGATAACCAGCCATTCCAAGTTATGCTAACCTAGAAAAAATGATCTGGCCAAGCAGATAGATGTCAGACCCGACGGTACTTGCTACAAAGGTGTGTACCCGACCTATGAATGATGCGAGGTGAGTATGTAAGTATATGTATGTGGAGATGTACTTGGAGGGTGGTGGAGTTTTTTTTGGGTGTGTAGTGGGTTGGGTGCGGGGAGCGAAGGACAGGAGGCTACCATACTCTAGAGTCAGATGCGCCAAAGCGCGGTGCGTGGACCAAGTCAGAATCGGGGGGAGTGGGCCCTGATTGGCTAGTTGACTGGATTGGGAGGGGTGCGAAGCGACCACAACTCAACGGCTATGCTGTGTCTTGAGAAAGGAGGAGAAGGTTAGGTGAGTTGACTGTTGGGATGATGTTGTAGGGATAGATGGACGGATGGAAAGAAGATGTGGATGCTTTATTTTAGGACTTGCCCTGCTGTTATTGATCCCAACATGGGTAGAGGTATGATAGATACATACATGTAGCAGTCCTATCAGAATGACCGACCCCTCTGCTTTGGTTACTTTTACAATAACTCCTTAAACCAAAATATATCTCGCCGAAGATCTTGGGTTTGAGATCAAGAGAGAGGACAATTATTTTCTTTGTGTGAAAGGGCTGCATGTATACTTACTAGATTGCCTTGTAGACATCATTCGGTGATTTGAAGAATTCTAACGCTATAACACGTACACCACATGCACAAGCGATAACATTAATCTCGAATACCCTACCCGGAGGTATAGCATGGGATTTTTCGACGTTTCCATTCCTTTACATCTCTCTCCCGATTACCTATACGGACTTAAGTGATCTACAGCTTAGCAGTTGGAGCCTATGGCAATATCTATCCATGAAGTTTGCTATATCAAAATCCATAACTACTACTCCAGACCATGATCATAGATCATAGTAGTACAAGACAAAGCCTTCTAACATGTATGTACCCCAAGGGAATCTCTGCAGTCAAAATATATATATATCCAAACTGGTGTCACGCAGAGCCTCATTTGACAAAGCGTATTACATGTAGTCCCTGGCTCCCAACTACATCGGTAAGTTCTACCCTTTATGGAGATCATTTGACTAAATATGACGTCTATATCCAAAATACATGTATTCAAACATAAGGCAGAATTCTCTGCTTTAAAATATCAACCAAAGGTCGATCTTAATAGTAAGGCATACAATCGAGTCTTCAATAGAGAATTTATCAATTTAGGTGAGGCTATTCAACCAATAGGGGGTGCAGGAGTTTCTGTCAGCTAAATCCGCGCGCACACACAGACCACCAAGCTGCTCATAGGGGATGGGCGCAAGAGAGTGTAGGGTATTCGGTGTACCGATATTTCTGGTTATACGCCCATGGGCTTAAAGCAAAGTACTGGTAGAAAGATGCTTGCTGATTGGCTCAAGTCACGAGAATATGTTTAATTCCGAACCTTTGTATTTACTAATATCATACAGTAATCATAAGTATACATATACATACAAGTATATATGCTTTGTAGACGTACATTCACGAGTATTCGATCCAAAATATCGTCCCCATGCGGGCTTAAACCCGAGAAAACAGCGTACGGATCCGGAGCTTAGAGCTGGTGTCCCCTATCCCTTCGTTAACAGATCTCGTTATCTCCCTTATCAAATAATATATCTCCCATACAAAATTTGATTTCTCTATTTAGGGGGGGCAGCAATCGACAGACGAAGGGATACTTTAACAATGCGTGATACAGTGAAACGTATACATGGGAATTGCAGGTATGTACCGGGGGTTCACCTTAAATACCGAGACGCCTTGGATTTTGTATGGGAACCGCCCATGGCAACCAAAAAGCAGCCAATGAATTTTGGTCTTGGCCCTGAAATTTGTATGGGGGAAAAAGTATGAAAACACTTCATATATACTCACTCAAAAATCTAAATATTTTCCTAAAAATACAAAAAATAACCAAATGATAGCCCTTGCTCTGGCCATCACCTTAATAGCAATCCTAAACTTTCAAACATGTTTTTCGTGGAGTTCGGAAGGAGCATCAATGGAAAAGAGGGGATGGAGGTTGCATTGCAAAAGCTGCAACACACACAATTCAAATAACCTCTTGGCCGCCAAGTGTCCTTTTTTTGAATCGACCAATAGCAGACGCCCGCTAGCCCTTACAGCCCAAAATGGGGTTCTCAGTACTTACCCTTAACCCCCGGTACAGTGCAAAGTATGAACTATGTACATGCATATACTTACGTGCGTACAACATACAGCTACTCATCAAAAGTGTTCGTGATATACTTTTAATGTCAGTGCGCAGTGTGGCGCACCCGTAATACTGATGTTATTAAATTAAAGTCGAGATTCAAAACAACGAAAAATATATAATATAGTTTGTGACTACGTATAAAAAGAAGATAGGTCATTGATCTTATTCTTCATTAATTTGGGGGCCATTGGTCACTGGGAAAGTCTTCTCTTGGGGGGTTCTTGATGGTCCGCCGCGGTTACATATGGAAAATGTCTCACTCTGAAATCGGAATCACGAACACTTTTATAGAGTGGCTGTGCATACCATCAAGAAGCACTTAATTAAAGAGGCTTCTGGTGATAGATGATCGTACAACACCAGTGCTATCGTTTGAACGTATTAGCCGCTACGTATGTTTGCTATATCTCTAGTGTATGCATGCGCAGTCTTCAGCCTGTGGTATTAATTTAAGGCGTTACTATATATTTGCATGCCATGGGATCTACAGTTAATTTGATTAAGAGTACTAGCGGCTTAATCGCTTTTTAAGAATCTAGCCTGCTACAGTACTATACGGATATGGATACGTAACGCCTAAACAAAGTCAATTAAAAATTACTGAGCTCTTATTTCATGTACTTGGTCATGTTAATTCTATTAGTATGTACTCACGTATATTTCTTTACATCCCATTAATTCAAAGAGCTAGATATATATAGCTCCAGCGCACTCAAATCCCCGCACCGAAGACAAAACAACCACCACACAGCCCCCGAGGGACATAAAAGCTATCACAGAGAGTACCCAGCGTGCATGTTTCGATGTGCTAGCTACTAGGCCGGCCTAAACATGCTGTCTATATCTATCGATTAGGTCTCTGTCATAACAATATTATACCTTTGCACATACCCACAGGACTCTCTTCCGTGTATCAAACCAATTAACAGTAATCCTCTTACAGTTCGTTCTTATCTACCCTATGGTGTACACCTGATAAAAGCGTGGTTATTGAGATCGAGAGGGATTATCTCTAGAGGATGCGTCCTTTAAAGTTTGTTAAATACAGTCGCATAAGAAATATACCACTCTATTAAGTTGAAAATAAGAACGATGAGAAAGAGTCCGTTGAGATGTACATGTATGAGGTGCTCCAAGCCACCCTTGTCTTTCTCACCCTCCTCTTCTATGAAATTGGGGAGATTAAGAATCACTAGAGTCGAGTGATCGGTTGTGATCAAGTTCAAAGCCACAGAAAGATAAAGATTGAGTTTCACGAGTGGAAGATCGCGCCTTAAGCTTATTTTTATAGGGTCTAATATAAATACATGTGTTCGTAGGTGTTTCCTCTATAGCTTAAGCCGTGTAGGTTGTACGCTGGTACTGTGTACGTACTACGTATACCTGTACGTACTGTATGTACCCAGGGGAAAGTGATGCACATTTTGGCCAATTACCCCAAATACCTATATTTTGGCGCAACGCAACACGCCCCCTAAATTCAAATTTCGAGTGTAGGGCGTCTCTAAAATGGCTAAGAATTCATCTGGTGCTAATTGAATACAAAATAGCCATTCTTCAAGCAAGAAGTCACTATCAAGTAGCGAAAATCAGTGTTAAAAAAAACCAAAAAGTATCGATGACAGACCTTTTTTATTTATTTTTTTCTTATGAAAGGAATCTACACACTTAAATTAACCTCAAGATAAACTTGTGTACAGATTAATTCTCTCGTGGTTGAGATATCACCCAATGTGCATCATTTTCCGACCCTGGGTACATTCTCTACTAAACACAGGATGTCTCAGACACGTGCTTACCGGAAAATAGTTTTTCCGAATTATTTAAACAGAACTCGAATCGGTCAGGAGTTTACTTGTATTTTTTTAATTTTGTAGAGTAACCTCATGTATCTATGGGCAATTAACTGTTAACAGATGCGAAGCAAGATTTCCGACTATCGATAGGAATAAGCCCTATTAAGTGTCATACCCACGATTGGTGTAACATTCTCTCCCTGGAGGAGAACGTTCTGGAGGCCATCTATTTGTAAGTCCCTCTCGGCCGACAGCCTTACAGAAGCGAGCCAAGGCCGTACCAAAAAGAGCCCAAGAAAAGGCTACATGAATTGTACTTCTACTCTATGATGTTGATCATGATGAGTGTCCATGGGTAGAGAGAATTTCCTATCATGGGCAGTATATACATGTAGTCCTGTCATAAGCATTGCGTATTGGAAGGAACCGGCCAGAAAATTAAACACGTATGCAGAGCCGTCATACATTCGATGAGTAAACTAAAGGATTGTTCAAAAAGAAGGAAGAGGATCTCAGTATTGCAACATGTCAAGAAAACTTAGTCACTGGTGGTGACCACATTTTCGAATTCGTAAGAAAATATTCCGTAATCGTCAGCGATAAAGCTACCCCTCTTTCCACTCACCCCACCATTCTTCTTACTGACATCCCCCTACCAAAAAACACCACCCCCAAATAATCACAATCAACTACTCAAACTTCACCCATAACTCATCAAAAATGGTCAAAGCTGGTATGTAATCAATTCGTTTGTTGCGTTGCTTGTTGTTCGAAGAGGTGAAAGAATTAAGATGTGAGTGAAATGACACTGGTGTCAGTGAATGACGAGGAAAAATGGGGATTGTAATATCTGTCTTCTATTCCAAGTAGTTCTAGGGCTTGATGTTATCGGGTTTTGATTTGCCAATCCCATTTCGAAAGATACATCTAGCTCTTGCCTTATTATGTGCACTGTGGCTAACTATACCGAAATAACAGTTGCCGTCGTCCGTGGAGACTCCACTGTGAGTGGAACTGTCACCTTCACCCAGGAGAACGAAAACTCTCCTACAATTATTACCTATGAGATCTCTGGCAACGATCCAAATGCTCTGCGTGGAATGCACATTCACGAATTTGGTGACAACACCAACGGATGCACGTCTGCAGGACCCCACTTCAACCCATTCGGGAAGAACCACGGCGCGCCAGAAGATGAAGAGAGACATGTTGGTGATTTGGGAAACATCGAGACCAACGCTCAGGGTACCGCCCATGGAACCATTGAGGACAAACACATCAAATTGATCGGGCCCCATAGCATTGTGGGAGTATGTTTCCCCCTACTTGAATCTATGCGTGGGGAGAGAAAAATGCTGATATGTGCTTAGCGCACCGTCGTTGTCCACGGCGGTACTGATGACCTTGGCAAGGGAGGACACCCAGAGTCTTTGAAGACTGGTAACGCTGGTCCCCGCCCGGCCTGTGGTATGTTTCTACGATTTCTCGGTGTTTCTTTATCAATTCTAACCTGAACGACAGGTGTTATCGGAATTTCTGCCTAAATACCTCTCATCTATATGAAGATATCTGGCCCAGTTGCAGATTAAATGACGTAATGGCAGGTTTTAAACGCGGTTTGCATGAAATCCTTGGTTTTTAACCGTGCTGTATACATATAGTTTTTTTAGTCATTGTGCAAGAAATCCATTGATATCAAATCGAACCTTGTTGTTGAATTTTTATGCCGCAATTTCAGGACGAGGAAAACTGCAGATGAATATTTGGCGGGGCTGCGGTAAGTATGATATGCACCCCAGATTTCAATTGCGGGTGTGGATTTTTTATCTTCGTAGAAGTGATTACATGTATGTGTTTCATATTACAGTGGAGTCCCGATAGTAGCATTCTCGATAATAGCATTCTCGATAATAGCATATCCTTGATTGTAGCATATACATGTAGTTGGGCAATCCTAAACGAGTCGGTACGGGCAAATTTGTTCTTGATACAAGCATATTCTCGATAGTAGCACACGAAAATCCGTTCCCGACCATTGCTACTACATGTACTCTGGGTATCGAGACACAACTGTAATGGTTGTACATTTTCTGCGGGTGTTGGTGGGTAGTACAGCTTCCCCACATTGTACTACCAAAGGACCTTAGAGTTGTGGCCAGGTCAACCATCCCAAATTGATCTGACATGTCCTTTACTCCAACCTGTCTTCTCCGCTCAACCATAACTCTCATTCATTCATTGAAACAACCAACCATCAATCAATTGTTCTGATCTGGCTATATTGACACCTCCTTTAGCAATTGAATCTGTTTGCTAGCTGTTAGATAACCAGGTACCAAGGTGAGTGTGGATGAATCCCAGGGTATTCCACAAACAGAGCTTAGGATCCGTCTCTTTCATCTAGAAACCCTCCCACGCAGGCTCAACACCGACAAATATTATCCGGTCTACAGTTAAGAATCATGGCTCAGATTGGGAAAGTTAAGCTTGTAAATTCTGGAGATTCGCTGCTTTTACAGCATCCAAAGACAAAGGCCGAGAAAACTTTTTCTTTGGCTTATGTTTCCGCTCCAAGATTGAAGCGTGATGGTGACGAGGTTAGCTATAATTACCCTTCCCTTTATGGGTTTCTTCCGCTGTGGAATTACCGATGAGGCCACTTTGCTAACAGTTATCCCGGGTCAGCCTTACGCTTTTGAATCTCGAGACTTTCTTCGTAAACTCGCTGTTGGCAAGGAAGTTCAGTTTTTGAAATTGTATCAAGTCCCAACCACCGGCCGTGAATACGGCACTGTCACTCTTCCTGATGGAAGATCCCTCATTGAGCTTGCTCTCGAGGAAGGGATGGTAAAGCTCCGCGACGATGGAAAGCGTGAAGACGAACCAGAGAATGAAGCTACATTGGAGAAGCTTAGGCTTTTAGAAGCCAATGCTAAGGCAGAAGGGAAAGGAATATGGGGCGCCTCTCAGGATGGGCGAATTGATTCCAGATATGAGGCCCCTGAGGACCCTATACAGTTCCTAGGGACATTCAAAGGAAAGCCAATTGAAGGTAAGGACAGAGATATCACTATTCAGTCATGGGAGAATTTTTATCTAATCATTTCTTTTTTTCTCTCTGCAGCTATCATTGAGCGCGTGATATCTGGAGACAGAGTCGCTGTTCGTCTTCTACTCGAGCCCAAGCTTCACCAACAAATGGTCGTTCTTATTGCCGGTATCCGGGCGCCACTTTCAAAACGTACGGATACCACCGGCGCTGAACAGGCTGGGGAGGAGTTCGGTGACTTCGCCAAAGAGTTCGTAGAAACCCGTCTTCTCCAGCGCACTATTAAAGTGACTTTATTAGGACTGAGCCCTCAGTCTCAGTTCATCGGAAACGTTATCCACCCCAATGGCAACATTGCAATACTATTACTCTCACAAGGTTTGGCCAGATGTGTTGATTTTCATAGTACTATGATTGGCGCGGACATGAGCAAGTTCCGCGCCGCTGAGAAGACCGCTCGAGAGCAGCGGTTGAGGCTTTGGAAGGAACACGTGGTGAAAGCAAAAAACCCAAATAGCAATCTTGATGCGGTTGTATCAAGAGTTCTCAGTGCAGATACAATATTCGTGAGGAATAAAGCCGGCAATGAGAGAAAGATCAATTTGTCAAGTGTCAGACAGCCAAAGTAAGTTATATCACAATCCCACTTTTTTGATCCTTATACCTTCTATTATTATTCAAAGCTAAATTGTGAAAACTAAGGCCTTCGGATCCCAAACAATCCCCATTCTCAGCTGAGGCCAAAGAATTCTTGCGAAAAAAGTTAATTGGCAAACATGTACGCGTTGAAATTGACGGAAAGAGACCAGCTACCGAAGGGTTTGAGGAGCGTGAGATGGCCACAGTTACACTCAATAACAAGTATGTCTCCCATTCATGAACGTCTTGTAAGTGACATCCTAATGAACTATAAATTATGTAGGAATGTAGCTTTGTTGCTCGTCGAGAATGGATGGGCCAGTGTTATCAGGCATCGAAAAGATGATGATGACCGCTCACCAATCTATGACGAACTACTTATTGCCGAGGAAGCGTATGTTTTTTATCATTACTTCCCAGGCTAGAACTTTATTTTTCGGGGCTAATCGTTTTCCATAGTGCCCAAAAAGAACAGAAAGGCATGTACGCAGCCAAGGCCCCCCAAAGCTCAAAAATGGTTGAGGCCTCAGAAACCCCAGCTAAGGCCAAGGCCTATGTGTCATTTCTCCAACGCAAGAAACGTACCCCCGGTATCGTTGATTTTGTATCTTCAGGGTCCCGGTTCAAGGTGATAATCCCAAGCGAAAATGCCAGACTCACTTTCGTCCTTGGGGGTATCCGTGCCCCACGAACCGCTCGCAATGCTACTGAGACGTCAGAACCTTTTGGTCAAGAGGCCCTTGACTATGCATCGAGGCGTTGTATGCAGAGGGATGTCGAGATTGACGTGGACGATGTTGACCGTGCAGGTGGATTCATTGGCACAATGTATGTCAACCGAGAAAACGTTGCCAAAGGCTTACTGGAGGAGGGATTGGCAAGCGTACATGAGTACTCTGCTGAGAAGTCTGGCCACGCGACCGAATTGTTTGCAGCGGAAAACAGAGCAAAGCAAGCGCGGAAAGGAATGTGGAAAGACTGGACGCCAGAGATGGACGCTGATATCCATGCGGATGTCCCGTCTAATGGGGCCGCGAAAGACGAAGCCATCGAGAAGAAAAAAGATTACCGTGATGTAATCGTTACAAATGTCGACGAACAGGGCAAATTAAAGATCCAGCAAGTCGGAACAGGTGAGAATACACTCAGTGACTACTACTCAATTGTTATACTAACAACACCCTAGGTACTTCCGCCTTGGAGCAGCTCATGTCAGCATTTAGAACCTTTCATCTCTCGCCTACAAATAATAAAGGTCTCGAGGGACCTCCTAAAGTTGGCGAATACGTCGCGGCGAAATTCACCGAAGATAACACTTTCTATCGTGCTAGAGTGCGTCATGTCAACCGCGAGGCCAAAGAGGCCGATGTCCTCTACATCGACTACGGAAACTCTGAGAAAATCCCGTTCTCCCGCCTTCGTCCTCTCATCCAACCGCAGTTTCAAGTATCTAAGTTGAAAGCTCAGGCTGTTGACGCTGTTTTCTCATTCCTCCAGTTTCCGACTCAACCAGACTACGCCTCTGAATCTGTGGAAATGATCAACCATCTGACTGCTGGTAGGCAACTAGTTGCAAATGTTGATTGGACCAGTCCAGAAGGGGTTCTTCATGTCACACTATACGATCCTAACAGCAGCGATCGCATGGAAGCCAGTTTGAACTCTGAAATTGTCTCCGAAGGACTTGCCATGGTACCCTTCAAATTGAGGCCATACGAACGGGCTTATCCTGAGATGATCAAGGCCCTCAAGGAAAAGGAAACCACCGCTAAGGCCGAAAGGAGGGGGATGTGGGAATATGGTGACATTACCGAGGATTAAGCTAACACGCCACATGCCGTTCTCATTGTTTGCCGTTTGTTTTTTCTGTTTCCTTTTCGTCTTTTATTGTATTTACAGCATGTTTAGCATGGGAAAAGGAACGGGGATATCTATAGGCATGTTTACGGGGGCTCTTTAGTTTTAATGATTACAGCATGCAGAAGATTTACGTAGATGTTAGTAATCTTCCAAAGTTTGATGTTCTCTTTAAAGGCATTTGTTCCTCGATAGAAACGCGGTTTTCCAGCTACAAAATAAAAACCTCATTCACGGCTGTAAACATATCATCTCGGATTTGGATTATAAGATTTCTGGGGCTGCTGGAGGTAAGGCTTCAGGGATTCAGGCCGCGATGAAATATAGGCCTATTGGTCAATTGAGACGAAGAGAAACGAAAAATTACTCTGGGTAGGCGAGAGTGAGGTATCATTGGGCTGGATTTGGTAGAACACTGCAACACAGTGAGATTTTGTTACGAAAGTGGGGTGACAGCCCATGGCTAGACAGAAACTACATGTAATGCAGGTGTCATGATAACCACAAGGAAATGGATAGATAAAAAGAACAAAAAACGGAGCTAGAACGGTCAAGTAAAAGGATGAACTATTGTATAATGTTACTATCGCTATCTTAGACTATATTACTCTATCGGCTGAAATCATAATACCCGTACGTATATGCGACCTAGCAGAAGCTTATGGAATGGTAAAATTAATGAATTAAAATAAAAAATTTTTTATGGAATAGTAGGATCATGATATATCACTCTATATGTATGATAGAGTATGAGAGAAAATATGGTGCTAACTACATGTAGGTACTGTCTAAAGAGTTCCCCTAAGCTTTTGGCCATGGTTTCTAAGAACGAAGAAAACTACATGTAGTCGTAATATGAAGCAAGTCAATAGGACGCAGACTCAACTATCATAGGACTTGGCATTAGGGACATAATATTCCTATTGTGTTTGATTCACTTATCCGAACAAACGTTAAACCGAACTTCTATGACTGGTCACCAAATAAGTTAACAGCAGCGAATATGGCAACGCGAATTGCTTCTTGACCCAATAAGAAAAGAAATTATGTCTGGCGTAAACTCGAGAAAAATGACGATTATAAGCAACGATACTTCAATACCTCAGAATCGTGAGAACTTTACCCGTGATGGGGGTCCAGATTTTCGCGGGGCCCTACGTATGTAAGTCCGGCCGGTAACACAACTTGGTGTCTATTCTATGCAGTGCTAGGTGAATTCAAGTGTAACTACATGTATGTACTCAACGGATAAATTCCAAAACTCACGATGTTGGAAGATGGCCTCAGTGATACACGGGTAATAACATTTAGTCTCGATCGGTAATATTCTACTAATTAGATGAGACACTTCCTGGATCATGTAAATACGAATACAGTTAGGGGGAATCAACTCCCTACTGTACCTACATACATGTATCTACTCTACATATATTTACCGGTAGGCTCTGAAGGCCTGCGGCCTCCTCCACGGAGAAAAGTAGTGAACACAGGCTGTTTATGAACAAGGGTTTAATTCGATAGAACTTCCCCAGCCCCATAGCTAACTCCCGCCAGTTACTACACAGGCTGTTTGAAGGTATGTACTCTACATGTAGGTACTGGAAGACGCGTGCCTAGCGCCTCTCTTAGTTTTGGCAAGCCAGTCGCAAGGCCGGGCGCGAGATATCCCTTACGTGTTTTTCGCCATCATTATGCTCCTGCAAGTATTTGAAAAGGAATTGTGCGGTGAGAAAATCAAAATGCTACTCTTCTCTCGCCGTGTTGTTTCATGTGCCAACAGATACCGACACACTGCGCAAAAATCGAGTGATTCCTTATGTATATTGGCGACGAGATCAAACCAGGTGGAAATTTCTAGTTCTTGTTATGCCTCTTCAACCTCGATACGAGCAAGCACATCCTACCAGTTCACTCTTTAAGCCTTTGGATAACCACGCGTGCCACAGCTAGTTTATTGGCCACAGCTTGGCGGAATATGGATGTCCGCCTACTGGTATCTGATCCTAAGATGTTTCCTCACCCGATTGGATGTTTAAACCGCCTTAATATGGCACTTTTGCAAGGTTTTGGCTTGTATGCCAGCTTCTTACTCGCGTCAGGGAAAAAGAACCAGAACATGCAAGTGAGAAAGCAGGGATTATTTGTATGGAGTGGCGCTGAGCTGCCATACAAACTAGGCATTTGCATGTTCTGGTTCTTTATCCTAGACGCGAGTACAGTCCTTAAACGTCATACTGTAGCTATTCTGTTTCTGGTTTGTAATAATGGGGTAAAAGGATAGATTTAATGAATTCTGTTGGTATGAAACCGGACCCCTGTTCATGAGACCCTGTTCGTCAAGAGCCTTTACCCCCATGACCAGATTCCATGGATAGCATTTCCCATTCAACAAAAGTACCTTCGTTCGCCTGATGAGATTTCGGGTTTAGATACGGCCTAGCGACTCTGATTGCTGCATGCGCACCCGGATTTCTAGAAGCCCATTATCTAAAGTTTCCCCGGATTTGTATCCCGCCTGGCCTCTGTCACAAGCGTGACTCTGAAACCTGCGATTACCTAACCGATCCTGTAGAGTTGTCTCTGGAAGGTCCAAGGGCATAAGTTACGCTCTAGAATACCGATACATCCAGTTAGACTTCAATCTTGCCAGCTGTTACCACAAATATGGCTCGAGAGCCTCGGGGGTTAAATGAGACATGGGTATCTGCATGTTGGGATAGGCCCGAGCGAAGAGCTCCTGACACCCCGGTGGACAAGCTGGGAAAGATAGAGTCTAGATAGGGCACCCCCATCGCAGGAGGAAGCTCAACAAGAGCTCTCTGCATACAAATAGTGAAAGATGGTGGTGACGATGGAGTCGATGGAGTCGATGGAGAAGTTTGGGCGGTAGCTCCCGTGCGGCTCAACAGGCGGGGATGACGTGATTGCGGGCCCTCTGCAGCTCTTGTTTCACCATTCCCCAGAATGGACTAAGCAGCCCGTCCGCGCGAGGCGCCAAACAGGCAAATTGCCAGGCCACACGACCACTCAGCGATCATCGTGTACGCCACAGAGATCAAAGATAACAGGGGTTTTCCTGTTGTTGCCTTGTTTCGGTGCAATCCCCGCAATTTCTGATACTGAAATGGCTGTGCACACGACAGGTGACCAAGCGGTTCAAGGCAAACCCCATAATCCATGTCGTACACAGGATTATTGTGATCCCGATTCCCTAGAGCAGGCCGTTGTTAACGATGAGTGATCTTCTGCCCGACGTGTCTTTCGAACTGAGATCAGACAAGAGTATGCAGGTCCGTTGCTCAATCTACATATGTAGCCTGTACTCGTAGGGATCTGGCGAACCTCTGGCAGGTGTACCTACATGTACCTACTAGGTAGACTGTGTGCACCTGTGCCGAGAATGTACCTGTGCCGAGCATCTTATCTGATCTCTAGGGATCCGCTCCAAATGGTGGCTAAAATGCTGCCTTTATTATAAGGTGCTCGGCACAGGTACATGCTCGAGAGTATGTGTACGCTGGAAACCAATCAAGAGAGGTACACTCACGTGCACACGGAACATGCATCGCTTCGGTATCAGACGCGTTTTTGTATCAGGCTTTGTGGATAATGGTCTTAATATTCAATCGAGTCATTGTGTACCCAGTAAATATAGTTGTCATAGTCTCAAGAGTGTAAAATACAAAACAGAACAGAATGCATCAGAGGAAAAAAAAAGTACAGTACCAAACCATCCCGCATTACCTGAATAAAATTGTAACAAAACGATGAAAGAAACCCCAACGAAAATAACCGCATTGCCTAACCAACAGCTTTACTATACTAGCAGACTGGTAACATGAAAAAGGGAGAGATAAACATTTAAAGAAACGCAATCTCAAAGAATTGTCGCTGCTTAAGCGTTGTGGCCAAGAGCCTTCTTAGCCTTCGCAAATGCAGACCTGACATCCTCAAGCATCTTGTCCTCGAATTCCTCTAAGAACGCCTCAGCTCCAGAGAGAACCTCATTGGTGATGTCTGAGACATCCTCAACGATTCTAGAGGGCTTGGAAGTTGAACCCTGGCGATACCTCTCACCATCAAAGATCTCAGAGAGGTTTCCAGATCCACCACCGTTCCACGCGAGAAGCTGAGAGTCATGTCAGTTTATGGTTCAAATAATAATAATCGGATGTCAAAACTTACGTTAGGGGTGTCGCTGGGAATACCAGAGAGAACACCTTCAGAAGCAATTGCGATCATCTTCTTCTTGAGCTCAGCTGGTGAAAGGCTCTCAACAGCGTATCCTGAGCCTGACTTGGGCTGGAGAGAAAGGAAGTAGGCCAAGAGACCGGCAATGTGGGGTGAGGCCATTGAGGTACCAGAAATGGTGTTGACAGCAGTCTTGCTTCCAATCCAGGTAGACTGGATGTTCAAACCAGGGGCAAAGATGTCAACGCACTTTCCGTAGTTGGAGAAGTAAGCCCGCTCGTCACCAAGGGTAGAAGCACCAACGGTGACAGCCTTTGCGGCGGCAGCAGGAGAGTAGTCACAGGCATCAGCGTTGTCGTTTCCGGCGGCAACAGCGAAGTTCAAACCGAGGCCAACAGCACCATTGACAGCCTGGTCAAGGGCAGGGGACTTTCCACCACCGAGAGACATGTTGGCTGCGGAACCCTTGAAGTTCTTATCCTTCTTGGAAGACGAGACTTTCTTCAAGTGAGCCTCAGCGGCCCATTCAACACCCTTTACAACATCGGACATCGTGCCAGACCCGTTAGAACGAAGGACTTTGACGGCGTAGATAGTGGCTTTCTTAGCAACACCGTACTTCTTTCCACCGACGGTACCAGAGCAGTGAGTACCGTGGCCGTTACCATCCTGATCAGAGTCACCGTTAGGGATGGTCTTTCCCCAGTGGGCACGACCCTCAAAATCAACGTGGTCAACGTTGGTACCGGTGTCAATGACGTAAACGTCAACACCCTCACCACCATGAGCCTGATGGATGTACTTGTTGAACGTGCCAAAGTCTAGGGCCTTCTGGTGGGAAATACGGGCTAGACCCCAGGGGGCGCCGTGCTCTGTCGCAGGGGCCTCCTCGAGAGCGTAGACCATGGAATCCTTCTCAACATAGGCGACCTAGAGATACAAAACGTTAGCTGATTGTAAATGTGTGGGGGCGACCCGGCGCTAAGCGATGCGATCACGTGCACGTGTTCCGGTGAACGTATGACACACCCGCTAGATAAGCTCCGGGGTAACCGGGGCGATGAGGAGAAAGGAGATGGGAGCTTACAGCAGGGTGTTTTCGGATCTCCTCGAGAACAGAGTCGTCGAAGGCACCAGAGTATCCAGCAAGACCGCCAGAAATGTTGTAGGTGTGCTTCAATCCAGTCAAGGAATCAACATCAAGGACATCAACATTATTGGAGTGCTCCATGAGGGGAACCTGACTTCGCTTCCTGAGCGAAGCGACAGATGCCTCATGGATGTCAGCCACCCAGCTGTGGTGGGCACTGACGACCTCATCACCGACATCCTTCTTGAAAACAACAATGTAGTTGTTGGGGATCTCATGGTCGGCTGCCGAAGCAGAGGACAATAGTGGAGCAGAGTCCTTGTTCACAACCGTAGCATCGTAGATTGGGGAAGCGATAGTGACAGAAATGGAAGCAAGGAGAACAGCGAAGTTGGCGGAGAGCTTCATGATGGGCAAATGAGTTGTTTGGAAAGAGTGGGTTCTAGTGTAAAATGGATAGGGGATATGTAGATGTGGTATGCAAAGAGGAATGTCAGTGGTAGTGAGGTGAAGAGGAATGGAAGGAAGAGGAGAGAGGAAGTGGGATCTGGGGGAAGATAAAGAGCTTTGGATGTGCTGCTCCGGGGGCTGGCGACGACAGGCTCATTGGCGCCAAGCATTGCGACTCGTCTCGGACTTGCATAGTCATCACTGTCTCTCGCTCGCACCCCTGTGGTGGCTATCAACCCCGTGAGATCTTCCGTTTAACTTACGGAGACAAGAACCCGGCTCCTCCGTGCAGTCTAAGCGTGTGTGTTGATAGTGTTATCTTACTGCCTATCTGCCTATCTATTCTACCTTTTTATGTAGCGCTATTTGCTGTAGCTGCAACGCCCCGACGCGTTTTTGAAATAATGTGAATTTGGGCCATTTGACCCATTCGGCATGTCCTTACAGTCCTTTGGATACATGTACTCGGGGCAGGTAAAAAGTACCGGACAATGTAGGTTTTTGGTTCACCAATGGGCGCGCGTGCTAGGCGTGAACTACTGCAAAAGAAGCCCAGAGACAAAACTTGCATTGTCCGGTGCTTTTTGCCTGCCCCGAGTACCTACATGTACCTGGAGCTATGTAACAGTTCCGAGATGTACCCGATGTATCATAGATACATCTTCTGTTCTACGTTGTAATAACTGGAGCTTTCGAATGACGCGAGTGAGCGGTCTGTCACACTAAACCCTGAAGCCCAAAACGGTAAACATGAGTACAAGTACAGTACAGTTCTAGACACAAAGTATCTAGATGTCCTCGTATTCCTAAATGAAAAAAAGCCGCCGTATAGGTACATTATCTAGTATAGCCTCGTTCTCGGCTCTGTAAATGAAGTCGATGATACGAAGCGAGCAAGGTTTGAGGGGGGGGTGGTTGTGTGTTACTTTGTTGAGGAATGTTTCGAGTAAGCCCTAGCTGTAAACGAAACGAAACGAGATGATGGCTTTTGGTGTAGCGGAGGCTCAGCAACACCGCATCATCTACCTAGCTTCAACAACATCGCGATCCCCCGTCCCCCACCAAAACCACCTTGTACCCGCACATATCTCTTTTCCACTTTGAATCATCGTCAAGCAAATACATTCCTTCTTGCACTGCGTCAAATATTCGCTTCGTTTCAATTCATCATCTTGTCGCTGTTCTTTCCCGGTGTGTTTAGTCTTTTCCATCACAGAATCCTTAACATTGCAGTTAGACCTCATGCCCTGAATATAATTCTACACTTAAAACTTCTCTGGCTTCAAATATGGCTTCTTCTTCTACCCAGACTTCTTCCTATGCACGGCGTCGAGTCTCTTCTGCTGCGTCTACAAAACCTAGACTCATTGCCGAGATCAAGCCTCTCCTCGACTCGCTCGAGGCCTCTGCCTCGGACCCAGACATACTTGTGCGGTTGCAATGGCTTTCTTTGATAAAGCGTATACTTGTGGACTCCCCAGAAGCTAAAGGCTTGTTTTCTCCATCATTCTCAGTATATAACGCCCCCGCCATTCCAGCGCACTGACCTGGACTCAACCCCGCTATAGATACCTTTAGAGCCTTGGGAGGTTTCAACTATCTTATATCTGCACTTCATTCGTGCTCCGGTTTTTACAACTCTACCAACCGAACAGACGAAGAAAAAAACCATTTTATAGAGCTGATTAAATGCCTTTTCGGTGTGATTTCTGAAGCCTTGTTGGATCATCCAGGTAACAAGCGATTTTTTGCGAGAAAGATTGGGTGGGATAGCCTAGAGCAAGGCCTCGCAGCAACTGGACTACCCACTGAGGCCCCAGATCATTTGTTTGGGTTGCTTCTAGCGTTCGGGATGGACGATTCAACGTTATCGAGTTTGGTGGTTTCCGTGAAAAGAGGTATGGGGGATACCAAGAAAACAGGCAAGATTACGGGCAAAGCCACAGACAAGCATGGCAGTGAAATGGAATCTGCCAGAGAAAAGGTGAAAGGGAACTTTGGGAGTAAAGATATCTTGATGAATGCGGAGATAATTCCTTTGGTCCTCAGCTTCCAAATGGCCATGGCTCAAACGGAGGATTCGACTATCACCACCGTTGTGGTTTTGCAGGCATTGCTTTCCATCGCTTGCTGTAGCAAGTTTAACTTAGTCGCTATGCACTCGACTGGTATATTGACTTCTATACTCCCCAGATTGTGGGATAAATCGATCCCTTGCGACGAGCGTATTGTTCTGGTAGAGTTTGCACAGTATTTGATTCAACTCGGGATCAACCATTTAAGCGATGCCAAATTTCTCTACCGGAAAGCAATGAGTGAAGAACCTGTTTCTGATTTTCTTCTGGAAGCGATAAAAACTTCTCGTGGGCCACCACATATCCAGTTTGATCTTTCGCTTCATGGGTTCGCATCCATGGAGCTTTCTTCACTCGGTCGAACATTCCCCCCTACCCAAACGAATGGATATACATTTTCTGCGTGGGTGTGTATCGATGCTTTTGACTCTTCCATGCACACAACACTCTTTGGGGTTTTCGATTCAACCCAGCGCTGTTTCGTTCTGGCGTATATAGAGCAGGACACTCGGAAATTCATTTTGCAGACTTCTGTTGCATCCCCAAGGGCAAGCGTTAGGTTTAAATCGACGGTTTTTGAGTCAAAGAGATGGTATCATATCTCACTTGTTCACCGACGCGGCCGAGCAACTTCAGCATCTAAGGCTGCGCTTTATATAGATGGTGAATTTGTAGAACAAGTCAAAGCTACATACCCCCAACCTCCACCCACCTCGACAACACCTGTTCAGGTCTTCCTCGGCACACCCTCGGATTTATCCCCTCGTATTGGAAGAGGCGTTGTTTCCTCAAAATGGAGCTTGGGGACAGCTCATTTGTTTGAGGATACCCTCTCCGATGACTTGATTGCTGTACATTTTCGACTTGGTCCTCGGTATTATGGAAACTTTCAGGATACATTGGGATCTTTTCAGACATACGAAGCATCTGCTGCGTTAAATATGAGAAATGAACTCATGCATCCTGGGAAGGAAGAAAAAAGCGATATTATCTCCGCAATAAGACACAGGGCATCAGCTATCCTACCCGAAGTCAAGGTCTTACTGAATATATCTGCATCTCAAGTTCTCGATGACAAGGATCACAATAATATCGACGAATCCCAACTTGTAAAATCACTCTCTAGGGAGGCCGCGAAGAACCTTCAATCCTTAACTCGTGCTGGGGCGGTGGCTATAAATGGTGCAGTACCTTCAATTAACGAAGCACTGTGTCTTTCTTATGGAGTCGCAATAATGACAGGAGAGCCCATTGTTGTTGTGCCCCAATCACTAGATGATGCATCATGGAGAATTGGGGGTGCAGCAGCAGTTGGGTTGAAAATGGTTGAGGTTGCGGTGACGCCAAAGCAGGTGTGCAGAGCGGTTGAGATATTATTTGAAATCACCAAAGTGTCCTGGAGAAATAGCGAAGCTATGGAAAGAGATAATGGCTTCGCGATTCTTGGAAATCTTATACGCAATAAAGAAGGGAAAGGTGTAGTGGGGAAAGAATTGCTGCACATTGTTTTGGACTTTGTTGGGTTCCGACGTGAGGCTCCAGAGGAGAGCTTCATTGTCAACCCACTTGCGTATAGAATACTACTGGTTGATTTTGATATGTGGAGGAAAGCAGATATCGAAACGCAAAGGGAGTATTTTTCGCAGTTTGTAACCTTCTGTCACGGGAGCAAGTACCATCATTTCAATTCAAAGAGGCTATTCCGTATGAGTAAGTCATTCTTTATTTTCGTCGAAATTGAATTCCTTTTGCGATACGGTAGAAGCTGATCCGGAATCATGACTCTATTAAGGGATTGTCAAGAAACTTATGTTTGCACTGAAGGGTGAAATGTTTTCCCGCGAAATTCTTCCTGACTTTATGACTGCGTTCAAGGCTCTCATAAAAACTAATATGTCTGCGGATGTTCTCCGATCTTTGGCTTTGTTTATAACCTATTCTCTCCACAAGAACAATCCAGCCCGCCCCTTGAAAGTCAAGAAAAGTAACGTACAGCTTCGACGGCAAGGTACACTTGGGTCGAGTCCCTCCGGGAGTGGCAACTTAGCACCCCCCGTCAAGGTTGTCAACGACTTGAGTGTGGATGGATTTACCCGACAGCAGATTGGTGTTATGGTTCTCGAGATGTATCAAGACCTACTTTTTGAAGATGGAAACAGCACAGGAAACCTGAAGAAATTTGCGAGGACGGTAACCAATAAGGTATAAACTCTACTCCTAACCTGTGCTTTCTTTTTGGTTTATCTTGTTGTGGAACATGACCCTTCATAATCATCAGGAAGCTTCAGGCACCTGATTTCAAGAGGGTGGTCAGACCTTTCTGTAGCATTACTGTGTCGTACCTGGCTAGAAACAATACCATTGCTTCTTTACTAATATTACTGGCTCCTAGTGGCTGCTCTACCTATTGGCAGAGAACGAACCCAAGGTTGTACTTCTGGGAGCGAAAATCTTGGCAAGACTTCTAGTCGTTCATGGAGGTAGCTATGTTACAAAGTTCGCCTCAAAAACCGGTGGCTTTGTTATTATGCGAAATAGATTAAAAAGGTGGTGGAACGTAGCGCCTCTATGGCCGATCTGTTTTTCGATTCTATTCGGAAAGGATGTAGCCAAAGTCGATATTTCGAAACCTCTGGGTTTGTACAGCCTTTTAGAATTGTTTTCGGATGGAGGAAAGGCGAGGGTGATCTATCCAGAGGTTTTACCAGTAATCGCGGGAATGTTGAGAGCTGGTGTGGGAACTATCGTCTCTGATCAAGGTGAAGACAATAATAAAGAGGTAAATGACCTGAGCAAGGAGGAGGATGGTAAATTACTACCCACTCCACCAGTGAGACGAAGGTCAATCTCTTTATCTTCTCCGCAAGGTAAGGATGCTCCATT